ATTTGATAAATTTACATAATCTGAAACAGTCTGAGTTAAATATGTTTCTAAGACGAACAAAATTAGGATAAGTGAACAAATATGTGGTGTACATACAAACAAATTCAGTGATTAGAATAAAAACAGCATAGCTTCGTTATCCACATAACAAGAGACAAATTAAGAGAAATGAAATATGTAATGTTTAGGTTTACTTATTAATCGGTAGTTGCCAGGGCACATCTAACTGCATCCCTTCTATTTATACCGTTTATATTAGGTAACTTCCGTGAATTAACGTTTATCAGCTTTAATTAAGAAATGTTGAAACATACTTGATAAGGCCCCTGAAATCTAAGTCTTAAAGATGGTAGACACACTAATTAAATCCCATAGTTAGGGATTTCACATTTCTGTATCATGAATTTGTAAATATATAGCAATTGACTACCACGGCAAGAAAATAGACTCAAAAAATTAAAAAGTCTACTATTCAATCACATTGTGGATTGTATGCAAGATTTTCTATTTTGGCTTAGTGATTAAAGGCAGTCGAAAATATTGATGCAACTACTGAACGAAATCACTGTTGGTACCCTGGATAGGATTCAAGAAAGGAGGAACAAGAAAGAAGCAGTCAACATCAGCCGAACAAGAGCAGACAAAATCAAAGCACAAGCTGATTACTTACATAGAAGTAAACAAGAAAGTGAAGGGGAGCTCCAGAGCAAACAAACGTATTTATATTTGGAAGGTCTAGCAATGACGGTGGAAAAGGCTGCAAGAGACGGAAACTTGAGACCATTGTACGATACAACAAAGAAGCTCACTGGGAAATATCGTAAACCAGAACGACCAATGTAAAGCAAGTAAGGCAAAGTAATTAGCAACACCTAAGAACAGCGAAACAGGTAGGTAGAGTTCTTTAAGTAACTCTTGAATCGACCAACCCCGTTTAACCCGCACTACGTCGAAGCACCATCCGCGGACCTCCCAATCGATATTAGCCCATCAACAATTGAAGCGATCAGTATGGCTATCAGACAAATCAAGAGAGGCAAAGCAGCAGGACCAGATAACATTCCAACAGAGGCAATAAAAAAAAAGTGGCAGCAACTGCAAAAATACTCCACATTCACTTTAACAAGATGTGGGATGCAGGAGAACTATCGACATACTGGAAAGAACGATACCTAATGAAGATACGATAGAAAGTCAATCTCAGCAAATGTGAGAACTACAGAGGCATCACTCTTCTCTCAATACCAGGCAAAGTCTTCAACAGGGAGTTGATAAACAGAATGAAGGACTCCTTAGACGTTCAAATTGAAGATTGACAGGCTGGATTTAGTAAGCATCAATCGTTTACCGACCGAAACGCAACATTACTGATCATTGTGGAACAACCAATTGAACGGAATCCACCACTCTACATCATCATCATTGATTGCGATAAAGCACTCAACAGAGCGGACAGGACAATACCATGGAGGCTACTTCCAAACAACAGTGTACATGAGAAGGTAGTAAACGTCAGACGTAATACTTACGATCGACTATACTTAAAAATCGTGCATGGAGGACAGTTGATAGACTTGTTTAGGTGAAGACCGATGTCAGGTAAGTATGCATACTCACATCCTTTCTCTTTCTACTGGTGATCGACTGGATTATAAAGACGTCAACATCTGAGAAGAAGCACGGGATAAAGCGGATAACTATAATGCAAATGGACAATCTAGACTTCTCAGAAGATCTAGCTCTTCTATCACACACGCAACAACAAATTCAAGAGAAGACGACCATTGTGGCAGCAACTTGAGCAGCAGTAGCAGCAGGTTTCAACATGCATAAAAGGAAAAGCAAGATTCTATGATACAACACAACATGCGCTAACCATATCACTCTTGACGGAGACAGCTCGGAGAACGCGACAACCTTATCATATCTGGACAACATCGTCGACAATCAAGGTGGATCCTATGCAGATGTGAGTGCAGGGATCGGCAAAGCACGGGCTGAATTTCTACAATTGAAAAATATCTGAAAATCCAAATAAAAATCAGTCAACACCAGAATCAGGATTTTCAATACAAATGTCAACACAGTTCGACTGTATGGGGTGGGAAGTTGGAGAACTACCAAAGGCATCATCCAGAAGACACAAGTGTTTATTAACAGTTGTCTACGCAAAGTACTTCGTATTCGCTGACTAGACACGATCAGCAACAACCTATTGTGGGAGAGAACAAACCAGATTCCAGTGGAGGAGGAAACCAGTTAGAAGCGCAGGAAGTGGATAGAACACACATTGAAGAAAGCACTTAACTGCGTCACAACACTAGCCTCAGCTGGAACCCTTAAAGGACGACGGAAAAGAGAAGGGACAAGGAATACATTATGCCGAGAAATAGAGAAAGACATGCGAAGAATGGAAAAACGAATTGGACAGAACTAGAGAGGGAGGTCGAGGACAGAGAAGTTTGGCGAATGATGGTCGGCGGCCTATGCTCCAATGAGGGTAACAGGCGTAAGTAAGTGAGTACTGAAGGAAATCATGACCACTATTGTAATTGCATCATATAATGTTAAAGCTATAAATATGGAGAATAAAATAATTTGTATCTATGTTAGTTTTTCGTTTCATAGATTTTAATAATTTAACTAATAATTAGTTAAAAATTCTTTTGTTGTTTCACACGAATTACATTACCGACACCAGTGATTGATTTAAAACTATTTATGCCCTGGATAGCATTAAGCTTTCTGTTTCTAGAGATTAAGTAGAAATATTTTTTATTGGTAAAGTGAGAACAGTATCTCTTAGGTGAGATGACAGTATATCCGGGATGTTGGCTGGTGTAGGATGTGAGAAACAAGGTACAGCAAAACTACAGCATGATATGAGCCTAGTTTGAATCATGCTTGTAAGTGCAGACTACGTGATTGGAAACCCTAGGGCTATCATGAACAGTGGTGAAGACGTGTTTGGGATTCGGTAGCAATTACCCGGATGAATTCATTTTTTATCTCCTAACTTTGATCCAGAATTATGCAGTTAATAATACATGTTGTTCCGTATTCGTATTCTCTATGTCTAGTCTCTTTTAGCACCTTAGGTACAACAACAACAAGTGCTACTGCTACTACTATTACTACTACTACTACATATTTGCTAAGTTCTAAGCTAATAAAACCTAACTTTGACCATAGAAAATAAATCCGTTTATCTTAAACATGTATTATAATTAATTAAAAGATGGTTTAATTATGAATATTTCTGATAGTAGGTATGATTTTAGATTAGCCCATCATACAAGTTCACTTTGCAAATTGTGCAGTGTATGACTATTAGTTTGCTTTTTTCCAATGTACTGAATAAAAACTGTCGAAACATTTTGTTTAGACTGATAATTGAAACAGAATACCATTGTACTTTTAGTATAGATTATGTATTTGTCAAATAATTTTTGGAAGAGTCAAACAGTTTGTGATTTTATTGATAAACATATTGTTATAAAATATAGTGTGATATATTACTGTACGGAATATGCTTTAATAAGAACTAAATAATGCATGAATATTAAGACACTTCATCGTGTTCATCTACTGTGATCAATGGACTAATCTTCATGAATACGAATAAATTTTAACTAATATTTTTATCCTTGACGGAAAGCTTGTTCAAATGGTGAATTGAGAAATACAAGGTGTATTTGATATAAAGAAAAATTGAGGCAGTAGAGTTCTACAGATCGTACGATTAACTATTTTTTAAAATCCACGAGCATGTTTGTCTGTCGATTCGTACAATGCTAAGTTGGTTCGATTAACGTACAGTGATTTACTACAATGATAACTTACCAAACAATTACAGTTTGGTTTATCTGGTCTGCATCAATAATAAGACATTTATTTTAAACCAAGGTATAGAACAAAATAGAACGATAAAAACACTATTTTGTACAGTATCAGCCTGAAGGTCAATTACTAGCTACTTGGTTTAAGCCATAACAATTTTTTCTATCAATACAAAATCTAAATATTAAAAATAATTGCTGATTGTAGTATATGAGTGAAGAAGTAATTTCAAATTACTTCAAAAGAATATTTTCAGTTTAATTTATAATGTACTCGATAATACCTATACACAACTGTTTAAACTAATGAACCGTAATGTTTCATGTAATAAGTGATAACTCTTGTGTGTTTACATTTGGTTGTAAGTTTTCTGAAGCTCAATAAGACAATGTCCACTTCACAATAGACCTTGTTACATTAAATTACTGAACATGGTCAAATTAAGGAAACAAAATAGTATTGAAATGTGTATACCTAGTCGAAGAAATGTATTGTATTTTCCAGATACCTGACAAGTTGAAACATGAATGTCCGTATCGAAGTGACCTCATTAGTATTTTATCAGCCTTTCTACTTAAAAATAAAATGTGACTTTCTGTAATGCACAATAACTGTGAGACTAGAGCAATGAATCCAATCGGCGTGATTAAAATTTTGAATTCGTTTTTGGAAAAAATTAACCTTTATTCCAGCCAATGTGTTACACTTCAGCATATATTTCTACCGTTTGGAGTAAGACAAGTCTTACATTACAATAAATCAGTATTCATCATGTGGAACACAAACTATTTGCCATGAAATTATGTCGTTCTTCTTTTTTGTTCTTTTGACTTGGCGAAAAGGTTAGAGTATAAACAAACAAAACCTCAAAAATGATGCTTACTGTATGAGTCATCAAAAGAAAGCTAGTATTTAGATATATAAGCATAGACATATAAACGTAGTAGGTATTAGGCCATCACTGAGGCAATGTATTAGGTCTTAACATCCAAATGAAATCGGGTTCTATTGATCACTTTTTATTTACAGATAATTCTGTAACAAAAATTGAGGAACACCACGTTTTTGTAATTGGTATTCTTAATCAATGTACGTTTCTCTTTCATGAATTAATTATTGAACAACCAGCTTAATAGTCTGCTTTACTGGCTCTCTTACAGGTGAATGGCATTTTGGCCGTTAACCTCAATCATGAAGATGTTGTTGAACAGATTCGATGTAAGTATTTAGATAATTGTCATTAAAATAATATGGAAAATACTCCTATCTAGACTAATCATTAATATAACTGTTTGACTTCTTTGCTGATTCATTATGTTTCTTAGCAAGAAATCAAGTATCTCTAAGGCTCAGAAGATTACGTTACCAAGTGGTCGATGGTTTAACTGGATATCGAGTAGGTTCTATGAGAAATTTAACTTGTAATGAAGCTCCGATTCTGAGATCACAACAACGTCATCATTATCAAAAACGTCGATCAACTCGAGAGTCTCCATCAACTGGTAATACAGCTTCTGCCGTAGTTAGACGAAGACCTCATCTTGGAACCCAGACATTTAAAATAGCTAGAAGTTGTTCACCACCTCCTTTACCGTCAATCGATTCAATTAATGATTCAATCGGTCCACACACAGATGAAGATATTGACTGGAGAAAAGAGGAAGAGGTAAAGCTACCGATTCGGTTAATCTAAAACATTTTATTATTATTAATTTACACTTAATTTATCGATAATTAATGTAAACGATGTTTTACGCAATTCCTGCTAACCAGTCCATGAATTTACAAGTTTGATTTATGTATTCGAAATCAGTATGCGCTGTGAAGCAAAATAAGTGATAGATCACTTAACTAGTGTACTTATAAATACCAGCCACATGAGTGTATGCGAGAAAATGCCTTTCATCTTTGAAAAAATAACAATATTAAATATTTTAGCCTTTACATTGCACCTGAACATGCACATAAACTACCACAGAGTCACTTAGTTGGGATTATTGCTAAATATAGTTTTTCTGCATAATATTTCCCTTTTCAAAACACTAGCTTAATCGAAATTCTCGGAGTCTAGAGGGTCAAGTGCGTCGCTGAAACCAAGATTATTTTGTTGATCTATTTAGTACTAAGTAAATTTACGAATTAATAAGTCGAAATTAGAAAAAAGATGAGCAAAAAATGTTAACATTTCGTTTACTCCCACGTATCCAACTACACTCATAATAATCATTTTTTATTTCTATTGTAATTATCCAATAATCAAGTAAGTTAGACCAAAATTTAATCATGTCACCCATATTGCTGCCTGTTGATCAGCCAACAAGATTACATCATTGGTTCTCGCTAAATTAATCTCTATGATCTACAGAAACTTACTGTGTCAATCACTTTTACTGTTGTCTCAATCATGATACACAGGAGATTTTCGGGATTGACTTCGGAAGGTTATTAAACATGGTGCAATATAACATACTAGCAGTATTAGAAGGATTGAGTTCACCGAGTCCTCAATGAATAACTCAGCGTTCTAAGGAATTTAAGTTTCCTGAATAATTCGAAAAGGAAAGTTTTGTTTAGTAATTATTATTTTTAGTTGTATAATCCAAAACGTGTAGTTAGAGTAAGATATGACTAATTAGCAAGACTTATGTCTCATTTTTTTTAATGATTGCACTGCTTAGTCTACAATGTACGATAAAATCATATTTGAAATCTGTGTTTTATTCATTATCATCTTCCTGTTGACCGTGCAAGAATTCATGTTACCATTCATTTCAAGTCATATTCGAGACGGTTTAATCTTTAGTTTGTATTCACTAACTATATTAAGACAAGCCTTTTGAAATATAAATTAACTGAAGTACTGCACAGGTGTTTCATTCTGGATTCAAACTTCTTAACAGCCTATAATTATGATATAATATGATTACCAACCATGGACCATATTTTCATGTGATGAGCTACTGAGCGGGAACTGCTAAAACTCTTTAAGCCTGGTCTGACCCACGATTTCTGGGGCAGGTTCTTCTTATTTAAGTTCCATTGTGACGATGGAGAAAATTCTCTGAAAAATTACAAAATTACATTATGAAGAATCCACTTTAAAAAATATTCATTTTTAAACGGCATTTGTTGTTGATGAAATTACTAAAGTTAGCGACTGAATTTGGGAAATCAGTAAATCCATGTATTGCTTAAGGTACTGAGGCTTTTATTTCCGTGAGTCAGTGCTTGGTTTTCAGTTGATCTATTAGTCTTAGGCATACAAAGCTCTAAAAAAACCCTATGACCCGACGACATAATTCCACAGTTAACCTTGTTAACGTGCCAACCAATGAATGCATATCTAGCAAATAAAAATCTAGCCAGTTAAAACTGAATAGTTTAACCTTGAAATATGAGTGGTCGTAGGATAATTACCGCTCAGTTTAAAAATTTGTCTGAATGCAAGTACTTGGATAGTTCCGAAGGTTATTTTACACCTCGAGAAATATAAGTGCGTGGATTATATGTCGTTTGGGATATTTATTGCTTATATTAAAAAACTATCAACCTGGTTGGAACCAAGCTAACGCGGTCAAACCGCCGCAAAACCGTAAGTTGTAGTACCGAATACTTGTATTTGGTTCAGATTTTTTCTCGTTATTTAAATAAAGCTTTCATGTGCACAGAATTTTATGTTTTTGTCAGAAATTTTATGGAATATCCGTTCAATATTTCTTTAGAAGTACAATATAGTGGGGTCGATTGTAAGCACACACATTCTTTACAAGTTTTCTGGAACTATCCCTCGGTTGGTGACTCAGGTGACGTCCCAGAAATCTTTCAAGAGGATGATTTACACGTTTTCATGAAATGGAAACAATTTTCCACTACTATTTACCAGTGTTCCTCATTCTCATTCAATATACCTAGGTTCTTACCTGAATGCATCGATAATTTGCTGTTACTAGTTGCAGAAACGCCTTAAGTGAAAGCTCTTTCCATTCCATCCATAACTATTCAAACTATTTGATTTTTCCTTATAGTTGAATGGCAGTTAGGCGAAGATCATATTTTTGTTTCATCTAAGTTTAGTCTGTTGTGTAACCTTGCGTTTGACATCACATTTCATTCGCTTAACCCTTCTTTTGTTGTGTTCGGTACTGCCTTGTATATAGACCCATACATTCGCTTCATTTGGTTCTATGTTCAGTATACGTGCTCAGCGTTTCTTTTTCTGTGCAAACTACTAAATGGAGCTCTCTTGCTGGTATCCCAATGTAATTACTTTTTGTGGTGAACACCTTTTCCCTGCGACAGTCAATCAACCTGGTACGTACATCATTTCACACAGAGTTGGAATTATCAGTTCGAATCCCATAATAGTAGAGGTAGTGGAAGTATTAGCGGTATTGGAGATTATGGTTCGGAAATAAGATTTGAGACAATACAAACCAGCGAAATAAATTTAGAGGAAAAAATGGTCTTGAGGAATCCGAAAGACTAGGATTTAAAAGAGGATACAGAATAATTACATCTTCCCCATTGCAAATGATTTCGAGTCGTCATTGAAAGCCTCTAACCACCGGTTATGATTGTCTCACGGACCCTAGCCAGGTGATCTACACCTAGTAACATGGCTCAGTTAAGTTATCAATAACTTCATGAATTTGTGTCATGTTTTGGTTTGGCTGCCCCGTTGCAACAACTGATCATCAGAAATTGCAGATCACTGTCTTGATGAAACTGCGTGTGGGCATTGTTACGCAGCTACGTGTTGACGTACGGTATTGTTCATCTGTGATCATCGTTCAGTTTCGATTTAGTGGTTTGTGAATTTTCGGGTATATAAGCATTCAGTGATCTTACACTTCCATATTATAGCCACAGTTGGTCGATTTTTTGACCTACTTATAGAAGTCGAATGCTGAAATATATCTCGTTTTCTATCTTTTGCTATGCAAACTAAATTATTATATTAGGCGTCTTGGCGTAAAAGTGTTGGTTCTAGCTATATAAGTAACTGAATACCACATTTGTCTCAGCATAACAATATTTAATGGCTGTTTTTGTCTCTTGTTTACTTTTTTAAACACTATTGGTACAGAGGGGAACCTAGGTATTTATATAGCACACAAATAACTAAATTTGTGTCCGGGCTAGTATATTGGCAGGGCGCCCACATAGACTCAGAAGTCTAATCCACAAGGTATAAAGTAATATTAAAACTAGTGAATTTAAGTGAAGATAAGAAATGGATACATCTTTGGCTGTGCTTCGGATTTCGAACCATTCTACCTAAGATCTTCGACCCTAGAATAAGATGAGCCTATAGGCCTCTACCGGGAAGTCTACACTTTATCATGGCTTAAACCAACAATCTATAATCTCAGGGACTGGTGAAGTGTCTTGGTTTATCAGCTTGGTGCGCGTCTCAACCTTCATAGACCATTTTTCTCAGACGTGTTAGTGTTGAACAATCATCCGTACTGAGTACTTATTGTTCGGTAAGTGAACTGCTGATTTTTCCGAAGCACCGAAAGTTTAAGTCAGATATGGTTTGTCGGACGTTTTAAGATGAAACCAACCATAGTGTATGCTAATTCTGAAAATCGCTTATTCGAAATGTGCCAGTCGTTAAAATATATAATATAATGGGAAAAATCGGAATTAATACCTCTTTGCTGTTAACCTAGATCTCCAGAATTTACAAATAGTTTTAAATATTTAACTCCTTAACGAAATTATGTCAAACAATAACTGAAAACACGGAGCTGATAAGTCGAACAGTTTGAGTTTTCTCTACTATTAAGATGTTTATCTTTCTAAAAATGGTGTCTTGTTGTCGTAGCTTCTTCTTTGATGTGGTGGTCAGCTTTGCCTATTGTGATGACCCAACTGACCTATATTGGCTGGAACACTTGTTCCTTTAGGTTCGACCATGCCAAGTAGGTCGATTGGAGAACGGTAAGACCAAAAGCAATAACTTGAGGTCTGATGGTGGGGTTGCACTATTGGCTGTAGAAGGGTGAGACAGCACTAAGGTGTTTCCGTCAGAAAACCAGCATCTAAAGCTATCCTCCCTTCTTTTACCGGAAGGAAGAAGTTAGAAAAGGTCGACCCTAAAAATGTCACACCTCATCTTACGTCACGGATCTCCGTCTCTGGCGGTAAGGCCACTTAAAGTGCGGAGCTAACACTTTAGAAACTTCCCATAAAAACGCTCGTGCGTGACCGGCCTCAAGCAGTTGTCCTTTGGGATCTGCGTTCACGCTACCAGGTCAGAAAGACCAATGCAAATCCGATTTCGTTTTCAGGTTCTTCAAGAAACAGCCTTACACAGTGTGGGCAGCCGGGACGTAACATTCGCCCTTATACCCGTAACAGCACACGAGATCAACTTGTTCTTATTACATTTATAGTTGGCTAGGAAGTGAAGACCACACTGTTTAGATGCCTCAGTTCTTTACAGGTTCCCACAGTAATCACCTGTATTATCGACCATACTGATAATCAGTTTACATTATTTTGTCGCAAATGATGTAAACGTCCCCTAATTTCATTTGATTTGTAGATCTGAGCTCTTGAATCGAAAAATGAAATGAATGTTATCATTTTTACTATCATGATGTCAATTATTTGTTTATGTACTTCGTTTCACCGTAACAATACCTCTTTTTACTGTAAAACGTCTGCCATTCACATCTAACTTATTATATGTTCGGTCATAAATTTTAGTAAAAAAATAATTTATTGTATTGTAAAACAATGCCATAAATATTAGGTGTTTTATAAATCCATTTTGGTCAGTATTCATAATATTGAGTGGGTGGATCACATTGTGAATAATTTGTGGTAGTTTGGCATTTTTGTTCTAACCTATTAAGCTTGTCCTGTGTTATTAAGATAGATTTACTTAACTACGGGTAAATTTATATTTAGCTATCATAAATATACAGTGATTTAGTTATGCTATAGTTGGTTAAAAACATAAGTATGGATTTTATTCACCCAGTCAGTCATAATCAAGGCATAGCTTAAACAAATGCGCGTCAGCCCGAGTTATTAAAGCAGATATGTACAGCGGGATAAGATTAACAAGATGAATACTGAAAGGCAAGAAAATTGTAGTGTCAATAAAATTTAAACATATGGAAAGCAGTTCAAAAAGAAAAATGCATATTGCGACTCGAAATTTAAGGAAAAAATTGGATGAATTAGTTCCCCTACAATCGATTCTTAGCCATATCATCCAACGTTTTCAATCACTAATCATGTAATTCGACCCGGAAGTTCAGAACTACTGACGTGGTTCAGTTGAATCTTTCGACATTAATATGGTTTTGGTTTAACATTCCCTAGCTTTTTTCGACCTAGCCCTTTCCCAGTCATCATATAGGATCGAGTTAGGTAATCGTTACGCGTGGATAACACACGTTTTACGTGCCTCATTCGATGTATAAATATATACCCTGATACTCTGGGTCTAAAATCAAACTTCGTACTTACGCCTCTTATCCCCAGTAGAGCATAGGCCGCCGACCAGCATTTGCCAACCTACTCTATCCTGGGCCCCCCTTTCAAGGTCCATCTCCAGTCCTCGGCGTAATGTATTCCTTGCCCCTCTTTTCCGTTGGCCTTGAGGATTCTAGGTGAGGCTCATGCTGTGACGCAGTTAAGTGCTTCGAAAAAACAGATGATCGAATATGAAAACCTACAAATATCCTCTACTCTTACCGGCCATGTTTCGCATCCATTTAGTAAGACGGAGCGAACTGGTGCGCAGTACATTCGTCCTTTGTTTAGCAACAGGTTAGCAGCAGTTCGCTCCGTCCTACTGTACGGATGCGAGACTTGGCCGTTAAGAGTAGAGGACTTCCGTAGGTTACTAGTCTTCAATCATCGATGTCTCCGGAGCATTGCTTGTGTATCATGGGACAACCGTATAAGCAATGCTGTCGTTAGGAAACGAGTTATAGGTAGGGACGGCAAATCAATAGATGAAGTAGTGAAACTTCATCATTTGAGGTGGTTGGGAAATGTGTTACATATGGCTAACCACCGACTGCCGCGACGAGCTATGTTTTGTGGTGTAGGAGTAGATTGGATGAAAGCTAGGGGCGGCCAGACCGAAACATGGCACAAATGCATGAAGTGGCTGACAAGTGGACTGAGTCATGTTGGTAGCTGTAGGCTACCTTGTTGAGGTCCGCGAGACGAAAGTCATCAATGGATAGAGACCTTTAACGACATGGCTCAGAATCGTTTGCGATGGCGCAGGTGCATCCACTCCTTGTGTTCTATGAAATTCTAAGCTTCTGCATTCCTCATAATCTCTACCTTTCTCCTTCTAAATTTATCTTACTGAATTATACTTCTCGAATCATATCTTAGCTCCCTAATCTTCTCCATTACTGCTAATCCATATATTATTGCTATCATTCTTGGATTTGAACTGACAGTTGCGTCTCTGTGCTGATGGGGCATGGCAACCTGAACTGATTGATGTACTTACTTACGAAGTTCTGCGTTGTATCTGTCTGTCCTTTGGTTAGCAAACGGATATCTTGTCTACGCCATAAGTGACGCAAGTCGGCAAAAGCCAATCGAGTCTTCTGTATTTGCGCTAAGATTTCGTCAGACACCAGACCAGCAGCGCTGATGAGACTCCAAGAATAAGTGAAGCGGTCGGCACACTCAACTGTTTCATTCCCTATCACTAATCCAGGTGCCCATACAACCCAATCTTGAAGCAGCATTTTGGATTTCGACGGGGAGAATCGCATCCCGAACATGCTTTCATTGTTACTTACGACAGTCAAAAGACTGCATTTCGTCAGCATCTTCATCAAGTAGAACTATGTCATCGGCCTATTCAAAGTCGACAAGCCAGTCTAGTGGTAGAAGGTATACTCCTGAGAAGTAAGATGAAGATAATGTTAACTCTAAAAGCATGTCTACGACCAACTTAAACAAGAATAGAGAAAGTGGGCAACCCTGATGGACACCACGTGAAGTAATTTATTCAGAAGACAGTTCTCCATAAGCTGTAACTTGACCAGTAGTGTTCGAGTAGAGAGCTTGTAAAAGACTAACGTACTTCTCTGATACACCTTTTAATGATAAACACTGCCACAGAAGCACAGAGTCGTGTCGCCTTAAGGCCAAAGAATACAACTATAGTGGGACATCGAAATATTTGTCTATGTTACAGAACCTGACGAAGTGTGAATATGTGGTCTATTCATCCATGTCCAGGTCTGAAACCAGCCTGGTTTTCTCTAGTCTGCTCTTCATGAGCTCTAGTTAGGTGTCGAAGTATTATTAAAGCAAACATTTTAGACACTATATTAGTTAGACTTATTCCCCTGTGATTGTCACAAGAGACTGGTACAATCAGTGATTCAGAACAGTTAGAGTGGATTATGCCTAGTTCTCAGATTCTACCTGAGATTTCAGTCAGTCTAACTTAAAACTGGACCGCCATCCTTAAAATCTCAGGAGTTAGCCTTTCAGGATCCTCTGCTCTCCTATAACTTCCTCAACTTCATAAAGCAACTTGAACCTATGTACGTACATATCGTGTCCTACGTTGTAGCTGGCTGACTGACTGATCTCAACAAATGTCTCATATTTAAAACAATATAAATTTAAGCTGGCGGTAATTTTATGTTAGTTTACTAAAGAATTATCCTTACTGCAAACACTTATAATGTTTATTTCAATTTTCCCTATTTTATTTTAGACTAACTTAGAACCTAACCCCAGTTCATCTCCCCAAGTATCTTCCTCCAATGCAGCTAGCTTGCCTCCCACATTTAGAATGGTTCGGCCTCGCTCTAGCATTGGTCCCAGTGATCGTACCACTAAAGAAAGACCCGTTAGTTCAGGACCTGATATGTTTAGCCTATTCAAGAGAGGCTCAGTCAAGGTAAACGTTTCACTATTTAATTGGTTCATTTCGATATTAGACCAATAGTTATTTATGTGGTTTAAATATCTGCTTCATTTTAATTCTTATACATTTAGATTTTGTTCGTTTTGTTGCACTCTAGAATCCTTTTTTCCTCCTTGTGTATGTTGAGGTCTACTGTCGTAGACAGTGATATAACATTGGACATTTTCACCTACATTTGTTACTGTGTGTGGGATAGAAGAGCTAGGTCCCGTACGAAGTCCAAATCGTCTAGTTGCATCCGAGCTATCTACTACTGTATTTTGTGCCTCCATTTCGATGTAAAAGTTTTCATAATCCAGTCAGCCACCAAAAGAAATAAAGCGCAAGAGTAAGCAACCTTGTCTAACACTGGTCTTCACTTGGAATGAATCTGTGAGCTGTCCTCCGTACAAGATTTCGTAATATCGTCCGTTGTAAGAATTCCATATGATGTTTATCGTCTTTTCAGGCACTACAGTTTTGAAGAAGGTTCTATAATGCTGTTCTATGGACGTTGTTAAATACTTTCGAACCCTGTATTTTCCATCTCGACTGTAGCGTTTCCAGGTCTCCTAATAGGAGTGTTAAGTCGGTTCATTGATATTTCCTTAGAATGAATTGTGGCATGTTTTTGTCACCATTGTTGCTAGCGTCTGTAGGTAGTGACATTGTTTATAATCCATTCCTTCTTGCTTTGAATATTGCTTTTATGATCCTGAATCCATAGGTTTCCCACCCTATAAGCGCCTATCGTGCATCGTTGGAGAGAATTCGTCGAACTCCTTGTGTATGTGGGAGACTTTTTTTCTTTATCAGACTATAACAAAACCTCCCCTAAGGCTCAGGCAGTTAGTTATAATGTAGAACTTCGTACGTACGCGCATAAGTTCATGTTACCATACCACATTAGCACAGAGACGCAATCGTCAGATCAAATCCCATATTGGTAGAAGTAGTAAAAGTATTCGCAGTAATCTGAGAGATAAGGGTTCGAAGATAGTATTCGAGAAGTAGAATCTAGTGAAATAAACTTAAAAAGAAGAGAAAAAACGGTCTTGAGGAATGCAAAAGGTTAGGATTTGAGAGAACACAATGAATGAATGCACCTGCACCATTGCAAACGGTTTTGAGTAGTATCATTCAGGATCTCTATCCATCGATTACTATCATCTCACGGGCCTCAATCAGGTAGTCTACGTTTACCAACATGACTCTATCCAGTTGTCATTGACTTCATGAATTTGTGCCATATTTTGATTTGGCCGCAATTAGCTTTCTTCCAACCTTCTCCTACACCACGAAACATAGCTTGAAGTGACAGTCGGTGGTTGGAATTACGCAACACATGTCCCAATCACCTCAACGGATGAAGTTTCACTACTTCATCTAATGATCTGCTATCCTTACCTAGTATTCGTTTCCTTACAATTGCATTGCTTACACGAATGTCCCATGATACACGAGCGGTGCTTCGGAGACACCTATGGTCGGAAACCAGTAGCCTACGAATGTCCTCTACTCTTACTGGCCATGTTTTGCATCCATAAAGTAGGACGGAGCGAACTGGTGCACAGTAGACTCGTCCTTTGATCAGCAGACGGATTCTAGCCTACGCCATAAGTGACGCAAGTTGGCAAAAGTCGATCAAAGCTTTTTTGATCATTTGTATTTAATGAGTTTCATGTATTCTAAACAGTATCAGGTCTTCAACCTTGTGTCGACTTTCCGCTAACCTATATTAATTATTCTGATTTTAAAAGAGTCATCGCTTTCAAGAATCTCGGCTTTCATAATGAGTCATTATCATAATCATCATCATCTTTCATGTGGAGACCTTTCAATTGCCTGAACGGGGTTTAAACAAATAAATTAGTTTATTCTGCTCATAAGGTTTTTGATGTCCTTTTTGCGCTGTCGTGTTGCAAACCTCAAACGCAACCTTTCTGTTCTATGCAGGTTTGGGATCGGTAGTAACTCTAGAAGGGTTTCAGGTAGAGTTACTTTTTAAAGCAACTTTGTGTGACTGATTCAATTCAGTTGTCTATCAGTGAAAATTGATACTTATCAAATTAACCCAATAAATTTAATAAAGATTTTCTAATAAGAATTACCCTGATTATTAAATTGAGACGCTAACTGATTCTATATAGTTTTCATTTTATTTTGTTTATCATTTTCAGGATGTAAATCATCCAGAATGTGTAAAGGAGGAAGATGGCTCTGTAGATGGATCATCTCATGATTCTACTACTGCTAATAGTAATAATAATAATACGAATAACAGTAGTAGCAGTGGTAGTAGTAGCAGTAGTAGTTCTAAATCATTATCTCGAACATCTCTCCCTAGTTATTCTAAATCTATTCCTACGTCAAGTAAAAAAATTACCGGTAATCTCAAGGATCAGTTAACAGTAAGTTGTATATGCATACACTTTTTATATCTATTTGAACGTACGTTAATACTAGCTGAAATGTTGATTTTGTTGTAATAATCATTATTGGAGAAAACGATTAAGCGCTTTTTACGTGTTGTAACAGAAAACCTAAATAAATGCTAATCATCTAATACCCTTTTTACCGTCAATGTTTACTTACAAATTCTTTAAAATAGCAAATATTTTAAAGCATGTGTTGACTACATGTAGACTAGTTTGTGTATTATTGTTTACGTCGCGTGTTTGTTATTCAATATATAGTCTGAAAATTCCCATCACATATACTTTATTGACAAGTTTAACATTCAGGTAGTCTATTCAAGTGTCACATAACAGCTGTCCTTCTCCATCTACCATATAAAAATGTGAAGTAATTGTTAATTGGCTGTTTTTTTTGAATTATCTTGAACTTGTACTATTTTTGTGTTGTGACATTTACAATCTTCTATCTGTTATCCATATAGATTTTATGATGAAATTTCGAATCTTTTATATAATTAGTAAAATTCAATGTTTCACTGATCAGATATGAATGTTAATTACTAGTTTACTAGCAAGTTTGATAAATATTTAAAAAACCTGTCTAATAAATTATAATTTATACATCCAACTAGTTCTATTCTATTTAAATTGTAACGTTGTTAAATCATAATGGTGTGTGAGTATTATCTATCAATCTCCAGTATTATCGTATTCATCTTGGCAGACCACGTGTTGCAAATTCTATATCTAGCCTGATAATTTCTAAACCAATCAACCCCAGACTCTTTATTAAATGTTAGTTTACATCACTATATTTTAAAAAAAATACATTTTCTAGATTAATAAATGATGGATTATGTTCGCTTTATGTAAAAGATATTCATCATTCATCAGTTGAATAAGTAGTATTAGTTACTTGTGTCAAAAAGATCTTTATCAAGTGTATCGATTGTAACAAATTATTAGATTAAATGAAAACGCTTAAATGGGAATTGTTTCGCATGTATTGTTTAGTGTTGAGCGTGAAGTGAAGGTATTGTGAACTGGTTATGAATGCCAAAACAAATACTTCACTTTAATCATTAGAAACCTTCGTTTTTGTCTATCGTAAAGCAAATCTCCATTGTTTAAACTTTTTGAGAGTTGTTGAACAAAAGTCTTTAGAGTCCTTCTTTTGAACTTGCCAATCAGCATTGACTATATGATGAATGAAGTAGAAAATACAGACATGAATTGTTACATAAAGTGTTTATCAGATAATGAAATGCAACTCATTAATTTGAAACAAATCTTTCTAAACAATGGATTACTCAGCTCTGTTATTCTTTGTGAATATTGATAATATTATCTACGTGACTGAAGTAAAGTTAGGGGGAAGTTAAATCAGTCATTTATGGAAGGAGGAGGAGCAAATACTTAATCTATTAAACTGTAAATCTTTATAGGATTATCCAGTGGATATTTTGTTCTTAGCTGCCTGAATGCCACGTGGTTATCATGACTAGTGGTTGATGAGGTTAGGTAACATTACTCAAAAATCTTTCAAAGTGGCGCAAAAAATTAGGAGTTTCAAAATTATATTATACTATATATTCTATGGATTTTATTGCTCTTAAATCATATTTTCTATATCTGATTTCTTTCACAATCATTAGTAGTACTAGTTCGATATTCATTTTGATAATTTCATTTATTTATGTTGATGTGGGGTATGAGGTGACGTTTACTGATTGCCTATTGGTGTCAGGTTCAATGTTCTGGATGACTGAATGATTAACTGACTACTATAATAATAATAAGAATTTCTTTCGTTAAAGTTATGGAGATTGTTGGATTTCATTGAAATCATGAATTAATCATTGTTAGAACCACCATTAGCACTGGAATTCCGTTTCTTTCTAGTATGGGACTTACTGGCAGTGCGCATCCACGACCCCTACCCGTGGGAATTGAATGAAGGGCCTTCTACTTCGCGCAAAAACGCTTAACCTCTATACCACTGAGCACTATTGATATGTCCCATACTTGAACGAAATGGCCGTCCAGTGCTTCTAGGTTTCTTATGATGGTTTGACAATTATCGATTCATGATTCCAGTGAACAAATGATATGCATTATTTAATCGTTAGTATAACTACTGTTGCTATATCTATATATCTTTGTTTGAACACAGTAGAATTAAGAGAAAAATGAAATAAATTTTAGACAGTCAAAATTAACTGTAGTAAACATAATGATTTTGTTTTCATAGCTGTATAAATAATAGATGGATTGAACTGACCTAGAAATCGTAAGGATAAATAGTTTTTAAAAAAATTAACACAACTAGATTACATAAATTACACCTGTTGTTTCTCCTAAATCATCAAGATGCTGGAAAATAGTTTATGATTAAAGTTTGTTCGTTTGTTAAATGTGCATGAAAATGTCTATTTTTCTATGAGATATTAAAAATATACTCTGTCCGTATTCTGTGTCGTTTATTTGTTTGAGATTAGCTTCAGTTGTTTTTACTCTTCAGCAAGTGTGCTATGTATAGCGCTTTCGATTACATTCCGTTCATTTTGTTTGTGAGTACCGCAGGTTTTATTGTAATTTCGACTTAAATACCCCATTGTTCGATGAATGTATCAGTATAGTGCATTCCTAAGAATAGAAATATAAGTAAAGTTATGGCCTAAGGTAAAATGCCTGTTAAAAATCACACTTTGTTATTTAGGAATTCTCTCACTAAGTAAACGGGAAAATGCCCGAAAGTGATGAATCAACTGGCATATTGGATGTTAGAAACATTGTGGTTAACGTTACTTTTTTTGGCTTTATTCAAACTTTGTTATGTTCCCAGGTTTTTCGTTTAGTAATTTAAGATTGATAATCGTTTGCGAAAATGTTTTTCTTGTTTACTGTTGTCTACTAATAGACAATCTGAAAATATTTGTTGTTTCATTTCTACAACTTAAATTCCTTAAGCAGTAAAGATGCTGGGTTTCATTTGACATACATTTTTCTTAACGTATCACTCAAGTGATCGAATCGTAGCTAATAAAAATTAAGGGTTTGTTATATTTACAAGTAGTGATTAGTTGGAAGATTAAAATATTTTCACCAACCAGAGATTTTCTCAGCTTTTTAAAATTTCGTTTCACTGTTTGAATGTCTTTAATGAGAGTTTCAGTAGATGTGAAATTGTTCGAAACAAATACTGGTTGGGATGCTAGATCCCTAAAATTCGTTTAATAAACTTTTTCATTTTGTAGTTTATTTTTGGAAATTTGAATTTCTTATTCTCGCACCAAAATCGCTTCTGGCTAACTTCAGTAATTGTTTCATACTTTAAGAACCTTAAACTTCATTGGTTAGTTTTCTCTTTTAGTATGCTATTTCGTAATTCTCCCAAGGACGTTTTTTTATACTATATAGATTACGTACGAATCGAATACTTCTTAATTCGTTCGCTGGGGGCGGCTTGTGCATTATACAGTCTTCTTGCTGACTTCGGACTTCTTGCTCCAGTTAACTAGGCTGGGCCAGGTCTCAGAAATAGCTTAGCTGTCCTGTTATTGTGTCAGTGGTTTACGTTATGTTCACCGATATTTAGTCGTATCTTAATTGGCACAAGCATAGCAGATACTTTCTGTGATTATGTATAGGGAAAGCTAAGGGAATTGTAGCCATTTTGAAGAAATGCCTTATGTCATACAAATATCCGAAAGCACTTCTTTACCAGAACGTATAGAATCTTTATAGGCATATTGTTTGATTAATGCTAGTTGGTATTAGTACTAATTAGTTTGAGAATTAAGTTGAGCCACTTACCAAGTACAGTTTCATGTACTTGGTTTCGAATCTGAGACTTATTAGATAAAGGTTGTATACCTTAACCACTTTATCGCAACTCAGAAATGAAATATGATTTTCTCTACACATTACAACAAACTTCAATTTTATGACTGAATGAATTAAAAACCTTTATTCAATCTCCATAAATGAAGATTTTTAACATCATACACACATGAGTTTAAAACATCCCATATAAACTCAACTTGATATTTGTGAGTGAAGCAACACTACACATATATGTATGAACTATTATCGTTGTCTCTCTCCAAACCTTCGACTATTCTGTTTGAAATTAACACATTTCATTCAATAGTAGATTTACTATCTGTATTTGTGCTTATGTGCTAGTGTGAGTGATTGTGCATTTACTTACTTCATAGATGATAGGTGTATTAACTTATTTCTGATCGATAAACTACATTTAACAAGCTCTATCAGACTGTTCTGACCTACTTGAATTTTGTATTTTGTTCACTTTATTATGTATACATGTGCGTTGAGTTATTCTGAATTCCAACATAACCTTGAACATGTATTTAAAAACAGAAAAAAAAAGACAAAAAACTATTATTCATATTTTAGTTTGAATTATCAATGTGAAAAAGTAAAACCTCAGTTATTGATTGATCAGTTAAAATGAATAAGGTTGGCTACATTTTGAAAACGATCAATATTGATGACAATATGGATCGCTCTAAGATTCTGGAATATGTGAACAATATCTAAAATAAGCATAATCAAGAATATTTACTACAATATAATTGAATTCTTCTGTTTGATACTTTGATCGGTTTGAGAATTCTTTCAGCCTTACCTAAAACTGGTCTTCACATGGAATGAAACTGTGAGCTGTCCTCCGTACAAGATTTCGTAGTGTAGTCCGTTGTAAGGATTCCATATGATGTTGATCATCTTCTCTGGCACTCTATAGTTTTGAAGAAGGTTCTATAATGCTGTTCTGTCGTTGAAGAATGGTCGGTGGTGTCGCGGTGTAGTCCGTACAAAGTTAATGTTTACGGAATTCGGCCTGTTGATTTCAAAGTTGAGTGAAGACTTTTTCTGGTATTGATAGTAGAGTGATTCCTCTATAGTTCTCACTCTAGTTGATTTCTCCTTCCTTTGGTATCTCGACGAAATATCGTTCTTTGCCGTTTATTGGTACTTGTTCTTCCTCTAAAATCTTGCTGAAGATAGCGTGTAACATCTTTGCATCTACTGCTACGTCTGTCTTCAATACCTGAGCTGGTATGTTGTCTGGTTCTGTTGCTTTACTTATTTTGATTTGTCTGGGGGAAAAGCTCATTTCTTCGATTGTTGATGGGTCAAAATCAATTGAGTGTTTCCTAGGTGCTGCATTTATTTTGGTTGGGTTTATTGGGACTTGAATGTCCAAGGATTGTTCAGAGAGCTATTCATACCTGTCTCAGTGATTGCTCTGCTTTCCTTGTCCTTTAGTGGTCATTCTGGTGTATGTTGTTTCTAGATAACGTCTTCACTGTATCATATATTTGTCTCACATTTCCTTCTCTTGTAGCTTTTTCTGCTATCATTGCTAGGTCTTCCGTATATTTCTGCTTATTAGTTTGGTGCATAGCACTGGATGGCATTGGTTTTAATCCCCCTTTGTCTTGCATGATGCTTTGATGATACAGGGGCCATGGGATTCCCATCCTATACGTGCTTTTTGGTTTTCTTTTGTATAGCGTCACTGCAACGTCTTGTGTATGTGAGACATCGTCTTCTTCATGGCCGGAGTACAACAGCATCTCTCCTGAAGCTAATTTTTTTTGTCCAGCACTGCCAGGTTGTGTCTTTCCGTTTACGTTGCAGCTTGAATAGTTCAACGTCTCTCCCATCTTGTGTCGACAATCCATGTACCTATAATAATAGTTGCTCTGGTTGTCAGAAGGAACATCGGCCTCTTGACTTCCGGAGAAACTCGGCTGTGGTCGTGAGGTGTCCTAACTCTTCTATGTGGAGATCTTCCAACTGCCAGGGGATAGTTTAGACGGTTTACAAAATTTTGTGGTTATCGTGTTTTTAGCAAGGTTGTTGTTTACAGATTGGAGTTACTAAATGCGTGTTCAACGCATCTCCTTTATCTTGGATTGGGACCGTTAGTAACCGTAGGAGAGCTGGAGGAGTATTGTTTACATCAATTACTTTGTGTTTTTGACACTAGACTATTATTTGCTGATTTTGAAGCTGTTTTTAGTCTTATACAGTCATTGGTTTGTAGCACTCATTGAATTATATTAGTAATAATGGCGAACTGAGTCACAGTATAGCACTTATTTACAAGTGCTAACTATGTCACTAATGTTATTGGAGAATCAAATGAACCAAAAACACAAATCAAGACTATATATATCAAGAAAAATGAGTTTACTTCTCCTGGTAGTTTATTCATACACTTGTGATGTATTTTGATAGGGTTTCATCTTATTTAACTGTTTTGAAAATCGGTTAAAGCATCTAAAATTGAAAGAATGCAATCCTGAAATGATACAGTTGATAGGTAATGCCCTAAGTGGTTAAATCATTTAACTTTCAACCATTAGGTTTTTGGATTTTTAATTATATTGCTACCGTACTGGATTTATTGATTACGTAGTATCATTCGTTTTAATATATCCAGTGTTAATATAAAGGCGAGTACACTAACTTGTACTTTACTATTCGATTTCATTCAGTTGAATGTGTTAACATTTTCACATGAAATTATTTGATTGTGCATTTACTCTTATTGTATGGTGAATAGAGATTGAAATTTATCGAGTTTGGTGATAATCTTTAAGACAGTAAATATTTACAACTTAACAATTCTTTATTCAAGTTTTTAAATATAAACCAGAATATTTTAATTTGTTTTCTCAGTGAATTCTCCAGCTGTTTTTTTTATTCACTTATTGATTAATGATCTGTTAACTGCAAATTTTCTGTGTTTTGTATCCAGTTTCATAATAAATTACTGTATTGGTGGTGTGATTTCAAATTTCATGAGGGATTTGAAGATTTTTCTGATTGCAAAACTGAAAGGCATTAAGTTTAAATTTTTTCTATAGATAAATTGTTCACTTACTTTAACAGTTTCTTTAATTTCACTGACCGTCTTTTAGGGTTAAACACCATGTTTTACAATTTGTGATCAGGTTAAATAGCTTCTATTCAATGTGAATATTATTGTGCTTTGTTGTTTATTCTTTTTTCTTTTTTCTATAATTTTTCCAGTTTTCCAGTAGTACACCACCTCCTGGTCATGTGCTGGGTAGAAATTTCGAAGATGAAGGTGACAGTGATGTGAGTTTCGTTGTCTATAGTTTAAACCATAATGCTTTTCATAGTTAAACGTATTGTAATATCTATTGACGTTTAATATTGTCTATGAGAACTATGGGTTTCCTTTCAGTCTATATAGAGGATTATGTTGTAATTATGAAATTTTTGTATTTTATTCCTGGTATGGAAATTGTTTGTGATTACAATATTTATTAATGATCTCAAATAAAGTTAGAATGTTGATAGCTCGTGTTCCATGTAACCACTTGATGCCAACTTACTTACTTACTTACGCCTGTTACCCCCGATGGAGCATAGGCCGCCCACCAGTTTCCTCCAACTAACTCTGTCCTGGGCTTCCCTCTCCAGTTCTGTCCAATGTTTGTTCATTCTTCTCGGCGTAATGTGTTCTTTGGCCTTCCTCTTTTCCTTTTGCCTTGAGGGTTCCAGGTGAGGGCTTGTCTTGTGACGTAGTTAGGTGCTTTTCGTGGTGTGTGTCCTATCCACTTCCACCGCTTCTTCCTGATTTCCTCCTCCACTGGAATCTGGTTTGTTCTCTCCCACAATAGGTTGTTGCTGATGGTGTCTGGCCAACGGATCCGAAGTACTTTGCGTAGACAACTGTTAATGAACACTTGTATTTTCTGGATGATGGCTTTGGTAGTTCTCCGAGTTTCCGCTCCATACAATAGAAATGTCTTGACATTTTTATTGAAAATCCTGATTTTGGTTTTGATTGAAAGTTGTTTGGAGTTCCAGATATTTTTCAACTGTAGAAATGCAGCCCTTGCTTTGCCAATCCGCGCCCTCACATCTGCATCGGATCCACCTTGGTTGTCGATGATGCTGCCAAGATATGTGAAGTTGTTAACGTCCTCCAAGGATTCTCCATCAAGAGTGATTTGATTGGTGCATGTTGTGTTGCATCGGAGAATTTCGCTTTTTCCTTTATGTATGTTGAGACCTACTGCTGCAGAGGCTGCTGCTTCACTGGTTGTCTTCTCTTGCATTTGCTGTTGCGTGTGCGATAGAAGAGCCAGGTCATTTGCGAAGTCCAGATCGTCCAGCTGCGTCCTAGCTGTCCAGTTGGTACCATGCTTCCCTCCAGACGTCGACGTCTTCATAATCCAGTCGATGACCAGGAGAAAGAGAAAGGGTGAGAGTAAGGAACCTTGCCTGACACCGGTCTTCACCTCGAAAGAGTCTGTCAGCTGACCTCTGTGCACGATTTTGCAGTTGAATCCATCATAAGAGTTCCGTATGATGTTGACTATTTTCTCAGGTACACCGTAGTGTCGAAGAAGCCTCCACAGTGTTTTCCTATCCATGCTATCAAATGCTTTCTCGTAGTCGATGAAGTTGATGTAGACTGGTGAGTTCCATTCCATTGATTGTTCCACAATGATCCGTAATGTAGCAGTTTGGTGAGTACACGATCGATCCTCACGAAATCCGGCCTGTCGATCTCGAAGTTGGGCGTCTACGAAGTCCTTCATTCTGTTTAACAGTACCCTGTTGAAGACTTTGCCTGGTATTGAAAGAAGAGTGATGCCTCTGTAGTTCTCACACTTGCTCAGGTCGCCTTTCTTTGGTATTTTGATGAGGTATTCTTCTTTCCAATCTAATGGTACTTGTTCTTCATCCCAAATCTTCTTGAAGAGGATGTAAAATATTTTCGCGGTTGCTTCTACATCTGCTTTCATTGCCTCTACTGGAATGTTGTCTGGTCCTGCTTCTTTGCCGTTCTTGATTTGTCTGATGGCCATACTGATCTCCTCAGTCGTAGGTGCGCCAATATTAATTGGGAAGTCCGTGGATGCTGCTTCGATGTTGGGTGTGTTCAGTGGAGCTGGTCAATTCAGAGGTTCTTTAACGTGCTCTACCCACCTATTTCGCTGTTCGTCAGTGTTGCTGGTTACTTTGCCTTCCTTGCTTTTCACTGGTCGTTCTGGTTTACGATAGTTCCCGGCGAGCTTCTTTGTTGTTTCGTACAATTGTCTCAACTTTCCGTCTGTTGCAGCCTTTTCCGCCGTCATCGCTAGATCTTCCACATATTTTCGTTTGTCAGCTCTGATGCTCTTCTTCGCTTCCCTGTTTGCTTCTTTGTATGCAGCTTGTGCGGTAACTTTCTCTGCTCTTGTTCGGCTGACATTCACTGCTGCCTTCTTGTTCCTCCTTTCTTCAATTTTTGCAAGAGTATCAACAGAGATCCATTCCTTGTGATGGTGCTTCTTGCGACCAAGGACCTCCTGACATGTTGAAGTGATTGCCTCCTTAATCCCTTTCCAATTGTTCCCCAATGTTGCGTCCTTCTCCATTGAGTAGATCCTGAAAGGCTATCTTGAATTTGTTGAGTTTTACGGTATCTCGAAGAAAGGCCGTATTAAACTTCTGTGATGTTGTCTGCCCCATTTTCTAGTGCTTCTTTAGTTTCAGTTTCATTTTGACGATCAGCAAGTGGTGATCTGAAGCTGTATCAGCTCCTCTCTTGGTTCTCACATCCTCCATGGTCCTTCTGAACGTTTTGTTGATACAGATATGGTCGCTTTGGTTCTGAGTAGTGTGGTCCGGTGAAATCCATGTGGCTTTGTGTATGGGAATATTGTGCCACCGATGACCAGTTTGTTGAAGGCACATAGGTTTGCAAATCTCTCACCGTTTTCGTTCCTTTCTCCTAGTCCATGCCGTCCCATGATGTCTCCATATCCAGTGTTGTCCATGCCAACTTTGAAATTTAGGTCTCCCAATAAAATCATCAAATCCTTTGGTGAGCATCTGTCGACGATTGACTGCAACCTTTCGTAGAATTGATCTTTATCGTCGTCATTGTAGTCATTGGTAGGTGCATAACATTGGATGACGTTCATTGTAATGTCCTGTTTCTTTGTTTTGAAGGATGCTTTATTGATCCGCGGCCGATGTGATTCCCATCCTATCAGTGCCTTTTGTGCATGTTTGGACAGCATCAGTGCAACTGCTTGTGTATGTGAAGCGTTTTCCTCTTCATGAGCAGAGTATAACAGCAGTTCTCCTGAAGCTAGTCTCAGTTTTCCTACCTGTGTCCAATGCGTTTCACTGATGCCGAGCACCTCGAGGTTGTATCTTTTCATTTCTTCCGCAATTTGAAATAGTCTTCCAGTCTCCCACAATGTACGAACGTTCTATGTACCCAAAAAAATGGTTGCTCTGGTTTTCAGAAGATCCATCGTCCCCGTGACTTCCGAGGGAACTCGGCTTTCATCACGCGACGTCATAATTCTTCTTTCAACTCCCAGGGCAGAGTTGAAATGGTTTGAATTATTTTTTCTGGTTAGCGTTTTTTGGCAAGTTAGATTTCGACGGAATTGGGTCGCAAACCCCATGTCCAACTCTCCTCCTTTATCCGGGCTTGGGACTGGCAGTAGCCCCTAAGGTTCTACTGGCGGAGTTGATGCCAAGGGTTGGAAATTTATTTTATCTATCTTCATTGTCGGTTTAAGCAGCCACTTATAGTTAGTTGTTCTTACAACAAAAGGTAACTTAAGGCGGATTACACAAAATGTGTACTACATATATGACTTGAATTTGTGTTATACACCAATTAAATTGTCACTGTGAATCATTTATTGATTTCCTAACTGGGACAACAGTGATTCAGTACATACAATGACAAACATAGTTTTAATGAGAAAAATACTTTAATTTCAATTCATTCACACTTACACGATAGACTCGGTAAACCTCTATGAGATTATAGTTGGTCAGTTAACTGGATTGAGTACGACTGAAACGTTCAAGGTTGGTCACTGAGATTTATTTTTTCATTTTAATTAACTGCCAGAAGCATCATTCAATTAAATCTTTTTTACTGTACTCACTTTTTTACGTCACTTATATATTTTTCTTCTGTTATTAAACTAAATGACAGCAACTTTTGTGTATTAAATAGTTTTTTTAGATAATCTTAGTATTCAAGTTGTAAATTATTCACATATAATCATTGTATTCAGCATTCTTAATGATTTGTGACGTGTATATAGATACATATGCATAAATTTTTTTCTTATCACTAAACCATCATGACGTCCTTTATATAAAATATGTTTTGCTACTTTTCACCTTTTCAAAGTAAACATAGCTATTGATGACTGACTATACATTTAAAATAATAAACATATATGAATGACGGATTTATTCTACCTTATTGGTTAACAGTACTCTTAGGGTATTATTTGTGTATTGTGAAACATCTGTGGTCTCTGAATACTAAACAGTGTCATGTGATTTTGTTCAGTAACAATCAGTTTGTCATTAATGAAACAACTCATTAGTGAATGACAAAGCACTGCAACAACATTAGGTTGTAAGTTGAGGTCATGATCCACTCACACTTTTATATGATCAATAGGTTACAGTTACTATTAGTCATATACACAGAAAATTGTTAGTACATAACCATTTATTCGATCAAAAAGATTTATCATAAATATGCTTGTCACACTATCACAATAATTGATTTATGATTCCAATGTGTAAAAACATTGATCTCCATAACCGTAATTGAAAAAATCTAATTGATACCTGTTGTAGGTCATTGTATAGTTTATTAATTTTGGATGACTTAGTTTGTAACATTTTGATATTCAGTGAAATTCATTTGGATAGTATAATATATGTAGTATTTCGCTGGCGTTCACTTCTATTTCTGTAGATTTATTCGTTCTCTATCTCTGGGAAATGATAAATATAGTAAATTAGAATGAATTCTTGATGTACTCAGATTTCGTGGTTATTAGCATTGTATTTATATCATACGTATTTGAACAAAAATAACAGGATGGAATATAGTCTAGTTCTGATTTGTATCACCTGAATTGGTTTCAAGATCAATCTAAATCAGATTTCATATAACTAGTGTTCTTCACTCATACAAATGTGAATTTATACACAAAGTTGACTAAACAGCATAATTAACTTAATAGCAGCAATAAAAGAAAAATAGCAATAAGAACTGCCATGAATTATTTAGTTATCCGTTAAATGATTAACAATATAACAGAGAAATAAAATAAATATATGTATTGTTAGTGCTGTTCAATGATTGAGTATGTACTACCACATACATTTTAAGGTTTTCCTGAAACATACTTTTCATTTGAATTTATCATCAATGTGGAATAGAATTCTTTATCAATTGAGAAACATTTACTATTCACATGATGTGTTTAAATTTGCCATCATTCAATGTTACAACTACATCATAGGCTTGTTCTTAATATTTAAATCTTGGAGAGTTCATTCTATGGATTTCCATTTATATATTCTATAGTATAATTTTAATGAACACTTTTTTCCTCTTATTATTCTGTGAATAATATTGTACATTGCTTCTTGATTATTTGCCTATAAAACTTTTTAAATCAAAATTATTTTTAATTATAAACATAATTATATACTTTCAAAGTTATATCTATTCTCATTCTCTTTTTTCATGTGAGTGTTTGTCATTATTTTGTTTTTTTGTTTCTTTTCTTTACTCTATTTGACTTTGTGATCAATAATTTGTATCATTCAATTGAATATTATGATTGAACTCTACCGATCTTAGTATATGAATCAATTTTTCCCAAATGGAATACCAAAAATCATCTTTAATTCATATTAAAATAATTCATTAGTACAGTGTTAATCTCATTTTAATTCATTCTTTTTTTGGTTTATCACGAATCGATATTTTCTGACTATCCTAATTAACTTGTTGTAGTCTGATTTCTGACAAAAAGCAGGCTGTATGTAAATGTTTTACACAAAAAAAAAATCATTTGGCGAATGAATTCTAATTAATATTGATTTAGCAAACAAAAATTGGAAGATTTTTTTTTTCATTCCATGAATTAGAATATGTTGAATTTTGAAATTAAATACTCTAATGATATGTTTACAGGTGCATAAATATATGCAGCATAGTAAATATATATATATATATATATATATATATATATATATATAATATTAGCATTTGTGTTACAGTTTTAGGATATTTACAAATTACAATTCATTCATGATATATTTCACAAAGTATCGAAAATTTGTTTATACGGTGTCTGTTGATGTATATATATATATATATATATATATATATATATATATATGCATTTGTGTGGGGTGAGGTACATACATTTGCGTATAGTCTGTACACTAAATACATTTTACATGTACTTTCGTCTGATGCATAATTTATTCGATATTCTATTTTATTGTAATCGATATTCTGTTTCCAATTAGAATGAATAGAATGATATTAATAATAATAGTAGTAATTATTATTCGTACTATGCAAATAATCGATTTTTATCGAATGTTCCTTGGTATGCATCATAATTTTAACCATTGGATGTACTTTGTATTTCAACTGTCAAAGCATGTTACTTCAAGTGTTTAAAGGTCGTCCAGTGCTTTTATCACATATAATTAGTTGATATTTTTGTTTCAATATTGTTTGAATTATTTTAAAGTCATTTTTCAATCGTTAAAACATTACTTCAATGTTTGTTAGGGATTATTTTTTTGTGTTGTCGCTTCGTTTATTGTATTGTTTAAATTGATTTCTTTAATAAATTATTTTTTAATGTAAACAATACAGTGTGAGTGTATATGGAATGAAGTTTAAGGTATTGAGAGTCACTTAAGTCATTGTATCTCTTATATCTATCAAATAAAGTTTTACTTCAAAACTGATTGAAACGATGTTTCTTCTGAGGTTAACACCGACTAAATAGAATGTATCACTCCTTAGTAGAAGACATCCAAGTTATCAAGTTCATATTTTTCAAACGTTTTAAGAAATTTATTCATGAAATCGACTGTTGTAAAACAAAATGTCGGATATGTTTTAGAGATATTACTGTGTGATAATAGTTAGAGAGTGTTCAGAAAATCATTTAAACTATTAAACTTGTCCATAGATTAGATTACTTGATTCATGATTACGATTATCTTGGACTTTACCTAGTTCTTAGGTGATATCAACAACTGTTAATTTTTATTTTTATATCTTCAGATCAAATTACATTGCATTACAAGCATCATTCTGCGAAATAGCTATAGATTGCAGGTTTAATACTTCATGCATATTTAATACTGTATATTTTCTTTTTTCTTCAGCTTAGCAATGCAAACGATCTTGTTCATTTATCATCAGAATTCGATGACGCAACATCAGTATTGAAAAGTCCGGCTAAATGTGCTATATTTATCGACTACTTGTTTTCGCATAAACGAGATCCTACGTGTACGGTAAGTACAGATGTTCATCTTTTCGGCCAATCTATCTCCATTTAATTTTATTTTTACCATAGAATAGTTACTACATTGAGATTTTGTTTGTGGTAGCTTGTTACAGCTGTCCAATAGAGCCACATTGATTATAAAACATGTTATTCAACATCGTATTGTATTCGACAAGTCGGATAATAATATGCTTATAGTGTAAATAGGAATGGCAAATCAATAGATGAAGTATTGAAACTTCATCAGTTGAGGTGGTTGGGACATCTGCTACGTATGCCTAACCACTGGCTGTCTCGATGAGCTATGTTTTGTGATGTAAGAGTTGGTTGGACGAAAGCTAGGTGCGGCCAAACCAAAACATGGCACAAATCCATGAAATCACTGACAAGGGGACTGAGTCATGTTGGTAGATGTAGGCTACCTTGTTGGGGTCCGCGAGACGAAAGTCATCGATGATAAGCGACCTTGAACGGCATGGCTCAAAATCGTTTGAGATGGCGCAAATGCATCCACTCTTCGTGTTCTTTCAAATTCTAACCTGGATTCCTCATTATCTTCATCTTTCTCTTTCTAAATTTATCTCACTGAATTATACTTCTGGAATCGTATCTTCGAACCCTAATCATCTCCATTATTGCTAATAATTCTACTATGGCTACCACTATTGGATTTGAACTGACAGTTGCATCTGTGTGCTAATTTGGTATGGCATCCTGAACTGATGTACGTACGTACGAAGTTCTGCATTGTATCTGTTTCTCTGTCTGTAAATAGTTTGGATTATTTTATCGATTCGGTGATGAAACATACATTTGATTACATGTGGCCGTAATAACAGTATGATGTTTAGCTTGAATGATTTATATTCCTAATCACACAGTCTCATTACACTATAGAGAATAAAAGAAAGATTTTCATAACGAAATTTCTGAGTTCAATCTTGTTTTATGGATCTCTGTTGACGTCTTTAAGATTATTTCAGAATGATACAGTCCGCGAATTCATTGATTATTGTATTAAACCATGGTTAATAAGTGCAGACTACCTTATTAAAGTCCGTGTGATAAGCATGATAATTGTTCAGGAACTTCGTAACCGAGTTTGAACCATTTTAGTGACTGACGCGAATGCTTTTATTCGTTATTCTACACTTAATCTTGAATTCCAATATCCCCCGTACATACTATTTTATTCTGTTTCATCGTATCATATTGTCACTGTTGAGTCTTTCATAGCATCGCTGTTACTAAACTGTCTCAATTCGTTGACTTTTTGTCTTGTTAATTTTCATCTCTCTGTGCTGATATGATATTAGCGATGTCGACCAACTGCACATTTATCCCAGGCTCCACAGCTTGACCATAACTGACTCATGACTAGTATTCAGGACCAATTTCTTTCAAAATTGTATTGATTGTATGTCACTTTCAATTTTTTGCAATGTATAAATGAATATTGTAAACTTTTGTTCTAATTATAATTCAATTGTTATATTTTTATATATTTATATTAACATTCTTTTAGCTTTTCCACATTGTCAATCAATACTTTCAACGATCAATGGTTTCATCCAAAGAATTATTGAAAGATGAAAAACGTGTTGGTCTTGAGATATTTACAACATTCTTGCATGATAAGTCTGTAAGTCATGATAGTATTTTTTTTTCTGTACATTGGTTAATCATGTGATTAATTATTTTTTTATACTTATTATTGTCATTCTCATTATGATTATTTGTAATCTAATCATAAGTTAAATTTTTTTTTAATGAGTTTTAGTTACCATTTGAATAATAAAGGAATTTATTTCATTTCATATATATATATATACAATGTGAATCGATATTTCATTATTCATTGATTCGATTCCACATTCATTAACCTTTTTTGTTTTCCTTATAAACTTGAAATTTGTTATAAAATGAAGTTAGTTCTTATTAGATTTCATTATTCATTCACATGGTCCAATTAGTTGATTATCATTTTGTTTGCAGAAAGAAAAATATTTATTCGATTAACCAAATAAAACACTGATTAATTATCTAAAAAAAAAAATCAACTGTTGATCAACTATTCTTGATGTTATTTGTGTTATTTAGTAAACTAAATCGACATTCTTGTTGATTATCTTAAGTTATATGTATATACATTTATGTTGTGTTGAAAGGTTATAAAAGAAGTGATATTTATGTGTGTTATCTAACTTGTAGAATAATTGTTGATTTCAAATCATAACAGTAAGATTATGTTGTATGATTAGATCGTAGTAATAGAATTAGTAAGTGTAAGAGACAAGTTAACGAACCTAATGACTGGATAATAAAAACAACACAGCATTCAACTGGAATATAACAGTTCTAATTACTATACTACTTATTAGGATTTAGAGAAAAAATCAACTAGAAAGGTCAAATTCAGTGAAGATGGTATAACAGGTTTAATATCCTATGGATAATGTAAATATCTTTGATGAATCACTGAACAGATATCTTTAAAGTTTATTAACTATTAGAAGTGGTAGTAGATCGGTTTAGTTACGATCATATCCGTTAGATAAACTGTTATTGAATTTCACTATTTTTTTTATAGTTAAAACTGTGTAATTTTTCTTAAAAATTGTTTCACCGTTATCATTCAAATTCTTATATGTCAATTCATAAAGCCATAAGCAAACAAACACTATGTTATACTGTTCAGTAAAAAAAATTTGAATAAAATCAATAAATTATCTTTATTATTGATTTCTATTTGATTCAATTTTAGCCCTTACGTTTAGATGTACGAATTCCAATTGTATTGAAATCATTCGATTTTAATGAATGCTCAAAATTGTTCAATTCTGTTGATCAACAATGTTTGAATCAGATACAAGTACAAGTATCTAAGTTAGCTGAAGCAATTAATCTGGGTGAGTTGTTTTTAAATTTCATTTACTCATTTAAAAATATATCTTTTGCGTATTATATCAGTTACTTCATTTTTATGAATCTATTATAATTCTCACTAGACGTTCATAATTTATACCCTTATAGGTGGATTAAAAAATGTCATCTACACTTTTGCTCCATTTTAAATCTGATACTAATTTGTGTATGCGATACACTTTCTATCATAGATTAACATACTTTCATTCACTATAAATTTTCTTACTTTTAGATAATCTAAATTATATTCATCAGTGTACTGTGAGAAGGAAAGATTTTCAAGAAGCGAATCTTTTACCATGGGTTTAGTGATCTTGAACCTCAGAGTTTTTTAGTCATTTATAAAATTATCTTATATCCTGGTAAAGTATCATTGGATCAAAGTTGCCATATATCAGCAATAGAGTCAAAATAACTGTAGTAATAATGATAAGAATAAACACTAAGTAGCTAAAATATATTGCGAAAAACAGAGTGAATAGGTATGCGCTACTGTGACCAATTCCATATAATGCCATTCAACTCAGACTACTGACTGATTATATCACAAAATCCCACCATGTAGTTTTCGTTTATCAGCTTGGGCTAGATGCATAACCGATGTTCTCATCGATTACTTCCATTCTTTAGTTTTGATACTATTACTTCATTCCACTAATGCACGATTTAAATGTAGATAAAATCGAACATCCAATCTAATAATCTGGGTAATTTTTGTATTTGTTTTAAAGAAAATGTACTTTTCAGACTTCATATTACACACTTTTATTTATCATTAAAAACTAGCCTTTAAATCTTTGATTATATATATATTTTTTAAATCAGGTATGGATACATGGTGTCTTTCAGAACCAATCGATTTCGTTTTGTCTCGCAATAAAGAAGAAGAATTAGCATGCTTCGAATCGCGTCTAAGTAGTTATCTCGATGCGTTGCATCAACTATTTACCGGAAGTTGTACAGAGAATCAAATCGCTCTTAGCATATGTCGATTACCAACCACATCTGCGTCAGTTACATGTGAACAAATCGCTCAGGCAATCACTACTTGTTTGGTTACAGCTCACCGGTATTATTCTATGTCCCACTTATCAAGTGCCGATTATCCTGAGACTAGAGATTCTGGACATTCTATTAGACATAGTCTTTTTGCAAGGTATGTTACTAGGAATAGTATACAGGTTGAGTTTAAAATTACCAGTTACATTTGTGATCTATTGGTTTTTTGACGTATAACTTACTAACCCCCCAAAAAATGGTCATAAATATTCTGGGTACATAGCTCTTAATCATTAAGATTTTGTATTTTCAGTGTGAGACTTAACTAAGGAAAGTGTACAAACGGCTCTTCGATTTACAGTCGTTGCTTTTTTCTTTTGGTTAAACTATTTGAAGTAGAATAAAACCTATGCTATATATATATATATATATATATATATATATATATATATATATATATATATATATATATATATATATATATATATATATATATTTGATATATGAATTAGTCGAAATCTTCGCTCTAGGTTGTGTCATTTCTACTATCTCAAATTTATTTGAATTGGTTAGATTGTCTATGGTATAGCAAAAAGTTAACCGTGTTTTTCTCACTCCAGATTAACTTTTATTGATACAAACATCTATGCTTTTAAATTCAACTTGTTTAATTTTATAGATATTACCGAAAGAGGAGGATAACACTTTGATATTTCTTTTATTTTTCAAACTTTCTTTTATATTCCAAAGAGTGATACATTTTTATTATCATCTCTTCTTATCATCATAGAAAATACTCTACAGTTTTGTCTAACATTTCTTGCAAGCGTAAAAATGAAATTAATCATGGAATTAATTCGCTCCAGCAAATCGTAGAGAATTTAAGAAAAGGAAAAAAAATAACAGAGAAATCTTGTGAAATCACTTCTTTTATATCACTAAAAATCCAAAAATGACAAGCTAGGAACACTTGAAAAAATGCCTTGTTTGTACAGAGATATGCAATGTTATGTGGTATTTTTGTATTGTGGGAAAGCAAAAGAGATACAGCACCTGACCAGTTGATTTTCATACTAGTACATTCTTTCCCTTATATGCCAACTTTAGTCACACATAAAATATCAAGTAGAAATGAATTTTTTTAATTTTAAAAGTTGTTTTCAATTATAAACTGATATGAGCGCTTAAGAGTTACTGAAAAGCTAAAATGCTGTTTTGTTTTAATTTACAATTCAGTAGCATGATTGATGGATGCTTCTAACACCATATGACAGTTACAATATTATCTAAAATTGAAAATCCGTTGAGTTTAAACTATTCTGTTTCTGGTCAATATTCATTGTTTAGGGTACAAAATATCCATCTATGGTCTCATCAGTGTTTCATTTCTTTAATCTCAACTTTAATTTCAACGAATTTGAAAATTCTATATATTACTATGTTTGAAATTATTGTTATTATCTTATGAAGGCTATTGTGTGAAAATATATTTATATGGTAATTTCGGTAACAAACTAATATCAACTATACAATCATTTCAAGACAGAAAATGTTGCACAACTATTGTTGAGCAGTGACTAACATTGTGTTTATCTGATCCTTTAATAATATTCGGCTTCTGTCTATTAAGTTGAAATATAATTATCGGTCAAAGTGACTCAGTGTCACCTTCACTTTGTCTTGTTGTTAAGTTGTTGGGTCGTTAGAATTCGATCTGCATTAATGACTAAACAAATATGACATTGGCCATTACTCTGAGATCAATCAATCTAAATATCTCAATCCTATAGGATAAGATCAATCCCAACTCGAGTGAGTTATTGATGATGTTTCACTCTGTGGAACTGAGTGACTCGCGTTCGATCTATCCGGCGGCCAACGAGCATGAAACACTAGTCTAGACTTCCTTGCTAAATACTCTTTACCTAATACCTTGAAAATTATCTGATTTAAACCCTTATTGTTTCATGTATTTTACTCATTAACTGTTAACTATGTTGTTTGTTTTTATGACAAAAAAGGTCTTTTGAAAATTTAACTTCATCAGCGTTGGGCAATGCAGTTGGTTTAGGTAGTGTATCAGGAAGCATTGGAAGTGGATTATCATCTGCTGGTTCACATTTATGGACAAAATTAACTCCATATTGTGCTAAATCGAAACAAAAATCTCATTCTTTGCTCAATCGTAAAACTAAAGTGAGTAACATGATTAACATAACTACCATTATTTTAAACGGAGTCTTTAACTTTTGTCAAAAATATAACCCATGTTATAAAACTTGGAAACCAATTACATTTTAAAGCTGTTCTAGTTTGTTGTATGAGATTATTGAAAGGATTCTACCAAAAAATTATACATATGAATGCATGGTAAAATAGAAAAACCTTACTGTAACTAACCACTTGAAGTGTGATATGAGAAATAGTCAAATGTGAACGATTATGTTTTCACTCTAGTTTGTTAACTTGTCATAGAACATATCGTTATTTACTGAATACATACACTAATACGTAGTGACTTAAAGGACTACAAAGTTAGTCATCAATCTGTCAAAATCAACATCATTATTTGTGATCTAAATAGACTTAGTTCAATGTCTGTTTATCAATGTATAGATAGTAGACGAAAAAAACACTGCCTGTTAAAGGTTTCAACTGGTTCTTATGTTTTCCTAATCTCATTTAATAACCACTAGGAAACTATTTATTAATTTGATTTATAATGAGCAATTTGAATTTCTATTATGAAACCATGATCTATCAAGTTAAAATGAAACGTATCTGTTGAAGACAAATATTTATATAACTGGTTGTTTGAATCCAGGGCTTACTGAGATCAATGAATTCAGATCAATAGATTTCAGTTTAAACAACAACTTCATAACTGGGCTAAATCTAATAATTTCAGGCATTTTCATGCATACAATCATGTGTTTTACACTGATGTTGTTGTTAATACAATAATCATTTAGTTGTCAATGAAATTAAACTATTCAGCTTTAAATTTTAACCTATATAGAAATATTTTCACTTTATAAATTTTAGTAGTCATTTTTAAATGAACAATTTCTAATCAAAAGTGTCATAGTGACGGAACATTATTTTTGTTTCTCCAAAATTCTTTCTTGATTATGATTAAAAAATGGTTGGAAATATTATTATTATTATTATTATTATTATTATTGTCACTAATTTGACAGATAGAATGAATAAACAATAACAAACCGATTACTAAAAAACATATATTTTATTGTAAATGATGAATTATTGTGTTATTGCTGTTGTGATTATTGTCAAACTGTTTAATTTTATCATGTTCAATGGATTTTTTTTTAATCTAAAAAGTTCAGATTTACATTGAAAATTCTACCTGAGGAAATAGTGTACACTTTCTAATAACTAACTACATTAGTTAACATTTATTAAACCTTTGGTTATTGTCGAAATACTTTTTTTTTTTAAAATCACTTTTCAAGTAATTGTTTGAATTATTCCTTACAAAATGTTTTATGATTACTCTTTTCTTGAAAAAAAACAAAAACAAAACAAAACAAACGATTTTAGTGGTCTCACAAAGGTCATTCGTTTTATGAATACACTTATGAACGTGTTGTTAATTGTGGTGTATGTGGATTGTTATTATGGGGACTCAATTCACAAGGTTTTAATTGTAATAGTAAGTTGAATTTTTCTGTAATCAAATTTAATTATTATACTATTAAGGTTTGTATAATTTACATTTATCAAGTTCTATGAATGGACATTTGTTGAAAGTGTTAAGTGATTGGAATCGGTCGACAAAAGTTCGGGAACTTAAGTTTAGCATCAGAATGTGGTGCGCTCATTGTCCAGTCACTTAGATTAGAGACCACAGTGTAAATTAGTTGACGGAATTCAATCAGCACTAAATGGATTAGATAAATATTATATTGGTCATTATACGGTAATCAATCAATTTAATTAATTGAAAATCATTTGAACTCATTTATTTTCTGTCGCTTGGAAGTGCCTTGTTTGAGATTAAGCAAAATAACATATCTCATTCCATAACTTTGATCAATAATGAATATTAATGACTAGAAAATCATACTATGTAGCTTACTACTCGACTCGGTGAATATTTATTAGATCGAATTGACTATATGTCGATACAAAGTAAATTAGCGTATATATATATATTTTGTAAGTTATATGCTACTGAAATAGTGCTTATCATTTATTCTGGTTAGATTATAAATATATTTACTTTGTTTGAAAGACAAGAAATACTTTCTAAATCTAGTATTTCAATCACTTCATGTTGTTTCAAATCTAAAAATAAGTTTCTTCAATGTTTAAGATATTTTCACCTCTTATTCTTTTAGATTGTGATCTATTTTTACATTCAAAATGTAAAAATGGTATTCGAGATCATTGTAGTAAAGAAGGACGTAGAACAACGGGTTCTGTATCTGGAAATGTCTTAACTGGTATGCTTGGTAGTATACCAAATTTAACGATGGATACATATATTCCAAGCAACATACCGAACCAAATATCTTTGAATTCCAATCTAATTGGTTCGACTGATCGTATTTATCAAAGTAAGTTGTTTATGATTTTATAGATGTCGTGGCCTCTTTTTTCTCTGTTTGGTTAGTGGAAAATCGAAGGCAAATTAATTTTAGTTCAACATTTATTTTACTAAGTAATTCAGTACTATACTGAACAATATGTTTTTGATAGTTCAAGACATTTTGTTTAGTATAATGGAGTTTCTCAGCAAAGTGTGATTGCAAACGTATATGTTTCATGTGGGTCTTCTGAGCGTCAGCAGTTTGGAACTAAGTTATCCTAATTCTAGGAAGTGTATAAGCCTCTAGGATTTGTCTGTTGTAGGTTTACTATTCTTTTAAGCCTTAACAAAATTTAGCATATAGGATCATCATTGTTCTTCTTTCGCCACAGACTTTTCAATTTAGGCAATCCTTATTCTTATATACAAAACGCATGTTTCACAAAATACAAAACTCTTTAATCTCTCTTTCTAGTTTAAAAATAATCATTCAAATGAATCATACATTTTGATAATATTTTATCATTTCCTTGTGAGTATTTGTTGAAAGTTTTTTTAATAAATAGTGAAAAGGACTGTATTTACCTTCATGAGTTATAAGTGCTGTTTAATGTTTCCACTGGTAACACAAAAAACTGCAACTTGACTGTAAGTGAATAAACTTCTACTTTTTGTTTAGTATTTAAGAAATTCTATTTCCAAATGTTTCATGTGTACGTGTTATCATACCATTGCAACGTTATACTACCAACAAATTTAGAAAAATATATGTGAGGCACAACTTCAGCTATACATATCCATTGTTGTTACATTACAGAATGAATTTTACACAGTATCCTTAATTATAGAGTAAGATACTAAAATACGTAATCTTTATTAGGGACATATCTACGAACCTGAATTCCTTATCTCATCTAAAGAGTAGGGAAGAAGAGCATTATTGTTCGTCGTATTGCAGTCGGAGTTGTCAGTAATTAGCTTAGTACACAAACGTATCACTTAGCATGAATTTGAAAGTAACGTTATGTTGTGATATTTCAGTTTACTGTGTTATTTAGACTTATATAGAATAACTATGATTTCTAATTATCAATTCCGTTGAATCAACTCTGAAAATGTCTATCGTAAAATCATTCATTTTCTGTTTGATACATTTTATGATCATCGTTTGGTTTTTATAATTATTCATTAAAATCTCTTTTTGTTCTGTTTTTTTCTTTTTGCATTTTGTTTTCTCTACATCATAATTAAAATTAATTTGTGCACTAATAATTAACAATGTCTGTTATAATCTGAATGCGGACTGTCATTAATTAACCTTAATAATAATGCTAATAATGATAACAATACTAATCATAATAACACTGAATTACAGATTACACTACTCGTCGACGTTGTGGCTCTGATACACGACATAGACAGAAGAAAACTAATACACTAAAAGATTTTCATCTCTTACCTTCATTTCTTCATCGTAACATTGATGGTATTTATATATAATTAATATTACTATTAACCATTTTTGATCTATAAAAAAAAACACACATAACATATGCATTTATTGCTAATATTGGCAAAGTATTTAATTACTGTTATAGTGTTGTGTTATCGTTACCCTTTTCAATTTATATATATATATATATATATATATATATATATATATATATATATATACTTACATATGTGTAAGAAGTGTAGCATTAGAAAGTGTTGATGAATTTTCGCCATTATGAAGCTACAAGAGCAGTTTTTTTCAATCCATACATTTGTGTATGCTTGAACACTGAAGAAATTCACTATCATTCATCAAATGTTACTCGAAAAAGCCTTATCGTTTCATGTCGAAAATTTAGTTAAAAAGATAAACAACATGAAATCCATCTATTTAACTCATAGTATCTCAAGATTTTTCACTATTAATTGTGATAATCTACCTGTATTAACTATATTGTTTCAATTCATTTCAGTAGATTAGTACGTGATAACGTTAACAGTTATTGTTTTTTTTTTTAAAAACCGCTAGTAATATTTGCATAGCAAAAACTAGGAGATATTTCTGAAATTATATTAGTTCACCTAATTCTTAGTAGATATCAAAATGTTAACATTTAACAAAAAAAAATTCTCAGTGATTAAATAACTCTATTAACCTCAAATTTTTCTTTGTTCTTCAAATTAACATACTTTTATGCATAGTCATAAATACTAATTAAATTTTAACAAAAGCTGTCTGTATTCATTGTTTCACATTTCGTTTTTATGCTCAGTGTGTTATTCTACATCTGTTTTTCTCTAAGTCGTATATATATATATATATATATATATATATATATATATATATATATATATAAAATCGATAAATCATTACATATCAAATCTAGCCTACACATATTCATTTTGTCCACATAGAAAGTTTGTTCTGTGTGCATGTTCATTGTTTAGTGAGTAGAATAAATTAAAACAAGAAAAGCAAGTTAATTAAATTGTTTTGTATGATGTTTACTACTCAAAATGATGTGAAAAGAACAATTTATACATTCATCACTAAAATAACTAGTAATGCAAAATGTTGATTATTCTCCAACTTTCTGTCTCTCTCCCTCCCTCACATCAAACACTGCTGTTAATGCATTCTCTTATCGTATTGATTTCAGTAGGAAGACAGAAAAAAACTTACTGTTTATAAGATTAGTTTGTAATTTTAACTACTTTAATTGTATTTACCTGAAGTGGTTTTTTACCATTAATCCTTAATGCAGTTTTCAAGTACTCTACGTGTATACACTCAAAAGTAAAACAAATAAATTGAATGACTAACCAATGTTTAGTATTTCGTATAATACTGTCTCATTTTATCACGTTACTCATCAACGAAAATTCAGAATTTGAGAAGGAAACTAGACAGTAGTAATATATTTCCCGTATTTAAATTAATTTTCATCGTTATCTCTCATCCTTTTAAAACCATAAACTTTCAGTCAGAAGTTCAAGTCTGACAATTAATTTTTTTTGTGAAACCGACTCTGAATCATATGTTAGTTGCATTTATATCAGTTGTAGAACCGTTTCATTTTATCCAGTTTATTGGATTTTCGTAAATAGTGAGTAGGGATGCACAATTATTTGTGTCAACGATGTGTTTGGAAGTCAAAGATAAACGTGACAATTAATTCAAAATTTTAAACCCATTTGTTTTAACCTAAATACTTATTACAATCAACATTTCATTACTTCACAAGTAAAACTTAGTATTAGTATGAAGTCTTGGATGCTCACTTCTTAGAAGGTCGCACGCAATATAGGACAAAACAACCGTCCATTGCTTCCATTTTTTCAATGGTGGCTCATGATTTCAATGAAAAACTGGCTATATTTTGTTGAACACCGATCTGTCTACTTATCATTTGTTTGCATAGCAAGACAATCGGATTTCTTACATTCTTTTGTCACTTTTCGTTCCTACTGGATGCTTACATCACAAGTCACATGACTGTTGTCATTTCTAAGTCATATAGTTTTTCAATATAGCAATCTCAGATATCTGGTGAAATTGAAACCAATTTTAGAAAGTGTGTAGTCACGAAAAAAATTTTTTTCTACATATAATCGGTATAAAATATGGATTCTTCTCAAGTTTTTGATTGTAGACTACTTGAAATAAATCAAAAGCAACTCTTTCTACTTCTGTTACACAGCAGTGATATCAGGAGATAGATTGTTATGATACTTTCGGAATTCGCTTCTCTTTGCTAATCTAATCAAGCTTTTTAAACATAAATCTTTTTGGCTATATTTTCCGCTGTTTAGTTTGGTCTATTTCTGTGTTGTTGTAGTATTTATGTAATTGTTCGTATTTTTTCTTTATATATTTAGCTAACTCAGTTGATAATCCACTGGACGTTGTTGCTTCTCTAGATGACACACTCAATTCATCGTGTCAAGATTACACTTATAGTTCTGGACTGAATGAAACCTCGTCAATATCAGGTAATGGATGTGGTGACACATCTGTCAATTTTTCTTCACCAGGATTATCGAAACGTGATTCAGTTTCATCATTGTCAGCTACGTCTAGCTGTCAAAGTCCTACGTGTTCTCATCCACAATCTGGTATTGATCAAACAGAAGGAATAAAATGGAATAAAGAGGAATCCGGGATTGCGAATAATAATCCGCGTAAGTTGAGAATCTCATTTTTTCCCTATTTTGAATGTAGATAGTATAGGTTAATAGGATAAATTACCATTATCTTACAGATTTATTGTAGTAAACAATCTCATTGCATGGCTCTCTGTAATCCTTTCTTTCTTACGGTACTCAATCTCTTTTGTGTATTGTAATCTATCAAAGCTTATTTACCAAATACGAGTTTGTATATATATCATTCTTCTTGTTTGGATACTGGAATTTCGTATTGTATTACAAATATTTCCAATAACTCCTAATATTATTTCATCATTCATTGAACAATTTTGATAGTTTAGATTTATTTTTCTTTCACTTGATTTTAGTGAATCATATAAACTTATTGATTATTTAGTAATCTTGCTTTTCTGTTCAGATGCATTTCTCTTTTTCACAATTCTGTTCGAAATAAGTTATTGTTTTACAAACAAATTGATGATATCTCTTCTCAAGTATTTAATCATTCTACACATTTGATTCCTCTGTTTCATCCATTTATTCTAACTTGCCGTTCTTTCACTTAGTCTTATTTTTACTCTTGATGTAACGTTAAGATAAGACACTAATGTACCGAATTTTAAACTATCTATCTCCTAAACTATATGATGTCCAACTTTTTTCTTTGTCATTGTTTTTCGATCAAACGATTACTCTCTCTCTCTTTCTTTCTCTGGCTCCGAATCATACTTTCAAAATTTATCAATTATAATTCTAGTGTATTTCCTCATAGAATTGAATAACAGAATCCAGTTTCTCAAATTTCTCATCAATCCTATGATATTCATATGTCATGGTTTGTAGTTTTGAACTCTCGAAAAATTCTATAAATTATCATGACTGATTTCTTAAGCTTTTTAAGATCCATGAAATGTCATATAAAATTACCTATGTGATTTAAACTATTACTGTCAAATATATAAAAAGACTAAATAACGCGATCAGTTCATTTTAGTGTAGACATTTTTAAAGATGTTCACCAATGCTGTATTTGAATACAATGAGAAATTTAGATCAGTTTATTTCCATTCACAATTTTAGTAAATTCTAAGACACAGTAGTGTTTATTGTTTTCCATGCTATCTGTTTGTTGTTTTTGTCTAATTTCTTGTAAACATTTAATGTGAAGCAATAGGAACACTGATTCTCTGACATATTTTTACAACAAAATAGCTTCGTGCTATATATAAATGTTCAATTAGTCATGTACTATTTTCAGAAACAAATGTATTAGTTAATCATTAAATAATGATGAATATAAGGTTTATCTTATTTTTGGTGATGATTGAATCCATCAACCAGATGATGACATTATGATCACTACTAGTCTAAGTGACTGAACATCTATTGAACCATGTTTTAATGATAATTGGTTAAAATTAATCGATTCCAAACGCTGAACTTAAATATTCTACTAGTTGGCATTCGTCAACAAAGCATACTTTCAATCTTGCGATTACCGAAGCTATTCAAGGGAATTTGAATCCATGTCATACAACCGCAAGTAAATGTCCTGTTATACTCCTATCTTATTATCACTTCAAAAATGTATAGTTGTGTACCATTCAGGCAGTAATGATTCTGTTTTGTAAATCAACAAATGAAGTTAATTTCTTTCGGATCGCATTATTTAGTTTTCAACAACGTGATTATTGACTTTGATTTTGAGAGATTCTAATATTGTTTACTATAGTTCTAATGGATTCACCTGATATATAATAACTGAACTTAACACAACATTTTATCTATTCATCTAGTTATTAGTAATAATAAGTCTTATATAAATTGTCCTTATTTTTTCTATAGATGATAGTTTATTTTTTGTTTGATAAGCAAGTTAGTTTCACACATGAATACTCCAACTAAATATTATTTCACTAGTTCATCTCATCGTGAGTAAGAAAATGTTCATTCAGGTAACAAAGATTGAGAAAATGATTTTCAGGTCATTTACATAACTAGAGATGTATTTTTTAACCAGAAAAAGTTATACCATTGTTTCATCATAGTTTACAACTATCCTGTAATAGGATCAAATGAAGGCTACTTCATTGTAACAATAGGTAATCAATAATACAGTGAGTTAATTACATTTAAAATCTAACTGTATTTTTACTTATTGAAAGATTCGCATAAAATGTCATCGATCAGCAAACGTTTTCTTACTCACTGTAAAACAAATGTTTCAGTAAACAAAATCGTATTCTTAATTTAAGATAGATAACATTTTATAATCGTGAATAGGTATTATACATCATCCATCAAGTTAGTTAAATACGCGTAACAAATATTATCATGTGTAGCTGTGTATACATTTCAATGATTCTATGAATCTTAGTGAAATATGACAAAGGCTGATCTTACAGTAACTATGTATTATCTAGCATAAACATGTATCATTGTTGTTGCGATCGTTATAGTTCTGCGAACTCCACAAGAATTAGTCTTAAATGTTTGTTCTGCCATTCACTTAAGTACATTTATCTTCAATGGAAAAATACAATAAAGGATATAACAAATTTAAACGGTTTCAATCTTTAATTATTTGTATTTGAATAAGCAAATTAATGCCAAATTGATACTTATATCTATAATTAAACAGTGAAGTAGTTTACATTCTCTCATATAAATATATATTTATGTATATTTTTTTATATTATGCAATAAATTCAATTAATTTTTTCTTTATACCGTTTTTTTTTCTTATTTTCCAATCTGCACATGGATATACACACTATCTAAATATGTAATATACATCTACTTTATGTATCTGTCTTCTATCTATATATTGTTTCCATGGTATTCATTGTTTTTTATGAACTGATTTCATATACGCATACATTTTTCTTGGTTAATTTTTTTTCTACACTATCTGTTGGGGTTTATTATGGTGTTATATTCTTCATCATAAAATTGTTATCATATTAATACATAACTATGGCTCTGTGATCATTTATATTCATATTTATGGAATTGCTATAATGTGATATTTTTAAAATTTGTCTAATTTATTTATATATCATATTGGGATTCATTTATTTTTGTTTTTTTGGTGTACACATGAACATACATCAATATATGCATATTTACATAAATTGATCATTGAATTTGTTGAATATAACATTGGTTGTTCTGATTATTATTATTATTTATTATTAACTCCATTATCTCCATTTTCGGTCTTCCTTAAATAATGTTTTTATTTGATACACTACTTCATCATATATATATATTTGCTAACTTTCACAAATACATCACTGATATGCTTACTTTCTTTCTGCTTGTGTGTTAACTGCTTTTGTGGCAATTGCTAATATATATATTTTTTAACTATCTAAAATTGTACTAAATCGTTCTACTGTTTGTCTTGTTTTCATCTGAAGATGGTAAAGTCACATCGGATTCCAGATCATCATCACGTCGTCCCTCAAGTATAATAATTAAACAAGGTTAATTTACAATGTATCTACCGTTTCTTTTTTTTCTTCAAAAACAATAAGCGTTTGATATTGATTGATGATGAAGAATAACAAAACTTATTAGTTTTAGTATAAAAGTTAGGTTACTAGTTAGTTAATTATTTTGATTGATAATTTAAATTAAGTCCTCCTCCTCTTCTGCTTACAATTTCTTGAATGAATTTCTGTTCCTTTCGTTGATTGTTATTGGCTTGTTTATGATTAGAGTTTGATTCGATATCAACCTTCTTTCTGTTTATTGCTAAATTTTTATTCACTAAATTGTTTTATTCCACTGATTGCATACATGTTTGTTAGGTAGATAATTAAAAAACCTGAACTTACACATCTTGACTTGTTTAGTTTAAATAATCCGGTTGTACGACATTCAATGACACATAGTTTGGTCATTCATTATTGGACATTAAATCAGTATACTAGTTACCATTGAACAAGTTTTGGATAGTCGATCAAATGTAATACCTATGGTATATTACATTAGAACAACACATATAAGCAAACAATATTGTTTTCGATTAGATCGTCATCAGGCTTTACTGTAATATCCATGATTATTTATATGAAAACATTAAACCAATCAAGGCAATTTGAGTGATAATCACAATGAAATGAAAAAGATTACGTCACTACATATGATAGGCAAAAGTACAAGTGGATAGTACGAAGACAGGTGAGTAGTACTGATAATAGTAAGAAAATTATGAAATATGATAACTAAAGTTTTATCAATAGTAGGTCAAAGGTGGATAAATAGACTTCAAATAATCATTAAAAGCATCAAAACCATTACGTAATAAGCAAATGTGTAAAAATAAAAAAATAAGATAGAAAATAATGTCAATCGTTAGTTACGTCATATCCGGCTACGGAAGAGATAGGGGTGTCACGAATTTCTTTTGAACACATAAATTGGGGCTGAATGTACGAATTCCTATGGCTTCTGCTATGTGTAGGAGACGGGATCGAACTCCGTTGGGAAATGATTGAGGTATACGATAGATCACCCGAAAAGAACTAGATTTATCTATATATGGCCACTATCAACCAGGTATGCTAAGATCGAAATGCCTATTATTTTTGACTGACCCTTCTTAAACCATGCTGGGAGATGTCCACTCATTCGTTGGTTAAGTTGCCTGGTAGTACGCCCGATATAGCTATCTCCACAATACTGTTCGCTTATATGTGTTGTTCTAATTTTCACGATGGGAATCTTTAGTATATTACATTTCCCATAATAAACGTTTCGTATACTAGTTATCCTTTTTTAAAAATCTCTTTTAATCTATACACCTACAGTTGAAAAATGTTGTGAGATAAGTGAAAATGACTAGTAAATATAGAAAAAGAAGTTAATCTGTGCTCATTTTGAAAGATATTTTCAATAGAAACTATTTTCTACGCTAATTATGATTCATTTTCTTTGTTAAGAATGTTTTATACTTTTAATATCACTCATTATTGTTATGCTTCCTAATTATAATTTATTTCGTTATGTATGATGCCTACTTACTTATTTACGCCTATTATCCCTAATGAATCGTAGGCCGCTAGCCAGCATTCTCCAACCTATTCTATCTATAATAATAGAGTATTGTTGTGGATTATTGATTTTTTTGTTTGAAGTTACCAAATTCAAAAATCTGAAATACCACGCTAATTAGCAAAATAATCAATCATAGTACACTGTAAGAAAAAAGTTGTTTATCACTACTCTGTACATGTTTGTGTTGTTTTTACAACGACAAATGCTATTGAAATAATTACCTTGGTCAATTTGTTTTTTATGCAGAAAAGGACATCAATACGAAATCTTTACCACATGTTTACGCAATTACAGTTTTCCAACTAATGATGATAACTAAAATGACGACCACAAAAACAACAGTGTTTTAAACCTGCCAGTTATTTTTTGGAATTTTATCAATGTTATGTTTTTTTTGCTTGCAATGTAATTAAATAATGCTCTCTGTGTGTGTATGCATTGTATGTGAATAATGGTTATCTGAGTTGCTTTTAGTTTACTTATTTACTCTATGTTAAATCTATGCAACATTCATTATTTGCTTGTATGGATTTTCATCTTCAATATCGGGATTCACAGACATCCAGCTGACGATTTCCAAGTCAGAGGAAACGAGTGTTCTGGATTACAATGCCAACCACCACCCACCTTTTTCTAAAATACTGCTTTGATTATGTTTCTTCCTAAATACGTTTACATATTTGTGTATTCCTATTAAAAATTTCTTCTTACCCTTAGGGTTTTATATAGCTCTTTTCTAGTTGTACAGATTTTTGTTTATTTTCAATGCTATAAACAACTTTTTTGAAAGCTCTGTTCCTACTTTAGAGTTATCCTAATATGATTGTTTCATAAATTTCATTTGTTTGTTACTAATAATCATCAAACATGTCTTAGCACCAATTTTACAAATGTCTGCAATTCTGTTAATCGTTTTGTCTGTTACCTGTCGTGGAATATAAACAGCTGACCAGCAATTTCCAACTTACTCTGTCTTGGACTCTTCTATGTGTTCCCTGAATTTCTGGTCTTGTCACTTTGTTACTGTTGATTTTTCGGATGGCCATACTGATATATTCGAATTTTGGTAGGGTTACATCTGTAGGAAAGTTCTTAGTTAACGATTTTCTAATGAGGTTATTTTCTACCAGATGAGTTTGATAACCTCATGTCCAACCCACCTACTTTATCCGGGATTAGGATCTGCGGTAATCCTAGGATTGTTTCAGGCATAGTTGGCATATTTGATAACTCATTTTTATCGCAAATAAAGGATTTTCCAGTAATAACGGTATTTGTAATATCGCTAGCCTTCCCCTAAACACATACATTCTCAGAACAGCTTCTGTTAGTTGCCTTATCGGTTTGTTAAACCGTAGTCATTTAACTAGCTACCTTTGTTACCTTATGTTCATTGCTAAATTATATCGGGCACAGAACTAGACAAATTCATCACCACTCATGGTTGACCAAAGCACAAAAAATAACAAGAAGCTCTGTTTCATTGCATCCTTAATTTATGTGTCATTATAAGATGATCGATTTCTTTTCTTGTTAGGCTACTTTCAATTATTTATTATACCAAACTTTAATCGATTTTTATTTCCAGTAATGTCCAGTACTAGCTAGTTCGTAAATTTCCGATTAACAGAAAACTGCACCGAACATGAAGGAGGGGGGTGGTGACTTTCAAAACATTTTCTCATCACCTGTAGTTCATGCATCTTCACTATATCATTGATACAAATTTCATTCTGTCTATATCAATTGCCTTTGTCTATTATTTTACAATATTATAAATGTGTGCTGTACACGTACATTATATATATCAATATCATTTCTTACATTTCACATTTTTAATTCATGTGTATTTTTGGATGACTCAGAAAATTGTCTTTTATTCATTTTACAATCATACATTCTTTTATTGTCTGGTTTATTTCATTCTTTGTTCTGTGTTTATCTTTTCTGTTAATTTTTTTTTTCTAAACAAAATGAAGGTTATGTAAAACAAATGAAAAATCTGTACGAAGGAAGTGAAATAATACAAGAAACAATTCCAACATCTCGAAGGTATACTTTTTGATTGATAGATCAATAATATTTTTTTATTATTCATTCAGTAATTAAATATATGTATTAATGGCGACGGATAAAAGTCGCCTATCGTGTCATTGGTTCATTATCTTGTTCTCATTTATCGACCAAGGTGAACTCGTAATAGTTGCAAGCAAATCATGTGACGACCATAACGTTCTATTCTTTCTTTTTACACAGTCGGTCAGTTCAGTCATATGTAACTTAAACTCAAGTGTCAGTCATCATTATGACGAAATGATTTCGATTAGTTAGTTTTCCAAGTTGTGTTGTAGATGATAAAAAAGATTCTGTAAACAGTACTGATTGTTGGGACAATATATTGATATATTAGCCTCCTTGTATAGTGTATAAATTCAGCTAAATTTTGTTTTGTCACTGTTGAAAGTTATGATAACCACCAGATCATGGAAGTGTTGATTGCAAATAATTCTCATAGAAACAGCCTTTTCATTAAAATGTTGATATCGTTAATTTAAAGTTATTTATTCAATTGTTTCATTTCATATTTCACGGTAAAAAAGAATGTCTAATTTACTGTTGACAAGATGTTTTTCTGCAAAAATGCTATACCAATGATTTTGTGTGAGATTGAGTTGATCTGATAAAATGTTATTTATTTGCTATATGCAGTTATTAGATAGACTCAGTAACGCACCAAATGATATCTTACCTATGAGGAAGGAAGTAACATCCGAATATCCGTTTTAGATATACTTTTTAGTCGAAGGGTGCGTGAAAATATAAAGTGGTCAGTTTATAAGAAACCAATCCGAAATGGGTAATGTTTAAATTTCAAAAGTATTTGTACACTGCAACACAAGCGAAGCTAGTTAAAGTTCCTCTTCAACATGACTCAACAAACATGCATTACAGATACGTTCGAAGAAGACATGAAACTACTAAGAAAACATTGATATCAAACGGTTACACGCTTACATTTATTAATCAATCCAATAATCGGTTAACGCCGAAATCTCTTCTTAATGCTTCTGTGAGGAAATGAGCTTTAAACCATTCAGGCGCAAATCAGGCAGTATGTTGTGAGAAGACTGAAACTAGAAGTAGCCATTGATAAAAAGTAATGCCGATTGAAAAGTCAATGCGTATGGCTCTATATAGGCCTGGAAATCGCACAAACCAATACATCACATCACATTGCATTTACCGATTTACGTTTTTGTATGGACACATATACATGGGGAGGAGTAATCGAACAATGTGATCAAGGGTTACGGAACCTGTGGTAAATGGCTTTCAGTCATTTACAATGTAGAACTTCGTACGTACGCACATAAGTTCATGTTACCATACCACATTAGCACAGAGACTCAATCATCAGTTCAAATCCCATAGTAGTAGAGGTAGTAGAAATATAAGCGGTAATGGAGAAGATTAGGATTCGAAGATATTATTCAAGAAGTATAATTCAGTGAAGTAAATTTGGGAAGAAAGGTAGAGATGATGAGGAATTTAGAAGGTTAGAATTTGAGAGAACACAAAGGATGGATGCACCTGCACCATTGCAAACAATTTGGAGCCATACCATGGCTCTATAACCAGCTAATGTCAAATACTGAGATTATTATGAGATGCATAAAACCGTGCTAATCTATAACAAAGCACATGATTGAAACGAAACATAAAATTGACATTAATACAGCTTTTGAAAGCTTGTAAACAAATTGTGCAGGGCGAATTACTATGTTTATAGAAATTTTGACTATTCATAGATTCAACCGCCCCCTCCTATTTAGACAGAATGGATTTGTCGTAACTTTTAACTTGCCCTGGTAATCGTTCAGTCATTTTAAGATCTAGGGTAGTTAGATGAATTCTTTTCAAATTGTGTTAATTTTATCTCATCTTCATTTACAGTTATTATTATATGGTTGCTTGAACTTTTATCTAATTTTAATTGACCTTAGTTAATTTTTGTAAGATATGCATTGATAAGTATGTGTGATTGGAGTTTTCTGAATCAATAAGACAAAATTATCACATTTTTCAAATCCATTCTGTCTCCTCGTTGTTTTATCAAAATTAACAAAACGAACTATCTGCTTTAAATGTTAATTATTGATTTCTTTGATGTCCTCGAATCTTTTTAATTTTCAGTGATAGTATCGTTTCAAATATTTCTTCAAATTTACCGACACCAAGTAGCACGGGTTCATGTGATCGTGCACCCGAAGCATTATCATCACCAGCTTCATCATTGTTCAGTATTTCTGCATCGAATATCAATGACACTGTACGTGAATTAGTTACCACAGATTGGAGTGATGATCCAGAAATGATTGCAGGAGCAAGTTTTGAAGCAGCTGTTGAACTACGAGCTCAATTTCCTAATTTTCAAATGGCTAGTAAAGTATGTATCAAAACTTTTCCTCAATCTTGAATGTCTTTGCTCTTATTCAGTATTAGGTAATATTAAGAATTGGATTTAAGTACATGTATATTCTATCTTTCAATCTACATTTCTGTAATGTACCTTTTATTCTAGGGCTTGTCGATTTCAAGTATCTCTTTTTTCAATCAACGTAGAACAGTAGACCAATAGTTAGGGGATTCAATTTTCAATCACTATATCACAGATTCAAGCCCCACTTCAGCTTTTTTTACTTAGAGAGCCAGGTAGTATCATCAGCCTTCAAATATCAAATATGACTCATATCCGTTTATATGATTCTGTACTTGATGAGTTGAACCATCACCGTATTTTATGAACATGAAAAAAAATGTCCCGCCAACAACAGGCAAAATATTTTCCTCACAGTGTAATGAACTGTATTTGGATTCCCAAGGCGACCGAAAAAAACACCACTAATATATGTTATTGGATCTTAATTGACATGATAGATCAAGCAACTACCAAATTAATAAGAACCTGATGTGATTGTAATAGGCGAGGAGACTGGGTTCTTCAAGTTAACTTATCACTCAAGAAAAGTTGTCAAAAGTCACTGTACGCATGATATTCTACTTGATCCGAGCAAAGAAGTGACGGATACTAATAATAGGCATTAATTACACATATTTTTAAACAACTCCAACATACGTGTGCTTTGTTTGATGAAAAATAAACTACCTATTTGAGAATATTTTGAAAGCCAAGATCAAGCACTAATCTGTTAATTTTATAGAAGTAAAATCAGTGTACACTATCAATCATATATAATATAGAATCTGACAGATATATGTATCAACTAAGGTTACTTACTGTATCACATTAGTACAGTATGAAAAATAAATTTCATATTTAAGATATTGTGATAGTAATATTACAATTAGTCTAAAGACAAATATTATTTATTTATACTATAAATCATTTCATTCGAAATTGTTTGAATTTTGTCGTACTTTTTTCGCCATTACGTACCTACGTCTAGTCTAATCTTATTTATTATTTAACATTAATTATTATCAATTCATCAACATTGATAACATGTAACAGACTGCCCTAATGTCACACACACATTTATGTGTTGTATTGCTAGTTCGACTAGTTGTTATGCAAAAAAATTTGCAAAATATTTGTGACATTTCCAAATGTTTTCTACTTGCCTAACCATTACCTTCATTTGTTATCAACCTAGATTGGCAAAAAGGAAGAAAAATGTGTTCTCCTTTCCTATTTTTCATTCATATTTTCTTTTACGTCATCCTAAAATATGTATTTTGTTCTTTTTGTTGTCAAAAAAAGGGTCAAAAAAGCGAAGAATATGTTCGTACACTAGTTTTATTGGAATTTCATCAGAAAACTCAATATATGGTTCGTCATTTAAAACAATATGAATATTTATTATTACGTCGTTGGCCTGTGGAACATGCGAAATTGGCTAAAATTCTATGCCTTGATCAAATTCCTATATTGATTAGTCTTTTTCGTAGTCTTGTCACGTGTATTGATCAAACAAAAACAGAACAAGGTTATCGTGGTATGGCTGAAGCAGTTCTAGCCTGGTTAACTGATAATTCATCAGCTAATTTAAAAGTAAATTAACATTATCAACTCACAGAAATTATTATTATTTTTTTTTAAACATGTAGTAACTGTTTGTTTCAAAACAATCATTAGTAGTAGTAGTAGTAGTAGTAGTAGTAGTAGTAGTAGTAGTAGTAGTAGTAGTAGTAGTAGTAGTAGTAATGGAGGTAGTAGAAGAACCTTTTTTCGCTCTAAATTAGTTTATTTGATTCAAAACAAAACAAAACACACTCTATTGAGATTTCGAAATCTCATTCTAAGTATTATGACTGAAAAATAAATAACTTCTTTTATAAAATTTAACCAATAATATTCAGTAAATCCTTACTAAGTACTCAAGTAATTCATTTCATAATTTACAGCACGAACTGACTTCAATTCAGCAAGCATTTAAAAACAGGATTCACTGAACAGTTGAATTGTCAACGCTCATTCACGTCTCCATTGCAAGTCAAGCAATCCTTACTAACTGTCTACACTGATAATTGGCAGATACTTAGTAATGACTAATTTTTAGATTTCATTCTTGGATTTCTAATGATAGGTTGTGACTAATGTAAAGCAGTTACGCACTGATGACATAAGAAGGCGGATGCACAATATCGAGAAATGATTAGAGTTAATCATGTAAATCATAATATTTCGACCCAGATATTCACACACCTACTGCGTGAATAAAGGTCCTAGGTTCAACGCTTATTTGGATCGTGGATGCGCAGCACTGAGGATTCTCCAATACTTTCCGGTCTTCACTGGTTCTCTAACTACGACCAGTGGGTGATTTTATTCACAAGTGGGTTGAATTTCTTTAGAATCCATTTTTGTTGGTCACCCTAGCTAAAATACAATTAGACTGTAGTGTCGAAAGAGCTCACCTGAATCTCTGATAATTTATACTGGAAATTCCCTACTGTATCAAAAGTTATAGTATTGAATAATGTAATTATTTTTATTACTATTCCCATTCACATTACTGTTTTCAACACACATGTTTTTCTGAACACTTTTTTATCTTTACAGACATGGGCTCGTCATTGTCAAGCTCTTTCATGTTCAAATATGTTGGAAAGTGTTCGACATGCTGTTCGTGATTATGTTCGCCGACATCCAGATATTGTGCCTCTATTACAAACTAGGCATAATAAATTTGTCTTAATTGAAGGTTTAAAACAGATGCGAATTCTCTACTTTAATTTACCATTAATTGCCAATAATATTGCAAAAGATTTAGAAAAAAAGACTAAAGTATATAAAGGTAATTAGTAAAATCACTCTTTTTTTATTATTGGATATATGTATCTATGCTAGTTTCATATACTCAGATGAATTAACTGTTGATTATCAAGTTGCTCTTTCAATTACTGTCTCATGAATTATTGTTTAATGATTGCCGCAACATTTCTCGGTCTTGCTAGCGTGTATTTGTAGTTTTTCTGTTTTCGATGTAGATAGCTAGTTTAGCTTTATTAAAAGGATCATAGAATGTATAACACTGTAATGAGTGTATGCAACTTTAACCTGCAGAGTTGATTTGAGGGCTATTGATACTATTGATGTATTGCACAAACTGAAGTGAATCAAGCTTGATTCAAACTTGTGACATACTGATCGAAAGCCGATTGTTTTAGCCACTAATTTACCTTTAATATAGCTAGTCAAACTGTTATTACGCTATATGTAAAGATAATTACTAATTTTTATGGCAGGATTTTTATTATCTAATCTATCATTCTAGGCCTACAATACTTTATATTATTCATTAAAAAAAAAAAAAAAAAAAAAAAGAAATTTTCGTCATATTTTCCATTTCATTGCACTTCAGTTCATGTAAACTGTACCATTGAAAAGAGATTTTTTTTCTTGCTTTTTCAGCTGAAGCTAAAATTTGGCAACAAATTCAATTGAAATTGGCCAGTTTACCACAAACTATTGATAATGTTTGTATGCCTCTTGTAAAAAGAATTAATCTTGGTCAATTATGTACTAGTTTGGATAAAAAAGATATTTTATCTAAACCACTCCCTGATTTATTGCTACCGTTTCAAGTAAATGTCTAATTGTTTTTTCTGTCCTCATTATAAATAATATTTTCTTTTTATTGACTTGAAGTTGAATTGTGCAATTAATTTTAAAAGCTAATTTTATCATCGGTTGTTGAAAAGAAATGAACAGTTTAGTTATTTGTTCAACTTGTTTAGATCAATGCTTTGTTAAACATTGTGCATTTAGATTAAATAATCTCAAAAACATACTCATTTATTTATCATTATATTAAAGCCTTTAATTGATAGTGGGATTTTACACTTTACCTCTTGGAATTCAACAAAATAGATAAGGAAGAAAGCCAACTTGCCTTTAATCATATATTATTGATCAACTAACTTGACAATTTTTCTGTACATTTATTTGTCTCTGTGGACCCAACGCATCTTCTCTATTTGAGCATCATTCATACAAGTTATTTTGACTATTGTTATTAGTACTGTCAATGAACCAGGATAAAGAATTTTTTCCTTATTCTCTTTACCACTGAAATCGCAACACAAATCTTTCTATTGAATAAATTTGATTGTGTGCAAAAGCATTATCAACATGTTCAGAACAGAATAATAGAGTGGTTGATTAGTATTGTCTCAAATCTATGTCTTACGGTACACAATATTGATAAGCAACAACAACAAAATCGGGTTCAAGATTATCTACTAGTTTCTGTCAAACATATTTTACTACTGAATTGAATATGAATTAAAACTGTGTTTGTGTTAAGAATTTTCATTAACTTTGTTTTATTAGTAAAATTTGTTTTCTCTACCTAATTCAACGGTATATAATTTTTTTTCCAATACATTATTTTAAAGCATTTACTTCTGAACTTCCCTCGTGTATTATTTCATTATTGGGTTGTCGCACATGCTGAAGTAACTGTTGATAAATTAACAGCGAATCGATCAAATAAAGTAAATCATGATTATATTTGTGAACGAACAGATATGTTAGCTATTCTCTTACACAATGCACTTATTTTAATGGTGAAAGATAATGAACGTTACATTCTACGAAGTTTTAAAGCTGTACGTGAACAAGGCGGTGTTGGTAGTAGCGGAAGCTCCAGTACTTCTGGTGGTAGTGCTGTTGGTGCTGTTGAACGTTTCTCCAGTTTCGGATCATCCGGTACAATTAGCGAGAAAGATCGATCTAACCTCAACAATCTATCTGGTCATTCTTCTGTCTCTTCATGTAGTTCCCTGAGTTCTGCTGTGCCCAATTCAAATATTCAATCACACGCAAGCCTCGTGTCAGCAGCAGCTAATGCTGCAGTTGTCAGTATGACTGATCGTTCTTCGACATCTTTGGGAAGTTCAAAACTTGTACCTATATTCCCATTGATAGATGTGTTTACTTCATGTGGTGAAAAATTTGGTTAGTTTGTGCAATAGTTTGATTTATTTGTTTTCTACCGCTTGTGAATAACACTGATATTATTTGCTTCGCATAGAATAGTTTAAGACAATTCTTACAGTTTAATCTCAATAGTCACTTATCATTATGAAAGTTATCAAATTTGTTCAGTATATACTAATTCATGTAGCATAATCTAAGGACTAACAATACTATTTCCCTAATTTCATTTAAAATTCCTTACTGACATTAACACATTCAGCTTCTGAACATTGAATTTCAATGAATTTTATTTCACGAGATTGAGAAAGATGCTTACAAGGCATACCAATTCGAATGTTCATTACTACTTAGGCATGATTTTAATAGTTTTAATATATTTGTACTTTAGAGTTTTCAGTATGTTAATCATGTAGATATGTACGTGAAAATGCTGACCTTTTTTCTCTATTCAACTTGAATGGGATAAAATTGTTTCAAACCTAGACATATAAAACAAATATTTTCAAAAGTTTTCACTTTTGTTTTTTTTGAGATTTCTATCGACCAATAAAAAAAAGACGTCAGATGCTTTTTGACTAACATAAAAAATTAACTTGTTTCCGATGTTATTTCGGTAATTTGTAAAAGTTTGAGTATATTTAATGATTGTATTTATTTAAGAAGTGATTTAGGATTTAATAATAATAATTGTAATAATAAAGGATCTTTAAACTACTGCAGATACCTGTTTGACAATTAAACTCACTGCTTAATGGAGTTAACTAGTGTGTTGTAATTTTGCCATGAATTCGCAAAGCGGTTAGTTAACAATAAATATATATGCCGATGATAATGTATATATTATCTTGAGCTGATAAACAAAACAATGTACACTTGATAACCTTTTTGAAACGATGTATTATGGTTGATGCTAACATGATAATATGATATTTTTTAAAATGCTTAAAAATAATTATGTTAAAACCCTAGCTGCCTAATTGATTTTTATCACTATTTAATTTTTTGAAATTGTAATTATCGATAATCTGAAAAAAGTTGATATTTCGTTTAAAATTGCCTAAATCTGTATTATTAATTAACTACAGTAGCGATTGATTTGTTATTTTACTTTCACAACATATAGGTGGTGATCATCTATTAAATATTGTCTTTATGAAACAGACAGTTTTGATTCGGTTATTGTTTTCAAAAGAAGATGAAAGACAAAAGTGAGTTGTTTGTTGTTGTTGTTGCTGGTTTGAATTGTTTCAATCGATACTTATAAATGATGAAATTTCAAACACCTCTGATACATAACCTAATCATTAATACCAATTTGTTTACTGGCTATACGTACGAAATATCATTCAGAAAAATTTATATAGATATATTCTGAGAACGAACACAGTGGAATAGTGCGATCGTTGTTGTTTCCGGACGAATATATTGCCTTGAATTCATTCAGGTTACTGATTGTCATTTCTTCTATTGGTTTCGTCTACTGACCACCGCAATTGAGTAATGCCGCACTGGACATAAGAAAAAGTTGAGTTGAGACTAGTTCAATCATCATATCATTTGTGACTGATGATTGTACAAAGTTGTTTGCATTCATATTTCTATATAAGCATTAGTTTCTTGAATATTTTATTTATATTTTTATATTTTAATTGTGCTAAGATGTACAAAATGAAAATCGCAAACGTTTTCCTGAATATATCTCTATAAATCATTTGATATTTTCGCTACTTTGATAAAAATAAACAATGGATTACAAGTTCCACCACCCAATGAGTCCCAAATAGAATCGAATGCCCGTCCTAGATTCTGCTACTAGTCATAATCCATCTATTTTATAATGGATTAAATTATCATAATATAAAAATATGATAAATGTATAGATAGCCATTTTTTCGATTCATGTGTGTTTATAACAAACTAGTTTTTCTTGTCTGTGTATTGTTACTAATTCTATCGATAGGAAAGTTTCGATATTGTTTTTCCTACCTAACAAGATGTTCATATGTGTTATATTTCTCTTTTCTTCTTTATCAATCAAATCATTATTAGTTGGTCAGCTTATATACAAGAAAATAGTGTGACTACACAAAATATTGATCGACAACGTGCACTGAAACCACCGACTTCTGCTGTTGCCTCCTCTTCGTCACCATCATCCTCTACTGAAAGTCGATCAACAGTCGGTATCACTTCTGAATCAATTATGCCTAAAACTTCAGATATTACACCTACCACTACTGATGAAGCATCAGTCATTACTACTGCTCAACCATCAACGCAAGATTTAAAAACTTCATTCGGTATTCTCTCTGTAACGTCATCAGCTATTACAAATAATAATGATAAAACTATTTATTCATCAGATATTAATAGTAGTGATATAATTAGTCCAAAAGAAGAATCCACTGGATTTGTTGATAAATTACAAACTTCTATGAGTAAGTTAAATTGATTGATAAAAAAAAGTATTTGACTAACTTTCGTTGTGATTAATTTTATTCAATTTCAATATTGTATCGAAATGGTTTTTGATTTGACTTTAGTCAACGCATCATACTATTGTCTGTGGTTAAAAAAATGAGCCTCTTTGATGAATTTGGACAATGTAAGAAGAGGATAAGGATTTTTGGAACTATGTCAGTCATTAGAAATTCACTTCGAACAATCTTATCATGCACGTATTTGATAAGAACATTTATGTAGGAAAAAATAAAAGATTAACTAAAGAAATCAAAAATAATGGGAAACAATAATAGTAAAGAAAATAATGTACAGAAACAATATGAAACTCACCATACTCATTAAAAACTAAAGTCTCCTGTTTGATTTTTGATTTATGGATTACAATGTTCTCTTTGTTTTATATATCTTGCATGACTACAGTACTGACGAATGAAATCCTCCTCAGTCAGTCAGTCAAATGCAACGTAGAACCTCATACGTAAGTACATCAGTTCATGTTGCCATACTGCATTAGCACAGAGACGCAACTGTCAATTCAAGTCCCATAATGGTAGAGATAGTAGGAGTACTACTGATAATAGAGAGGATTAGGGTTCCAAGATATTATTGAAGAAGTATAAATTCAATGAGATGGGTTTAGAAAGACAAAAGTAGAGGTGTTGACGAATCCAAAAGATAAGGATTTGAGAGAACACAAGGAATGGATGCACTTGCGCAATTGCAAACGATCTTAAGCCATGTCATTCAAGGTCTCTAACCATCAGTTACTATCGTCTCGCGGACCCCAACCAGGTGGTAGCCTACATCTACCAATATGACTCAGTCCATTTGTCAGTGACTCTATGGATTTGTGCCATGTTTTGGTCTGGCAGCCTCTAAACTGTTCTCTTTGTTTTATATATCTTGCATGATTACACTACGAATGTAATCCTCCTACATTTTAAACAGTTAGTAACTTTTAATTCTCCTTTTTTTTATTTACGTCTAATTTTATCGATTGTGAATTGAATACTTAACCAGTGTAAATAAACTAAATTAACTATAAAAACTGTAAAATAAGTGTCACACGTTTTATGAAAAACAATAATACTACTATAAAAATTATGCCATGAATACTATCCAACTAATTTGTACAGATAATTGCACACATGCACACAAAACAGTTTGAAACATTTGTTAGCTTATCAGCATACGTTAAAATGGCTACATAATAAATAGTAGCTGTTATATTTTGTTTAAATTTTCATTTCCGTTTTAGTTTGTTCATTGATCAATTTATCTGGTTAGTATTAACTAAATAAGTTGAATAAGTGCATATATTTGTTTATAATATTTTGTTAAATAGTTAAGTAAATATATTATCAACACTAAGATAATTTATGATAGTTAATTTATACATTCATATGCATTAATTTGAATGTACGGATTTCACAGTATATGCATATATTATGGTAAAACCTTATTTGAATTTGTACAAAATATACTCGTTTTACAATAGTGTTTAGTTAGTAGTTTAATCATTTGACTTGAAATAACTGGGTTGCACTTTATGTTACTGGCTTCAGTCAAGAAATCAATTGCTGTCATAGTCACTAGAGCAGCGGTTGAATTCACCCGAATAGCACAGTCAAAGTATATTGGATTCAGAAGACTCTTTTGATTACTCAGCAATATTTATATGTAAGTATATAAATAATATAAAGTGTTCTAAAATAAATCATAATTAGTTAAATTGAAACTTACATTCAATGTGATAAGACAACAACAACAGCCTATTGTAGAATTTCTAGGTAGAATTGACGGGTCCCAAATGTTTGTCCACACAAAACACATTACAACCGACAAGAGTTTATCTGGTTTCTCGAGAAAAGAGGAATGAACTGTGGTTATCAATAAGTAACATGACAAGAATTTCACATTACTCTTTACATAGATTGTGCAACTGTTATGCACTTCGTTCTGCTTGTGAAATTCAATGCAACAAGAAGGAATATATTTTTTGTGGAACAGTGAATTTATCAGATTTTAAACTTCCTATATGCTTTTGAGAATAAATTCATAAGAAGCTAATAGAAGTATCATTGTACTTGAAGAACTGTGTTACCTATCCGTATAGGATAAATTTACTTGAAATGTAACGTTTGAATATAATAGAAACAGTAAAGATTAGACGATATTACATTTATCACTACTCAGTGATTGATTAAGTTTATCTCAAACACTTCATACTTTCCTTTTAGATTTTCTTTTATCAATGGGTGTATCGTAAATAAACAAGTTACTACGTTATAACGTCATTTGTGGTTTGTTGCTCGGAAACTAAGTTCCTGCCTACTTCAAATCTTTCTTAGTTAGAGTAATTTTCATTGTTTCCTAACTTTTAAGCACAGCATGTATACTGTATTCCATAGGTCATTATCAACATTTTTATATAAATTTCTTCATCAAAGGTATTTATAACATACTTTGTGTTGTCGGCGACATCTACTGACTTTTACTGCCTAATATTAAGTGGAAAGTTTAGATACTCAAACAAAACAGACTTTTGAATCCATTCCATAGTTCAAAGTTTCTTATTCAAGTATCGACCTCGCTTCAGATAATACCGATCACAGTACTTCCTTTTATGGAACAAATCAATAAAATGTTTTTTCTTTATGTAGTCATGTTTACGGTATTGAAAAAAAGAGGCATTAATTGGTATGACATTGATCGTGATGTGCAGCTCAACAACTAGAGAGTAATAATCACATTGTTTTATGTGAAATAAAGTATCTTAAGTCTATGTTGATAAACAGTATTCAGACTAGTATTGTAAAGTGAACTAGTTAAGAACTGAGAAACAATACTCCACAAAACTTGTAGTGTATAACCGATCACGTATATAAATATTTAAAATAAATATATATACATTCATGCGATCGTAATTTTAACATACTATTATTGAATTTTTTTTAAATTCAAACTAAGTTAGATTTGTCGAATATCATTTGTGTTCCTCTCATTTTATTCACATTGTAAATACAGTTGTACATCGTTCATTAGAATAAATAGTTATGTTTACATTAAAATATTTATATTTTTATGTGGCGTAATAAAATTGACTATTGTTAACACTAATCGAATATAAGCATATTTATTTGTATTGTATTCACTAATGTCTTTCTCTGTATTCCCATTTATATGTAATGTAAAATAGTTTTATGAAAATGTACACAATATTTTTTTTTCACTGAACAGTCGTTGTCTGTTGTTTCTACAAAATAATATTTTTCACATAGAAATGTATAAACAGAAAGTGAGAATCAGTTAGATTGATGACGCCGACGGCAACATTAGTTGTGTCGTTCGGAAGAAGTTTCGGCTTTTTCCTTCACTTCATATTGAGGACAAGTGGTAATTGTGGGGGGGGGGGCGGTGGTAGTGATGGTAGATCACAAAGTTGCATAATATTATTATGCAACAATTCGTTTCTAAATTAATCAAATCGGTTAAGAAAGTATGAAAACAATCATTTCTTTTGTTTGTAATTATGCAGTCGGTTTCAAATCACACAACTATATATACATATTCAAATACTGTAAACAATGAAATGAAAACATTTTAACCATGTGATATTGTGTTGCATATGTTCATGTGAGAAAGTAATAATTTATCAAGACATAATTTTGCAAATTAATCACAATGATAATTTAAATGAAAGTGTTTTCGAAAATATAACTATTCAACACCATTATAATATATTATGACTAAATGTTTTGTCAATGTGATTTAATAACATTTAATACCTTTATTGCTACTAGTATTGTGATTATTATCCCCCCCCCGTATTAAAGTCTAGTTCTGCAAAATGTTGCATATTATGATGTTTTTTTAATAATATTGGAAATTTCCTTCCCATACATTCATTGATTCAAGGAATATTAACAAACAATAACATTTTCGATGATATATATATCTATATTGGCTGATGATTGCACAAAGTCATCTATCATATTTAATCATACTTTTCCTAAAGGTGTGTTTCCAAGCATGTTTTTCACATAGTAAACAAAGGTTATTGAAATTCCAGTCTAATAAAGTGTGGGAAGCTTTTATGTTTCTTTTTTTACCGCTGTTAGTTAGATCAAGAAAGCGAACTGCGTTTCTTTTCTCCTTTTCTGTATCATAAATGTCATTATTCACACAATTTGTCCCTTGTATTACTTTGCAGTAAAAGGTTTTTGGATGGTCAGTTTCATTCATGTGAAATGAATTCCACCAGTGATATTTTATATTACATTTGTATCTTACAAACAGTTAAAGATTAAAATGTGCATCACCGATTTATAACATATTAGTCTATAGTTAATGTAATATCTGCAAGACTTCAAGGTCCTTAGTTCCATTTTGTGTATGATTGTAGATCTAGACTCCTATGAACCACAAACTGTAGGTTGTTCTCTTGTGGCAATTCGTCTGAATTGTCACTGTTGCTACTACTACTACTACTACGCCTGTCATCAAAGTATTAATTTTGATTATCAAAAGTAGTAAGGTGTAGATATTTAGTTCCATAAAGTAAGTCTATGCTAACATTTGATGCCTTCATATCCTCACCTTTTCTCATCGATTTAATTTTACTCCATTCATGTTTCAAAAATTGTAACATTAATCTCTAGAAAATAGAGATTACTAAAATACGTTTTCTTTATTCCTTTATCTTATGGATGGGAATCAACGCTATAAATCACTTGTGACATTTCAATATTACACCAAAATATACAGTTATCTCGTTTCTTTGTCTTTCTACTCCCTTATTGTATAATGTCTATTTATTACACTTATAATCTTATGAGGGCTTCTTAATTAAATTCTATCGATTATTATTTGCAGATTTGAGTATGTTTTAAGTTATGCATTTCAAAGGTTATTCTAGTAGTATGTAGTTTATTTACACAGAAACGTATCTTATAAACAAATAATATGTGTGTGTGTGTGTGTGTGTACTTATCTGACCTAGTTATAAATTATAGTCACCGAATTCATTAGCATAAAATCCATATACTAGTTATTTATGAAATTGGAATCTTTGATTATTATGTTAGTAAAACTTAATATTAACTAGCCTATAGTGTGAAGTTGAAATCAAAGCGAGTTAGTAAATGAATAAAGCATTAAATCTTCGTAAAAAATAATGAAAACTCAGTTGTACATTTGTATTTACAGTTGTTCTCATAAATATAGGAAAATAGGAGAGATCATATGATAAAACTATCCAAGATTTCAAACATCAAAAGGAATATATCATAATCTAGGGTTTACAAAAATGAGTATTACTTAGTATTATTTAGAGGTCTGAAATCTAAGAGATAATTGTCCATTTGACAGAGATGAAGAAAATTTTTTTTAAAAAAAAACGCAGAAAAGTCATAATAACAATAGAATAATAATTATGAAAATCGATGAATTATAATGACTAATTTCAGTCTAAAAATATAAATAATCATAATACCAAAAAACACAACAATACCAAAAATATACTGAAGAAAAGATGATAGACTTGGGCGTACAATTTCAGTAAATGATTTCGTCAAAATGACAATTTACTTTGTTGTATTCTCTTTATTTTTATTCAATAACAAACAATAGTTTACTTTAATGATCTAAATAAACTCTGTTTTACCATTAAAGAAATACACAGAAATTAATTTCTATTTTTAATTATACACTGCTCATTATGTACTCTAAGAAATTCTTTTCAAGATTGATGCATAACTTTGTATCATCGTTAATCATCATAAAATTAGAAAATATGTCTGTTAATTAATTATTGATGTCTATCAGAAATGCAAAATATTCTTTCTTAATTAAACAATCCATATTACATTTGTTATCTGACCGTTCTTTCTGTTAATCAATTTGAAAATTGAACAACTTTTGATCATGGATACTAATTAGATTGCTCTGAACGTTTTTTTTTTTTGGATGTTAACAAAAACACGCACGATGATCTTTGTGTTGACCAACACACAAGATGATGGTTTTCTAGTTATGATAATTTTACACCTGTTCATTGCATCGAATTCTTATTTCGATACTCACAAATTCAATATTATTCTAATTAGGAATTAATTTATCAAGAATTTTGTGATTGATTCCGGTTAATCAGTAATATGTGTTGTTTTGTATGACTATGTGTTTGTGTGTGTGTGTGTAAGTGTTTCTTTATGTTTCTAGATTAAAGATGCTTAACTGTGTTCATATCTATTTACATTCATAAATAATAATTATTATCATTATTGTAATCATCGATGATGTAGACAAATTTTATTTACTTATTAATTTATTCGATTTTAACTGTTAACAATTATTTTACATCATCATTATTACCATTCATGTGTGTGTGTGTGTGTTTGTGTGTATGAACAAACAATAGAAAGAAACGTAATAGAATCATTAATATTCTATTTTAAAAGACCGATCAATTATTTTCTCATAGCCATATAGAATCGAATTGTGTACACGCCTTAAACTCCATTGAATGAAAACATTGTACAAAGGTTAAAATCAAAGTATACCTTTTAATAATTTTCTGCGCATGTATTTATTAACAAATGAAGATGAAACTTAAAAAGAGAGATAGAAAGAAAGATAGATAGATAGATGAAATGGGGTGATCGATGGTATATATATATATATATATATATATATATATATATACTTAGTTTATGTTTGTGTTCAGATATGGTCCTCTAACAGTTCTCAGCGGAAACTATCTACAAATCAATGAAAATATCCCTACTATTACTAATATATCTATTCTATTTTTATTGTTCCCATATATCTTCCTGCCATATTGCTATATTCTTATATTGGTATAAAATTAGTGTTGAGTAAAGGTATATTTTTTTGATAAATTTAACTATCCTCATTAGTGGCACGTGGTGACAGAGGAATGTCGTGGATATAAAAGGAATCTTAGGAGGTGTAGGAAATCTCAGCATGGATACAGAAGGCTCGATTAGCTTCTGCCAACTGGCGTCAGTTGTGGCGTAGGCGGGATATCCGTTCGTTGACTAAAGGACGAATGTACTGTTCAGCAGTATGGCCGTTAAGAGTAGAAGACATTCGTAGGTTATTAGTACTCGATTATAGATGTCTTCGAAGCATTGCTCGTATATCCTGGGACAGCCGAGTAAGCAATTCTATAGTTAGAAAACGAGTATTAGGTAACGATTGCACATCAATTGATGAAGTATTTAAATTCCATCAGCTGAGGTGGTCAAGACATGTGTTACGTATGCCCAACCACCAACTGCCTTGACGAGCTATGTTCTGTTGTATGGGTGTGGATTGGAAGAAAGTTATGGGCGGCCAAACCAAAACATGGCAGAAATCCATGAAATCACTGACAAGTGGACTGAGTCATGCTGGTAGATGCAGGCTACCTGATTGCGGTCCGCGAGACGAAAGACACCAATGGTTAGAGACCTTGAATGAAATGGCTCAAAATCGTTTGCAATTGCGCAAGTGCATCCACTCCTTGTGTTCTCTTGGATTCTAACCTTCTGAATTCCTCATCATCTCTATGTTTGTCTTTCTCAATTTATCTCACTGAATTATACTTCTCGAATCATATCTTCGAACCCCAATCTTCTCCATCATGGGATTTGAACTGACAGTTGCGTCTCTGTGCTAATGTGGTATGGCAACCTGAACTTATGTATTCATGTACGATGTTCTATGTTGTAACTGACTGACTAACCATCTCCATAAATTTTATTATTCTTAGTTCTGTTTTTCTTTTCTAATTTAAATATCAAATGTGTGATAATTGTGATGATTAATTTATGAATTAGGTGATAAACTGCTTTTATTAATAAGTTGGGTAAATGTCAAATATGACATGAATGATTCAATGTCATAGCTGTCATTCTTGTACGTCTTTCTAATAAGTTTTTATTAAGAAAAAAGGTAAAAGATCACTGATTTTATCATAAATGTGATCAAACTAGAACCTTGAATGCATCTTAGTTGATCAGCTGTCATTTTTTCATCTGATTATGATTATTGTTGCTTCGTTTTTCTTTTCAACTTTTTTGTTTAGAATAATTGTATTATAATTTGAAACTTTCAAATTGACTAATTTGCCATCTTTTTATTATTATAAATGAAACTGTAACTATAATTCATAGTTGATTTTTTTCAAGTTTAATATTTAACTTCTTTCTGTTTTAATTTGCTTTGTTTTGTTAAACAATTTTTTTTTGCAAGATGAACTATTGGAACAAACGCGACAAATTATTTGTGAAAAATACAATATATCTAAAGAAGAATTAGCCAGTGCAATGGATGAGGTAACTTATGATTATGTTATATATGTACATATAAATTTTAGAAAAAAAAAGGTTTAATCGTTGTTGATTACAACTAAATAAATATTTACCCTGAAGATAGGATTATTTATCTTTTAAAGGTTCATATGGCCAGTCGGTAGAATTTTGTCCTTTACACTACTAATGTTGGTGGTCAACTGATATGTTAGTTTCTCAATCACTGATTTCAACTATCGGGACTTTCAATTATAAATATATTCTTAAATGATATCATCTTAATGAATATTCTTATCGTTTTCTGTGTGTGTGTGTGAGTGTTGCAGAAAATAATATATAATGAAGAGGTTAAATAATCATTGATATACGACTACAATGTTTACATGTGCATATTAACCCTATTTTCATATTGTGGCAGTGTTTACTGGATTATTCTTTTTCAAGTGGATACTAAAAAGAGAATTGATTTACATGTTGAATTTCTCTTCATTTTGCCATAGAACACACTTTAAAAATAAATATGAATGTTTGTTGTCCATATTTAAAAGGAAAATTAATATTCATTCCTAAATTTACATTTTCATTTAGTTTTTTTGGTTTATTTGTACATTGGATACAGTTTTCTAGTTTCTTATACCTGTAAAGAACGATTGTTAAGTATAATGGTCCTTAGATATCATTGTGCGTACACACCCACACACTTATTGAATGGGACTGGGTGTTTTACAGATTCTTGATGTTCTAAAGTCTAAAATATGTATAAGTTTTTAACAGAAGACCGATGCGAAGGCTTAGTAGTTTAAGTATTGTTTAGTGATATTTTATATATTGTAAAATCAGTAAAGCTTCTGCTCAAAACCTGAACTCGGTAATTAACTAGAGAGTAACCTTCTCTCAGGTATATAAAACTATCTCACCGTAGTCATTCGCTTATGTACTTGTTTTTGACATGAAATGGCCTAATTCTTCGTTGATATTTTAGGCTATTGGTCAATTAGGTTGAAGACTAGTTAGATTGGAATAGACAGATAATATAGTTCTGTCTAGGGAAACAAAGCGCGCCATTCTGATCGCTTTAAGGAAAAACGCATTTGTGTTTGGAATGCGTTTTTCTCCATATTAATGGGAAATTTTCCGTTAGGACCAGTCTGAGTTACTGCCTGAACTTAGCGATTTTGAGGTTAGACAGCGTACTACATGGAGATGGAAAATCGATTGACGACGCAGTAAGTTCTCATCACCTAAGATGGTTAAAACCTGTATTATCTAATCCTAAGACATTGCTCGTATATCCTGGGAATATCGAGTAGGCAATGCAGTTGTTAGGAGATGGGTACTAGGTAAGGATCGCAGATCAATTGATGGAGTATTGAAACTTCATCATTTGAGGTGGTTAGGACACGTGTTACGAATGCTCGATCATCGACTGCCTCATCGAGCTATGTTTTGTGGTGTAGGAGTAGGTTGGAAGAAAGCTATGAGCGGCCAGACCAAAAAATCGCAGAAATCTATGACAGGTTTCTAAGTCATGTTGGTAGGTGTGGACTACCTGGTTGGGGTCCGCGACATGATAGTAATCGATGATTAGAGACCTTGAATGACATTGCTCAAAACCGTTTGCAATGGCACAGGTGCATCCATTTTTTGTGTTCTCTCAAGTCTTAATTTTCTGAATTCCCGATGACCATCTTTTCTTCTTTTTTAACTGATTCCTCTGAGGTATACATCTCGAATGATTTGTTCGACCAATAATCTTTTTGATTACTGCCAATACTTCTACTACCTCTACTACCATAAGATTTGAATTGCTAATGTGATATGGGAACGTGAACTGATGTACGAATGTACGAAGTTCTACGTTGTAACTGACTGACTGACAGGCCTAAGGCTAATATCGCTTGACATTATAGTTATAATCATTTTGCATTAAAATGTACTTCTCAAAGTTCTTTTAAACATTTTTTACTCTGTCCACATTCATTGATTTTGACTTTTCGTGAATAGGGTAATGATGTGGAAGATATATTGAATCCTGGAAAAATTCTGTTGTTCCAGATAAAATATTTTGCAAAATGCTTTAATTTAATAACTCGAACTCTTGCTCCACAAGCTTCATCATCTTTTCCAAATCAAATGCAAAATCATCTTGAATTTATAAATGACGAAAGTAATCAGGAGTTTGAAATGTCACTATGGCAAAAGAAAAGACAAAGTTCTTTGTCATGGACAGAAGGTTATCTGGAGTCACTTAGCCGGAATCCTGTACTAAATGTTGACAGCAACGAAGTAACTTGCAGTACTGGATCAGAAAGATCTCAGTTTGATGTTGTTAATTCGCCCTCAAAGGACTCTAACTCCAAAGCTGCACATTCTTCTCCAAACCTAGTCGGTTCAGATAGTGAACGTGGTCGTATAGAGATTCAAGACAAACGAAAATCTAAACGTCGATCAAGGCAGTCTGAAGCAGGTCCTGTTTCGAATTCAGATTTTACTTTCTTTGATAATCTATTGAACAAGGAATTAATTACAATGGCACCGGTATTTGCAAAATCTGTCATGTGTTTATGCAAGGTATGTTCTTCCATTGACTTCTTGTTTAAAGTGTGGGACTTATGTTTAGTAAAAACACCGCACTACTTTTTATTCTGTGTTATTATGAATTTAGTTTAAGACATGTATGCTAAGATTAAAACTATCTTAAATTCACTGTTTATACAAATTCAATGTTAGTAGTACATTGCGAATTAAGTATATTTTACTTTATAATAATATTAAACTATTAGTAGTTAGTAAAGTCTATTAAAATCAAGCATCCCAAGGCCATAATAACAGTTGAATTTTTACTGCATATCATTTAGTTAGTTGCATTATTTTCAACGGAAAGAAATCTTTTGAAATAACTAAGTCATTTTTTTTGTAGGGTGACATTTACAGCCTCGAATAAGTATGAAGCTAATCATTGTTTTCTCCTTATATCTTAATGATATCTACTACCCATGGTCTTCCTTTCAAATATTTGGATTAATCGTTCCGTTTTTTTTTTAAATTGGTTCATTTTGCAACCGAAAAACTGCCTGTTTTTGTTTCAAATTTATTATTGGTTGAATTCAGGGCATTGGTAGCTAGTTATGAATAAGAAGGTTATCATATATATATATTTCTGATTTGTTACATTTATTCTCATGATGTTTTAGTTCTTCTTATTTAGGAGAATTTACAAATTAAATCAATTTTAAGATTATATATTTTTTACTCTGGTTAAGTTAAATTTTTGTTTTATTCTTATAGTTAACTCATCAAGACATATCGCCAAATAATTTATTTAAAGAATCTACTAGTACAAGAAAGAGTTTATCAAGATCATCTGTTCAAATTGATTCTCAAATGCATTGGACTAACGGTAGCAATGTTGAATGTCCAGTCAGTGAGAGTAGTGATGTAGTTGAAGATGAAGAAGTCAGAACATTGGAGAATTCTATCATCGATTTATCTTGTTCCCAAACAACCGATACATTAAATGAAGCCAAACTTCACACTGAACAGTCAGATGCAATACATAGTGGATTCAGTTCATCTGTAGATCAAGGTACTTATAGTTGTGTTTTTTTACAACTTAAATTTGTTTTTTTTTTAACTGAGTTCTCGTTATCGACGGATATTCAGCTAAAAAAAAAAGCTGACAAAAACTAGCAAGTACTAAATAGACGTTTCATTCTAGTTTATAACTTCTCTAAAATCTGTACTCTACTTTATGTGAAGAACTCTATACTATTAATTGATATAATCAAAATCCAATTGTCCACATTTTTAACTTCCTTAGATTAATATTCTTTGACTCATATAATAATTTTATTAAGTGGTGATTAACTCCAGATCTGTGTCAAAAATATTAGAAATATTTTGCAAAATTAACTTCGTATGTTTTAGTAAATTATGTTCTTCAATGGAATCCATTTCATGTACATAATCATTCATTGTTATTATGGCCTAGATTTTAACTTTGTTTTCATTTACATTTTTTTTTTTTAGATTTAAATGCAGTCGCTGCACAACTTGTGTCTGATGTGCTGGAAAATGCCAAAAACTATTTCTCAGGTCATGTCATACAACCTGATGATGCAGAACAAAATGAAGTAATTGTTATTCGTGACAGTGGATGTGCGCCATCTGCCACAGATGAGGATGATGATTATGATTATGATGAGGTTGATGACGATGATGATCACGTGAATAATGATGAGACAATCGAAGAAATATCCGAAAATCATAACGATATCTTAACACTATCTGGAACTATTTCCACTCCTGACATTTCAACTCCTAAATTACTAGATGTTGCTTCTATTTTCGATGATATCTCATTGGATCGAAACAGTCAGTTAGATAAGACACCATCATTACACGATGATTTACTCACTGATAGTGACACGGTTGATGTTGAATCACCATGTCCTGACATTTTTACATCGGAAACTACTACTTCTATTGATGCTCCTGCTACCAGTATTACAACAGCAACCAAAACTAATACGACTAACACTAATGCTGCAATAACAACAAATATTGGTCGTAATGATTCTCAAAAGTCAACTACTTCAAGTGGATATGTAGATTCTGGTGATGATTAGTAGGCAATATACATCGTTTGTATACCTTTAAACACTTTTTTAACTAATGCTATTTGGTTTATCTATAATGAGATGATCGCCCTTCAGACAGCTGATTTATCCAGTCATCTAAATCATTATTTTCATTGCTTGATTATGGTAATCAGAGTAGGAAGATGAATATATTTTTCGATCTGGATTCTATTTATGTGCTGTACAATCTTCCTCTTAAGAATTTTTTGATGAACATGCATTTTATTCTTGACGCCGATTATTTTCAAGACTTACTATGTCTTTTAACCATCATGCTTGTTTGAAATAGACATTGTTTATGGCGTTGTTCATCATGTTGTACACGTACATGCACAAGCACTTTTGCATCAGGTATGCATATGTACCTTTGTGTTTGTATTTGTATGCGTGTGTGTTTTTTTATCATGTTTAACGGAATAATTTAGTTTATTACTCCTTTTCAAATGACATTGTAGTTTTTTGTTTCAATTATTCCTTGAAAATTAAAATTTAAACATTATGTGCCTTCCATTTTAAATCGTTCGATTCTTTCCAAATATTTGTATTCAAAAAAAAAAAAAAAATAAACATGATTGTATTATATTTGGAAAATGTGTTTATGTTTGTGTTTGTGATAATCAGCAACCTGTTTTTATTTTACAAAAATACATGCAAACACTCGAAAATAAACATCTAATGTTTATATTATTCATTCTCAATACATAATTTTTGTTTAAAAACAATATGTATCAATGTACACACGTGGATCGTGTGATTTTATAAATTTGTGTGTAAATACACTAATCCTGTTTTCAGTGGAGACACTATACTACAACTATACTCATTAAAATAGAATATCTTCATTGTGCCCTGAACTTATTCATTACAAATGTTTAGCTCACCATAATTTGATGGTTATATTTTTATTTCCTGCTAAGGTATACATATACATAAGCAGTATTAACACGGAAGCGTAATCGGTACACTGTTTGCTTTTGTTTTCATGTTTTCCTAATTTCCAAGAAGTTCAATCTTGTAATCTATTTCCGCTTCATTTTTGAAAATAAAACAAAAGTGACTTTCTTTAAGTTATTTTTCTTGTATATCATGAAATATATTCTTTCTTTCTATGGAACTAATAAAAGTGTTAAATTCTTAAAGATTGTAAGAAATATTTTTACTTATATGGATTGTTTTGTTTTAGAGTGATCTTCTTCCTCATGTCTGATATAATTTATGTTCTTATTTTATTCTGTTGATTCAGTCAATAATTGACCTGGTTGATTTGAATATATAAAATACGAGTAAATTGTAAATCCATTATTTGTTTTTCAAGGAAAAATAAATATTTGTGAGAATTTTTTTTCTACCGTCACTGATTTCTACAGATTCAGTTTGCGAACAGAGTACATATGTGTTTGTATATAATCCTCTGTGTGTAATAATAATTATACGACAACTATGAACATTTACCAACACTTAAGGCGCTATGCTTGTAACTATCACGAGTTCGCTTTACACAGTAAACGAGAGCGAAGCAATAATATAGTAATACGATAGACTGTTCGGATTCAATTGTCTCTGGCCTTGCTAACTAAAGCAAGAACTCTTGATAAGGCGTAGAAAGTGTATTCTACAAGCACCCAGAAATACCGGGTCGACAAGTACACAAATCTACTTTACTTATACATGGTAGAAACGTCCTTGGGAGGGCCACAAAGTAATCCATTAACCAATGACAGTCTGGAAATTTCCGAGTAGGGAATGTAATCTCAAGGTTGACTGAGAAGCTCATGCGCAAAAACACCGAAAACAGGACTTTTTCCAAGTGAGTTCTGGGGATCTGACGTCCCCAAAACTCCTCCCCTTTTTAATAGCGCACATTCCTTGGGTCGACTTATATCTTGGCTGTTGTTCGCCGCTGTCTGAGAAGATACCTGGAATTGAGAACAGCTTGTTGTTGAGTTTTTTCTCGTAAGTTAAAGGTATCTAGCAGGATCTCAGGGGGATGGTTAACTCCTGCTGGTGGGCGAACTGGGGCTAGCCGTTTGCGTGTTTGATTTCGATGACGTGACTATGTATCGCCTTGTACCTCTACTTCGTACATAACACGGCCAACTCTTCCGAACACTCGCGCTTCTGTCCAAAGACCATGGTTTAGTCTGTAGTCATGTGCAAACATAGGACATTCCACTTCGTACGTGGATTGCCTTTCCGACTTTGTCTCTACTGGTGTTGGTGCATTACTCGGATGCATCAGGCTTTGGATCGTTTTCAGTCTTCTCCCCATCAGAATTCCTGCTGGGGACTTTTGTTTCGGTAACGTCTCATTTGTTATTCGATAAACGTACAAGAAATTTCGCAACGCGTCAGCTGATGTTCCCTCCCCTTTTGGTTTAACCAATGCCCTTTTAAATGTATCTACAAGCCTTTCTGCTTGCCCATTCGACTGCGGGTGGTATGGTTGCTCTCGTAAGTGCTTGATGGCTAGCTGTTAACAGAAAGCTTGGAACTGTTTAGAATTAAAATGCGAACTGTTGTCAGATACGATCACATCTGGCACGCCATTCATTGAGGGGCTGTATTGTTTTAGTTGTCGTGAGTGGGATTACAGGGCTGATTTGTGGCCATTCTGAAAGGGCGTTGACGAAAACTAAATATATATTGTTCCATTAATCATGCCCGCGATAAGAATGTCATGAACATAAGCATGCACAAAGTAAGATCTCTTAAAAAGTCTTTAATCAATCCTCGAAGAGTATGAGCAAAATATCTCCACCCGGAAGGCCTACGCCAAAATTCGTTTAGTTAAAAGGGAGTGATCATAGCTGTTTTTTTGAATGCCTTCCACAGCGTTGGGGATTAAGATATACACTTTGGCCAAGTGGATTTTTGAAAAGACAGTTTAAAACTTCCAAAGCCACAGTTAAGTCATGAATGAAAGGCGATTGGTAACCGCCCGGTGTGGTTTTCGTATTTATTCTTCTACAATTACCGATCTGACGCCAAATTTTGTTATCCATCTAAGGGACCAGAGATACCCATGGGTTGAACAATCCCTGGATCTATTATGTGAATGAATCAGTTTTTGTCAAGTCTTAGCTTGTTAAAAGCCAATCGCTAGAGTCTGGAGAATACAGTTAGACCTTTGGTTGTTGTGTGGTGAGCAACAATTCTGGTAGCTCATGGTTATTATGTTCGAGTTTGACACTGTTTCGGGTATCTTTCGAGTATATGTTGAAAGATTTAGTAATAAACGTATCTGACCTTGAATAAACAAACCAACGGCCAGAGAACGACAATACAAGCAGACTATTTAGTATTTCTGCATACTAACCTCCGTTTATTTGAACCAATAAGTAGGTTGTAGCGATTGCACTTTTAGTAAGAAAATTGCGATTTGTTGAATAGCAACATTCATTGTTATTATCAATGTTCATAACCATGTTCATCGATCGCGAAACACATAACTGAATCAAGGTAATCGATTGACATCAAGAAAGCCTCCAAAACATTGTATAGGAACGTTGAAGGACAGATTTTGAGGTTTATGGAAGCCGTGTCTATTCGTAAGTTAAAACCCCCATTATGTATACAGAAACAATTTATTATAACCTTGAATTTATCTTGGTTATCTTTAAGCTATTGTATGGCCTAGGGTAATGTGACGATTTCTCACGCTTTCTTATTCTTTTCATATTACGTTAATTTTCTCTCTTCTTCATTCATAATTATGACCTTATGTCCATTCGAACTTTTACTTTCATTATTCTTCATATAAAATGCCTTAAAGAGTACGTGTGTCCAGACTGTTCGAAATGTACAGCGCAAATAAATCACATTTTTCAGATCAGTTACATCTTTTCGCCATCAAAAAATCAATTGTACCAGTGAACGCTTTATCGGAAAAAATTTCGTACTTTCGTTTTTCATATATATAACGTATGGGATCCGAACTTGATTGGTATATAGACATGTTCATATTCTCGTGACTCAAACATCTTTAAGGAGTTTACGCCAAGTATTTGTTTTGACGCGAATGCCAGAATGGAAATCTATGTAATGGGTTTGAGTAAACCCGCGTTAAGCTAAATGTACCTTTTGTCTATAGTGATGGTTGAGCTTTCTTTTGCCGCCATAGGATCGAATACTGGATCCTATGTACAGTCATTAGTGTTCATACGAAATATGGTAGCATTTATCTCAGGACCGGAAAGCCTTCGTCAGTGGTTGCCGATATTGCATGCCTAGGGTAGAGTTTCCTGGAATGTTTTAGATGGAATATTCGGAGCTAGGGAAGTGCGGGATTTTTTTCACATTTTGAAAAATTTGCCAGGTTCTGTATTACCAACACATATTCATGCTATATGTTTCTCGCGTTCTCGAAGTAGATCTTTTAAGTGGTGGGCTTCTTCAGGAAGTCTGTGATCTTCCTCGATCATATTCAAAGTTAGTAAATCAGGAGATTATATTACAAAGTTGGTCAAAGTGAACCAATCTTCGGATTTGGGGTCATAATAGGCAGCTTTTCATAAACAGAAGTAGTTGTAGGAAAAGGCCTGAGCAACACTTCATTTATAGGGCAATGTTGCATTTCCATGTTGTAATAATAATAAATTTGTTCTCAAAAAATAGAATGTTACAAACGGCGAATCACTTTGCAGGCTAGATCAAATTGTTGCGAACGCTACCAGTAAAAGTTGGCGAATTCGGTTTAGAAATAAAAGTCTGTATCTGAAAGTACATATATTCCATGTCACCGAAAGGAACAGTTTGATACAACCATGTTTTCAATAAATGTTTACAAGAAGGATGGGTATATGGTGGAATTCTTGGATGGTTTGAATAGTTCAAGAGTGAATTAGTTGGAAAGTGTATTCGGAAAGTACTTGATACAAGCTGTGATCTATACGTACTCGTACAGAAGGTTCATTTTGCGTGGAGGCTTAAGTGATATGCAGTTACGAATAGGATTCTGTGAAGAGACAGAAGAGAGAAAGATTAACTACTTCCAGTACTAACGACCGCAAAAGGTCACCAGGTTTTAGAAATACTTATGTCAGAGTGCCATGAGATCCATATAACCAGTAATTAAACTAGGCGCTATGCACCTGTTCATCTCAGGCTTATTTATGTCTTGACCTCAGCAAAGAATCACTTACGTATGCTTGTCATGCTCTACTCTTGAAAGTCAGCTTCTCCAAAGGAAATCTTTATTTCCACATTGTCACTCCAGAATTCCGGTGTTGCAAGAGTTTTAATCTCAAGAAGCGACTTTATAAGAATAGAAATATGAGAAAAAAAGTAACTATGTGTATAAATATATCGATTCCTTTATTGTTATGATAAGGATTTCGAGAAATGACTTGGCTGAGCTTCAAAAGGACCTTACATCTATTGAGAAATGGGCGGTGAAAAACGGTTTAAAACTCAACCAACCAAAGTGCCACGTCAAGCATCTCCTGCTACACGTAACGCAAACGATCTATACCCTCAATGGAAGTCCGCTCCCTAATGTCTCCTCAGAGCGCGATCTCGGTTTAATAACCACAGAAAGCCTCCACACCAGTCAAAACTATGTAGGGGATGCAACCAAGGCAAATGCGACTCTTCACTTTATGCGAAGACAGCTTGGTGTTATCACTCCGCAATTATTTTCAACCCTATTTAAGACGTACGCGCGCCCACACTTGAAAGTTCACAACGTCATCTAACCCCCTTTACTTGAAAGAGACATAAATCTCTTGGATCGAGTGCAGAGACGAGCAACCAAATGGGTGATAGGCTTGAAAAATAAACCCTACGACGATAGACTCCAGCTCTTGGGATTATTCCCACTGAGCTACAGGAGAATCAGATTCGATCTGGTTATGGCTTAAACCATAATAAACACGCCAAACCATCCCAATGTGAGCATCTTATTGAAACATCACCACCACTCCCCTCGACGCAATCCTCGCAAGATTGCACATCAAAGAGCGAATACTTAGATTCATGCACACATCTCATTGCGAATCGTTGCAACTTGGAATGCTCTCCCAGCCGAGGTAGTTAGAGCCTCCTCAGTGGACTCCTTTAAGAAGAGACTTGATAATCACGTACTCACATACGGACTATCATTTCCCTCTTGGACAAGCTGTTCATGATGCATATCTTGAGACCTGCCAGTTGTTATCATTGCCATCTCCTCAAATCACTTACTTAACCAATCTCGCCTATTTACTTTGTTTCCTCTCCCTTGCTTACACTTCGGTCCTCTCTCACAATCTTCACTACCAATTAATAAACTAAATTCATCTATATATTACTCAGTTCTGAAATTTTATTCATATTAGCATTTTAATTAATCCTTACTATCCTTATTACTCTCCGCATTGCAACTAATTGGTCTCCGGTCTGATAAAGTGACGGCTGCTGGTAACCAGAAACCCTACTGCCCTGAAACAAACGTTTTCAGTCAAATCCCGAGACATACAAACTCACAACCAACTGCCAACTGACTAGAATTAGACAGTCGAGTGGCTAGACGTCCATGCATTGGACATTACCGAACACCTGGAACCGTACCGAAAGAACAAGAATCGAGCGCAAAGAAATCAAATTGGTTTATACTAGCTCGTGAAAAGGATATTGGATATTGAACCAAAATTTCAGGTTTTTGCGAGAGGATGTGTTGCAAAAAGTACGCAATTCTGATCTGGTGTAGATGTGTGACGGAGTGCTTGCAGAGAGATTGGATTTAGTAAGACTAATGAGGTGGGCACCCCATTGCAAAGACTTACGGGGCTATTTGTTTTGCAGATTTATTTATCGCTAGAAGATATTCGCAATACTGGAATTGGTGGGGACTAATATAAGTCACTTTGCTTCATATCCATGCTCTGAAGGCAAAAGATTCTTCCTCCATCACTATAAGCTTAGACACTAATTTGAACTACATAAAGCAAGCAGCCTAGGCTAACACAACCATCCACCTTTTGTGAATACAACTTGATGCTATCAGCATAGAATTATTCCTAACGTTGTTCAAGACATACGCGTCCCCACACCTTGAGGTTTACAACATCGCCGCACCTGCTCGCTTTAAAAAAGACGAGGATATCTTCGATCGAGTGCAGATAGGGTTGATAGGGTTGAAGAATAAAACTTACGAAGATAGACTACATGACTTGCAATTATTTTCTAGGAGACAGGCGTACAATATTTTTACCAGGCCCAATTATCTTAACGTGAGTATTTTACGGAAGCATCACCACTTCGCGCCTCGAGGTAGTCCTCAAATAATCGTGCATCAACGAGTGAACACCATGGCTCATGCAAACGTCTTATTAAGAGTTGTTGCAACTTCGGATGCTCTATTAGCCTAGCTGACCACAGCATCCTCATTGGATAGTCTCAAGAAGAGACTTGTTAAACACGTATTCACACACGGATTAAGATCTCCCTCTGGGATCAGATGTGCCTGATGCATGTCTTGAAACTTAGTAGTTGTTGTTATTGTAATCTCCTCAGATCACTAACTCAACCTATCTTACTAATTATCTCTGTCTCCTTTACCCCGCTAACACTTCGGTTCTCTCTCAAAATCTTTACTACAAGATCATGAGACATAAAAACTCACAACCAGCTGCCAACTGACTAGAATTAGACAGTCGAGTGGCTAGACTGACGTACGCTGAACACCATGTACCTGAAACCGTACCCAAAGAACAAGAATGTAGCGCAAGAAAACCAATCGATTTCTTCTAGCACGTGAAAAAGATATTGGATATTGGATAATCTATTTGACCTCGGATTGCGAAAGTTGTTTGTATTGGCGGGCACTTCGAATGTTTGTTAGCTTGTTTTCGGTGATGTGATAATACTTCATCTCTATATTATGGTACGCCGATCTACATAGAAGTACACTGGGCTTACATGAGCTCAAGCGCAATATCATCTAGCAGAATTAATGGATGGTCGTTGCCAATTCATCCTTTACAATGTCTATCCTGGTTCGCTACTGTTATGTTTTCAATAATCTACTTTGGAATACTGATTCCGTCAGTTGTCAATTCGGGCAAAATCACTCTTTCCATTGTATCCTTTCGCGTTCAGTTTTAATAGCAGTTCTGTGTTAATTTTAGGAAAAGTTTGGCATTTTAGGTTTATTTAGTGAGTATGATTCTGTGATAAGTATTGATAAGTGAACAAATAAACGTGGGTGTATGTGACTCAGAAAATCTCTTCAAAGTGCGATAATAGGACGGTGCGTAGTTGCCTGCATTGATTAGGTGTAGGTTGCGTTCCGATACAATAAGACATTCTTCCATTTGCTCTTCATAAATCCTATCACCCCATGATCTTAGTATTACGAGACAAAAATATTTTAGCTAATGAAGATTTAGATGTTATCTTGGTTAGCACCGTTATTTGCAGAAATTAAGTCAAATTATAAATTGTTTTATCCTATTTCGATCAGCATCTTGGCATTTTCTTTGTCTCAGATAATATGAGGTTCTTAACGATTGCGTGTCTTAATACTATTAGCACTATATTAATCCTTGATTCATGCATTAGATCAGTGCCTTGTGCATTGTTGCTTATATTGTTTTCAATATAATTGCAGTGAGTATTAATCCAGCTGATACAGCTGTCCGGGAAAAACAGAAACTACATGGAAATAAAGTTTCTTCGCTAGATCCGAAACATGTACATGTGATTGAAAACTTTTATTGTAATTTGTGTGAGTTACCAATGTAAGTATCCTTTATGATTTTGTACTGTTTTTATGTTTATCAGTTAGCCTTGTTCAAGTCTTCATTTTAGTAGTGAGTAATTAAGCCTGTTTGAATTATTTTTTCTGGTTAGCGTTTTTTTGGCAAGTTAGATTTCGACGGAATGGGGTCGCCAACCCCGTGTCCAACCCTCCTCCTTTACCCGGCAGTAGCCCCGAAGGTTCTACTGGCGGTCGTCGACTGGATTATGAAAACGTCAACATCTGAAGGGAAGCACGGTATCTACTGGAGAGTTAGGACGCAGCTGGACGATCTGGACTTCGCAGATGACTTGGTTCTTCTATCCCACACTCAACAACAAATGCAAGAGAAGACGACCAGTGTAGCAGCAGCCTCTGCAGCAGTAGGTCTCAACATACATAAAGGAAAAAGCAAAATTCTCCGATGCAACACAACATGCACCAACCAAATCACTCTTGATGGAGATGCCTTGGAAGACATTAACACCTTTACATATCTTGGCAGCATCATGGACAACCAAGGTGGATCCGATGCAGATGTGAGGGCACGGATTGGCAAAGCAAGGGCTGCATTTCTACAATCGAAAAATATTTGAAACTCCAAACAACTTTCAACCGAAACCAAAATCAGGATTTTCAATACAAATGTGAAGACAGTTCTACTGTATGGAGCGGAAACATGGAGAACTACGAAAGCCATCATCCAGAAGATACAAGTGTTTATTAACAGTTGTCTACGCAAAATACTTCGTATTCGTTGGCCAGATACCATCAGCAACAACCTTTTGTGGGAGAGAACAAACCAGATTCCAGTGGAGGAGGAAATCAGGAAGAAGCGGTGGAGGTGGATAGGACACACACTACGAAAAGCACCTAACTGCGTCACGAGACAAGCCCTCACCTGGAACCCTCAAGACAAAAGGAAAAGGGGAAGGCCAAAGAATACATTACGCTGAGAAATAGAGAAAGATATGAGAGGAATGAACAAACATTGGACAGAACTGGAGAGAGAAGCTCAGGACAGAGTTGGTTGGAGAAAACTGGTGGGCGGCCTATGCTCCACTGGGGGTAACAGGCGAAAGTAAGTAAAGTAAAATTAAGCCTGTTATTTCACAAAATTTTGCAATTTGTTCTTACTGAAACTGTTGTGGCTGGTTGATTTTCCATTTATTTCACTGTTCTGTAATGTACTATATTTCCGAATGTAAGTTTTGGGATGGCTCTTTAATGTAAGCACTCAACTTTTTAACATCCAGCAATCTTGGACCATGTCATACTGTCTTGTTTCGTAGTCAAGTAATCACGGCTCTACTCAGCCTCAATTCAATATGGATGTGTGGTAATTGTGTCACATTATCCTCAAATTATCTCTAAATTTTATGATTTCTTATGTAGGCATTAGTACCGAAATGTAATTGTTTTATCATTAATTATCTCATTACTAAAACCAGTTCGGTATTCTCCTAAAAATGAGTGACTGCAGAATTTTCACAAGTGTATTCCTCAACTTTTTCTTAGGCTTGAAAAATGACTGGTTATAAACCTTTTTCACTCTGGTTATTAAATACTATTTGTATGATTATTTCCACTCTTTCGGTTTATTTAATCCTTCCCTATTGTTCTGGTGTTGATTTCGACACCTAACTGTTGCACTTATTATTGTTTTTTGTCTTTGAAGATTGCAGTCGTTAAACATTTGTTCTGATGTCTTCAGAGTACTAAATGCATCATTTTTAAGAGTTGGTGGAATGAAGACCAGGTAAAAAAACAGAACTTATCATTTCCTTCATCATTGTTGTCGACCTTTCGCCTGCATATTTAAAGGGGGATTGAAGTGTGTCATTTGGGCTAGTCAACCGATTGTTTATTTGCACTCCTTTAAGGAAATTGGTCTCAACTAGCGGCTAGATACGAACTAGTGGTGGAGCACAAAATACTGTGGTTGTGTCTATTGATGACCAGTTAAACTATGTTTTGAATCGTTACATCTAGCTTTATTGCTGTGTAAAAAATTTTTTTGATCAGTGGATGATCCTTCTAACCATATCTTATTTATATCCTTAGTGTTAACGCCCAGACATATTACTGTACTAGTTGTCATTTAGATTGTACAAATGAGCTTCGAAAACATTTATGTAGGTAGAGTATTCATTTAACTAGCGTATACTGTTTACTTTAATCAGACATAGGGTACAACCATTGAACCAATATAATTCCGTTTTATTATAGTTTTTAACCCTAACCAAAACTCATCGGTGTAATACAGACAATAACTTATACACATTCGATTATTAATACCACTTCAGTCTACTTAAGTCAAAAATTACATGAGCAATTGCAGTTGTTTCTGTTAGCATTTCCAAGGATGAGGTTTCTTAACTGAAAAAGACTAAAGCAGAAACGATTGTTCATCCTATTTAGACACCTAATCTGTGAAATCATATTCTGACTTATTAACATAATGATTCTCAACCAAACCCATTAGGAGCCATTAAGTCTACACTAATTCATTTTTGTTTAGATTCAGGCCATGGTCGATATGATTGTAGGTATGAATAGCAGATAAAAAATGACTCACTTTATTATATTAAAATTAGGGTCGTTATTTTTAATAATACAGAATATTCTTGCAACTTGGCTTTCGTACTTCACAATTAATATCAGTCATTATTATCATTATTATTATTACTATTATTATTATTATTATTATTATTAAAGACATGACAAATCTAAAAGATATATATCAGGTTTGAAAATGTCAAATAATGGTAATAAGTCAACTTTTAGCTACCTAAAAGGACTCAGACTTGACAGTGATAAGATGTTTCTTAAAATGAGAGTTAGTATGTAAAAGGCGATAGTTATTAAAAAGTTGATATTTTTGTAGGTATGTTAGCAATACTGTAATTAGCTTCCATCATAGAGTAACGCTTTCATTTCTTATTATCTTATAATATGCATAAAATTCAATACTATCCAGTTGCAAAAATTAAAGTAAATCATTGTCTCGATATATCACTCTTGATTCCTTAAATATAAAAACCAGTCCATACGGTAGGAGTATGGGATTACTATTTAAATTCTCACGATACAATGTTTCTCACGTAGAGTCGTACATCATTAGTAATAGAACCTGCCGCGTAAATCTGGTTGTCTTTCGAAATGTATTGCCAACAAAATTTATAAAGAATTAATCTATCTATAAATGATAAGGTTTCTTGAATGAATGTGTAACCTTAAGTGTCAATTAAAAGCAGCCTATATGAATGACAAAAGATCTATATGTATATATTGTAATATATTAATAAAAACTATTCACCATAACTTCATGTCTTGCTATTAATGAATTGTAATCACTTAAGCGTGTGGTTTCAATTATATTCGTACATTTGTTTTTTTTTTCACAAATGGTTCTGAAAATGATAACCTAAACAATATGTGCTTGTGTACTAATCAACGCGAATTAGCCCTCTTTTTCTGCTTTAAATATTGTAATTTTTCATTAGACAGTCACATGAAAGTTTAAGAAAGTGTTTGATGTAACCAAAACCATATAAATTAGTAAGATTAGTTCCTTTCTTATGGATCACATCATGTGGTAAGTTTTATTTATTTTAGTTTGAATCTCAATTATTTTCTTTTATTTAGCTCAAGCTCCCGAACAAAACACTGCAAAAGTTGTAACAAATGTATTGCTGATTTCGACCATCATTGTAAATGGCTTAATAACTGTATAGGTAGTCGCAATTATATGTAAGTTTTAAATAAACTTACTAATGTGTTTGATTCATTGACTCCAAATTATTTTCATTCGAATCAGATAATTTGCCATCATTAATCTTATTTTAATGATCTACATAGTAACTTCCTGTTCTTTTCAAACGTATCTGCTTTTTATCGACCAATTTAGGTGGATGTTTTTCTCAGTTTTCAAGAAACGTGTGTGTAAATTGTTCACATGTACCATATTGTAGCGCTTTCATGCTCATGCACGTCCATGCTCGCAGTCCACGTTTTACAGAATCAGATGGTTGACTTACTGAATACCTAAAAGCCACATTTTAAACATATTACAAACTGAGTAAAATTAAAATTTTGTAGAAAATAGTTCATTCTTTTCACCTTAGTATATTGAAGTGGTTGGATATGTCTAACAACCGATCGCCTTGACTAGCGATGTTTTGTGATGTAGGGGTAGGCTAGAAGAAAGTTAGGAGCTACCAAACCGTAACACGGCAAAAATCCATGAATTCACTAACAAGTGGACTGAGCCACATTAGTTGGTGTAGACTATCTGATTGGGGTCCATGAGACAATCGTAACTGATGGTTAGAGGCATTGAATGACAAGGTTAAAAATCGTCTGTGACGGCACAGGTGCATCCATTCTTTGTCTTGTCTTGAATTTTAATCTTCTGAATTCCTCATCACCTTTCTATCCTCTTTTTAAATTTATTTCACTGAATTATACTTCTCGAATAATATCTTAGAACCCTAATCTCCTCCATATCCATTAGTACTTCTACTACTCATAGTACTATGGGATGTGAATTGACAATGCGATCTCGCTATGTTAATGTGGTATGGCAACTTGAACTGATGTACCTACGTACCAAGTTGTACGTTGTAGCTGATTGACTGACATTTGTAAATGCAAGTAAGTCTCACTCACTTTCTGTGTTACATGATTATAATAGCCCTCGATTTGATGTTTTTTTCCTTTTACGTACATGTAATTTGCGTATAGATATTTTGCTGGAATACTCATAATGGCATGTCTGTCACTCAGTATATCCACAAGTCTTTCTCTGTCCTTGGCTATAGCATATTATTCCGATCGTCCATATGGATATTGGATACAAGCATATCGGGGTGAGTTTTTATCTTGTGAAAATCAGTCTAATTCTTGTATATGTATGACCCCACGAAAATAAAGGTTTTTTATTCGACAGGATGGTGTTAATCAGCACAATAGTGATTTTTGGCGATCTTTCATCATATTTATACATAATAATGTGAATGAAATACTGCGGCTTATCAACTATGAACAGATTCTATATTCATCTGTAAACGGCACTTTCAATGCTAGCCAAAACCTAAGGTCTGGTGTGAGTACTCAACATCCTAGGTTGTCGCATTGGACATCAGTGTAGTGAAAGAAAATTAGAACAGAAACAGCGTAGTTCCGCATGTCTGTCTTAACTTGTTATAAATTCCAAAACAATAATTAAACTATTATCAAGGATTAATTCTTTCGTACTAGTGAAAAAAAGAAAAAAATGAACTAATTTGCAAGATTTTGTTATTAAGTCTTGGAACTATTAACATTCGAAAATATCGGTATCCTTTTAGTGATGATGGTAATTAAGCCCTAATAAAATTACGCATGAGTTAATGAAAAGCCAAGCTCAGAAGTAGTCTTATGGACATATTTTCCAATCACAGGAGAGTAATTGTGAAAGCATTTTGGTAATATATTTCTTTTGACTTTTGTGTGCTTACCTCCACGAAAGCTTACTAAATGTGTCACAGGAAAATAACGTTTTAAGAATCTTATCTGAAATGGACTTTGTATGGTTTCAACCTATCGCTTATAGTGTTTGAGTATTTTGTGTAAATTTAAGTTATTTGAGAAGCTATTTGGTATTTATTTTCTTGAGAATGATCGTGGATATAGATTTTTAAGGTCACCACTTTTATTTTAATCACGTACAGTATATTCGTTCGATGTGATGAATGGTAACCGACAGTTAGAACTCAATAATATGACCTAGCTGATCGATAGCCACTCACAGGACTGTGATATCTACTTAATTACTCAGACGAATTGGACTGATGAGTACCAAAATGAGTTTCTTGTGTATCAAAATAACATGCTTATACGCAAAATATTAAATGCAAAAATAATCATGATTAAATGTCTGAAGTGGCTAAAGGTTACAAATTTCATCGGTTACTCAGTCTCTAACAGAATGAACACCTGATTATCAAAATTACCTATTACTTGTATTGATCAGATTACTTTTTCTGCTCATGGAAATAAAAGCCTTGTATCATTTTGACAAACATCACTGTTTTGACATAACAATACTCCTTTCGATTTTGCGTAAGACACCTTTATTCGGTATCGATATCGCATGGAGCACTGAAGCTGAGGCAGAGCTAATCGATTGAATCCTCATCAACAGTCGATGGTGTGGTTAGATTAGGAAACTCCGCTTACACCCTGATAGCTTGCGGTCCGGATGTAATTAAGGATGAGTTCTGTCACCAGTTAAGCGATCTCCCGTTGGTGCGTTCGACAGACATCGTATTACTATCCAGAGACTTGAATATGCAGGTCGAACGTCTAGACACAAAGAAAAATCATCTGGGTGGTCAATAAGTACCTTTCGGTTGCAGGTGCGATAACGCTGACCGTCCGCTGCAACTTCGCCCAGACTTCAACCTGTTTCTGGCTAGCACTAACTATCGGAACAGTCATCGTCGATGTAGTACCTGGGGTTTCCCATTTGCATCTGAAGCCTCGACTTAGAATGATCATTTCACAATCAGCTATCGCTACCGTTCCTTTTGGAGTACACATCTGGACTCTGATCATGCATCTATTTGCGCCCTTTTTAAGGGTGGTTGCGACCTGATTATGAGACTGACTGAGTTGTTTACAAGCGTCTGGCGATTAGAGTATCCCAACTGTAATTAATCAGTCCCTTTGGTATATGTGAATCCTGTGCGGATTGCGTCGATATTGCCATGAGGTTACAGGCAGTATTAGCAGAGATGCAGGTATATACAGGACAAAACATGCGTTATGGATTCCACTGTTAGCCACTATCCACCTCTGGTAATAATTACACCATTAGGTCGTTTATTCAATTAGATAATTACGTATTTGTGTTAAATGATAGCGTATAATGTTTATCATTTTGTTTGCATTATATCTATACATTCCGAATAGTTTTTTTTTCGGTTGACGATATGTAACAGTAATGAACAGAACTACACGACCTTATAAAAATCATTGAGTAACATTTTGACCGATATGGTTTTCTTTGTGATTGTCATTTTCAAATGATTCGTTGATACTCCAACACATAAATTACAAATACTCTAGCTTTAAAATCAAATCTGATTTTTATTAGAGCTATAACTCTAAATTCTAGGTATTTGTCAGTAACACGAATATGTTTTTCACCATTATATATTTCAGTGTACAACTGCTTAATCAAATATTTGATCTTGTTTATTTTTGTAATTTTCACTTTACCGGTACGTTTGTTCAAATAGATGCTGATCCGATATTCTGTAATTACCACTTGCACTGTTTGCATGTTGACTGTGTTTATTTTTCATAACTCATAGGTTTTTGTCACTTTCATATGTTAAAGTATGTTTTGTAAGCTAGTCCTTGTTACTTTCTAAAACGAACAGACCAAGAATGAATTAACGATGTATACGAAGATTATTGGATTATTTGATAAAGCACCCTGGTAATCGATTGAGTAAATGAAAATTCTATGCTGTCTATTGAAGACTCAGTTTGAATGCCAGTAACTATCAGAATTCTCAAATAATAAGTTCATTCAAGTCATTAAAGTTGTAAAGCTGTACTAATTATCCATACAACTTTAGCTTATTTGTTTCAATAAAATAAGTTGAATTCAGTACTATGATGTTGTAAGTTCAGTATTAAAACAACACAAAAAGCTGGATATCATGGCAGTTGTGGTGATATTTTGGTTTTGATTGACTTATGTTTAACGAAGAGTCTAATTGTCTCTGCTATCTAGAGAACAAACAGCATAATATAACCTCATATATGTATTTCCCATAAATTTTCGGGAGTAACCTAATGCAATGTAGGGTCAGTGTGTGTATATATTAGAACTTGTGAGCTTAACCTTGCAAATAATGTCTAAATGATTTTAATGCACCAGTATTTGTTCATATGACGGTTAAATTCAGGTGTTGCACTTTGGAAAAAAATTAGAGGAACTTTTTTGTTTGTTTGTAAATAGACGTTCATATGTTAAGGGTCGTAATTGTGTTTGTAGTTTAAAACTAGATACCTACAACTCTTATCAGGATTTAAGTGATACAAGAATTATCACTGATTTCGAACACATAAGATGCAAATACTAACCATGTTCACTTTATATCCTCATTGTCTAATGCACTGATTTCGTAGTCGAATCTTCATAATTTATTAATGCAATTCCATTAGTTGGGTGTATTTAAATTCATTATATTCTATGATTGCTTATCTACCTTTGGTTGATGGAATTTTCTTCATTAATAAAACATAATTTTGTCCAGTGTAACTGTTCAACTAAATAAAAGTTTAGTCATTAAACCTATCAGTGAAGTTATTTCCATATGATTTGTAGTATCTAAAAAGAAACATAAAATAATTATTTAAATACACTTAGTCAATAAAAGATTTGTAAAGTATATATAAGGAAAAAATCATTCTTCTTCTAATTATTATTATTATTATTAGTTGTGGTTAGACTAATTGCAATTCATTTTATTTACAACGATTCACTAGGCGTATAAAACTCCCTCAATTGTAGTGTAGAAATTTTTTTTTTTAATAGAAAGCCACGCCTATTCATCATTGTTCAATGAAAGCTAACTGCTAATGTTTGTTTGGTATGCATAACAAATTATTATTTAATAAGACATGGTACAACCATACTACCTATTTATTAAAGCAAATAACAACTACTCATAACAAATAATTTTGATTGCTGTCGACTATTTTATAGGCTTTTTTCTATGTTTGAACTCTCCGACATTTTCAAGTTGTTAATAGTTTCTTGAGTTTAAAGTGTAAAGAACACATAAAGCTAGTCGAATAATTATTGAGTCAATTAGATTATGAAATAAGAATATTGATTTTTTGTGTCTGTCATTTCCTTCTCTTATGCATATTATAGTTTACAGTCAATGATTATTTTCAACGGATAATTTAATCAAGTTTAAATGTTGTCTCAAATTTCTCATTAATTTAAACAATACACTTATGACTATATTGATTTACTTTTAATATTTTAAAAATGTTGGTTTGTTACAAAAAATTTCTGAAAACTGATCACACACAACATGCAGATCTAACTAGTGAATTAATTTCAGTCCTTAACAACCTAACGTTTGTTGCATATTGAAATTTAAATTATACATGTAAATGTGTTCGACAGTCTCTTTATATCGTTCACTGTTAGTGCCAATTCATTTCATTGTAGTGTTTGTTGTGAATTTTTTTTTGTTTTTAGCTGTGATGTATTTCGTCGTAAATGCAGGAATTTATAAACGAATTGATTTAATTTACTGAAGATAGATTTAATTTAAATTCGAAAAAAAAAGTAGTGTTATTGTTGATAATGTGTAGAGGATTTGGATAAATTACTTAGGTGTTTTATAAATCATGCAAATTATCGAAGTTAGCGGTGTCAACAGAATAAATAGATCACCATTTAATTCGTGTTGATTTTTATGTTCAAATATATAATTGTTTATTGTTGTCGGGCTGTGATGAGAAATTTAATTGAAATGAAGTATTTTATTTTGCTCTTGTAACATTTTCGATGTAGTTAACTAGACGGTTATTAGTTCAAAAAAATTACTAAAAAGAAGTGAAAAACTAGTTTGATTTCACAGCATTGTAGATAGATGCTGCCTAGATCAACAACAATTGTAAGGTTTTACAAGTCTTCGGGAATTTTACGTAATAAAAACTCATCAATGTTAACATTTAGCTGTGTTCATAAAGTTGTGTATTCAACAACAGAATTAAGATGGATATTAAGTTGGCAAAGGGTTAACATTCATAAAAGTAGTTTATCATGGCACTAATTTGAGGTACCAGGTAATTTACTGCTTGTTGAATTATTTTTGTTAAACATAATCTGAACTCTGAAATATTTGTAACCGATAAATATTTGTATTTTTACAATAAAATTGCGTGACTGGATAAAAGTGATAAATCGGCCATGTTTCGAAATCGAACACGATTATGCAGATCCAGCAGCCCTTCAAAATACATTGTAATATGACATGCATTTTTCGTATTTCCCAGTTCTTTCCGTTCTTGTTAGAATATATTTTGTATACTTAACTTCATTGCTTTTTAGACTTTTTCAACTTAAGCCTTATTAATTTTCAGTTTTTGTGTGGACTTGAAACTGGCAACTGCAATATAATGTACCATGTCGTACACTGTTTATAATTAAATGACTGTTTGTGTAAACTCTACATAAATGGTATTTTAATCCTAATTAGTTTTCAATATTTAGTTCATAGAATCATGTTTCTATCTGTATAATAAATTATCATTGATCAAAAAGAATTAATTAACTCCAATCTTATGGAAGTAGTTTTGTAATTATTATGCATTTTTGCAGCTATGATGACAGACAGAGAACTGGTCAATATCTGAGTAGTTAAATTCATTTAATTCTTATGAACTTTTAAATATCATTACATCACGATAACTCATATTATTTTTCAACTTAAATGATGTTTATTTCATTCTATATATATATTACATAAAAGTATGTTATTATTCCTGAATAGAATAAACCTTTTTTGCTGGCTAGTTGTGCTGTATTTCATTGTAAATCCAGTTATGAGCTACACCAATTTTAACTGTTACATTTCGCTTGATTGTTCAGTAATAAACATCATAAATCTCCTCTGTAATCATCAATCAAGTATAAACTATGATTCATATAATGTTAAAATAATAACCTAGGTCACCTATTTGGTAAATATGGATGATGCATATTATCATTTTAACATGCCAATAGTGTTAACGATCGTAGGTATGATGTATTCATCAATACAACTAACCTGTTGTAAATATAATTGGTGAAATATATAGTCGTATTTATTGATTTTATATACTTATTAATTCTGTTAAATACAGTTTTCCAGCTTCTTTACTCATAAATGTTTCAACTTGACGTCATATTTAAATAATACAATTAGGAGTTTTGGGAAACCATTAAATATACAAGCGGAAACATTGCAGTTAGTATTCACTTTACTGTACTATAAATATTTATAGTCAGTCAGTCAGCAACAACCTAGAACTTCGTACGTACGTACGTCAGTTCAAATTGCCATACCATATTTGCACAGAGGTGCCATTTTTGATTCGAATCCCATAGTGGTAGAGGAAGTAGAAGTATGATCGATCGTATTAACATAATTTCCATTCCAATTATCGAGGAATCTATCTAAAAATTTACAATTTTATGTTATTACTTGTTGCCTTAATCAACACGTTTGTGATTGCTAAATTTAATTGATCTTCCAATGTTTTTCTATAGATAATTTATCATTAGTATGTATTTTAAATGAACCCTTAACTTACTACATCAGTTAACATGCTAGGTAGTGATAGGAAGTGTCACAAGGAGTTTGTGTCGAGCCACTTTGTTCGTCGTATTTCTCGTATAAGTATGAACTGAAACACTATAGATTTTCGTCTTTATTGAGTAACTAAATGAGTTGTTTGTAGTGTAATACAGGTGTGAGACAAGTTTAATTGTCCATGTTCAGTTTAAATATAGAGAGTGCTAGATCAAAATTTTGGGTTATAAGAGCGGGGCTAGATGGTATTTGGTGTGATCAGCATTTTACTATTATTGTAAAGTGATTGGTACACAGAACTACATTAGGATGTGTTATCTATGATTCTGAAACCTGGTCTTTCTTAGCTGAAACTGTTTAGTGACCTTGTGTTGTTGTTACTCGAATTCAGTGCCAGCATCAAATGTATGATTCTAAGTTCCAACAATATATTTGGTAATCAACCTTTGAAATCATCTTCAGACATTAGCTTTTAGGGATCCGGTGTATTTTACATTCTCAGTTCATTAGTTTTGATACTGATTATTTTCCCGCTATTCATAAAAAAGGGATTATTTTGTGACATATGATTCTAGAGTAAAGGATGCCTTCATCATGTAGGCAGCTAGTGCATCGTCGTGATTCTCAGGAGGAAGGTTAGAAAGATTATTCAATTCATTAATTTAAACGGAAAAGTAAAATTGAAATCAGTAACTATTCCTTAGTATTTTACGTCTGTATTTTATAAAACTTATTATAGGGTTTAATCGAAAAAATATCTACTTCGATTTTCATTTTGTGTATTTACCTGTAGTTCTCTTAGTACTGTTATGATTACATCATTTCTCACCTTCCAAAAAACAGCTGCTATTTACTACCTCATTACATTAAATTACTATTTGTTTATAAAAATAAAATATTAAGAAGAATTTCTGTAATAACCTTTTAGTGACAGTAGCAAGGGTAAGGATAATTGTCCACTTGATATCTATTAAGGACAGAATAAACGGAAGTTGTAATAATGGTTAATTAATAGTTGAGAAAGTGATTGGAACAGATTGAGAAAAGTTTAATATCTATCACCAATCAAATAAATTCGCAACCAACTGAGAACCTGATTCCGAATTCAATTTCTCAGACGTTTCAGTAAAAATGAAACCTGACGGTTCAGTACAAAGATCGATTTATAGAAAGCTAACGTGAAATGGCCAATACATAAATTTTCAAACTTGGGTCCCACTGAAGCAAAAGAGAAATCTTATCCATTCTGAACAAGGGCTAGACGAATATGTACTAAGGATACAATCGATATTGAACTTGAAAAACTAGGACAGATACTGATTAACAGTGGATACCTACCTAGATTCATTGAGAAAAATATGAATCCGAAACAACAGTTTGAAAGAAAGCCGTTATCACCATAGAAGACTCTTTTCATGAATATTCAGTTTAAAAGAGATTCGGCAGCAGGAATTTCGAAAAATAGACTTTTGAGATCTTTTAGGAGAACATTCTATTCGTTTGAACTTCGTATTATCTTTTCTTGTTGGTCTATGATTCTCAGTTGTACAGAAGATAAGTTGCCACTTTGAACAAAACCAATGAGTGTCTATCAGTTTACCTATTCGTATGAAACAAATAATATTGGCTTATTCTTCCATGGTCTGAAACTTCCTTTCAACTCTTCCACAATCTATGGGTTTTTGTCTTGGTTGTTTTTGTGTGCGCTATCTTTTATTCGTTTATTTGACTTTTAAATTTTTAATCGTAATCCGTTCTAATTATTTTCTCAACTATTAATTAACAATTATTACAACTTCCGTTTATTCTGTCATTAACAGATATCAAGTGGACTATTATCCTTACCTATGCACCTTTCGCTAGTTGTTTATTACTTTTTGTTGAGATAGTCTTAAAAATTTATGCACAGTTACTTAACTACTAATTATAAATTTTTTGTTTTAAATCTTTTTCCGCATCAGAATACTGGCAAACATTCAGCAATGGATCCATTGAACACTTAGATCATTTAATAATGAATGGTAACTCCTGTTTTAGTGTGAATATTTTCCTTTTTAACTATAATATTAAAAAAAATCTCCATCATCTAAGCTAATTTTCCGATTGTCTTATTATTGGTTTTTCTTGGTATTCCAGTGAAATTATTTCAAACACAAAATCTTAACTGTCAACATGTTACACTTGTTTTCAACGTTCAATAAATTCAACAAATTATTTCATCAAACCCTCTGGCCATCGTTTGGAATTACATAGGTCACTATTCAAACAATTTATAATATAAGATTGTCCTTTAATTATTTCTGCAGATATCTTACTCGAGCATTCAGTTTTCTTTTCTAATAGTTAACTTATGAGCATGTAAACATTAGGCAGTTTAAAGATGCTTAACCGGGTGTTTATTATTATCTAATTTCTGGTTTCCGAAATTCATTAATAAGAGAAATTTGAATCATCTAGAATCATCATGGTCATACAACAATACGGTGACCTATTGAACGATATACTCGCTATCAAATATATTTACATATCTTTTATGCGATACAATTCTCTTTAATCGTTTACTAAATCTTTGTGTTAAGTTGCAAAGTAAACAGTCATCTTGTGAGATTGAATTTTCTTATTTACTTCATAATAACATTAAAGCGTTTATATCAATATAAAGTTTTCGAAATATATTTCGGTTACCTTTGCATCAGACACTACTTGTCAGAGTGACTGACCTGTTTACGAATACCTAATATCGTGAATTATAACTACTTACTTTCTCTTGAAGTGAACATTTGCCATATCTGTGCCAATTTTCGGCGGACCTTTCAAACAAATCCAGTTATCGGTATTATTACCCACCCTTATGTCTCATCCTATGATACCTACCGTTTGTGTATTTTATGTATATTTCTTTTTGAACTTGGTTACCAACTTCTGCTTTTTACATTTTGATTCATAGATGGAGTTTTCTGCATACTTGGTTTAAGGTCATCTGGATTGGTTTTCTTTGTAGTCGTCGTTGTTGGATGTTTATTTACTTTTTGCATTGATGCTTTTTTGGTGCATCTAATAATCTTTCATGTATACTTATGTAAGTTTGTAATGTGTTTAGTGTTCTCGTTCTGTCTACGTAGCATTTATCCAGGTCATTAAGCTGGTTTCATAGACTTTTTTCCTAGTACTCCACTTCAGCCGATATTATTTTTATTATCGTTGATATCTTATCATCGTGCTTATATGATAAAAGTGCAATACATATATGTGTTAAGTACAGATTCGTCTGGGTATTTTAAATTAACGCAGACATTCAATGATCGTTGACTATAATTATTGAACAATCTGTTCCTGGAATTTCAGGTAGCAGAAAAAAAATTAAGTATATTTTACAAAGATGTCAGCTGTAGTGTACTGCTTGAAAATAAACTCCTAGGAAGGTCAGAAAGTCTCGTTTTAACGTTGAATATAGGTAATTGTCTAGTGTAGACTGTTAAGTGGTAATAATTTCCGTAATTTCCGTGTTCGTATTTCGTGTCTATGAAATTACACAGATGTCGGTCCAAAAGACATCAGCACCTATTGACGAAAATCGGTCAACCAGTCATACTCGACGTACAACTTGGAAGATTACGTCGGTTTAAATTCCGACAGCCCATTAGCTCAACGAAATAAAGTTATCAGGGCAAATCCCAGAGTAGTGAGTGGAGTGACGGTATTTGTTGTGACAGAAAAGACTAGGCATTCAAGATATGGTGAGGTGGAAGCTAAATTAACGATTTGAAAAATTATAAGAAGCGTAAAAACTTGGAATCTAAGAGATGAAAAGTGAACGTACCTGCATTATTAAGAGTGATTATAACTCATGTTACCCTAACTCTCTGCGGTCAGAGACTTTGAACGACAAGGCTCAAAGTCGTTTGCACTGACGCACGTGCATCCATTCTTTGTCTTGTCTCGAATTATAATCCAAATTCCTCGTTACCTTTCTCTTTTGAAATTTATTTCACTGGATTATACATCTCGAATAATATCTTGGAACTTTAATCTTCTCCATTACCATTGATACTTCTTCTACTCCATGTTTTGCTTTGGCTACTCCTAGCTTTCTTTTAGCCTACCCTTACATCACAAAACATCACTTATCGAGGCAGTCGGTGGTTGGGCATACGTAACACGTGACCCAACCACCCCAACTAGTGAAAATTCACTACTTCATCAATTGATTTGCCAATTTTACCTAGTACATACTTACTTAAGCCTGTTAAGAGCAGCCAAACCAAAACTTGGCACAAGTCCATGAAGTCACTGACAAGTGGACTGAGCCTCGTTGTTAGGTTTAGACTACCTGGTGGGGGTCCGCGAGACGATAGTAATCAATGGTTAGAAATCTTGAGTGGCATGGCTCTAAACCGTTTGCAATGGCGAAGTTACATTCACTTTATGTGTCCTGTCAAATTTTAAGCTTCTGAATTCCTGATGACCTTTTTTTTTAATCGATTACTCTGGGGTATACTTCTCGAATGATATATTCGATCTTTAATCTTATTGAATACTGCTAATACGTCTATTACCTCTAATACTGTGGGATTAGAAATGACAATTGCCTCTCTGTGCTAACGTGGTATGGTAACGTGAACTGATGTACTTACCTTTGAAGTTCTACGTTGTGACTGACTGACTGAGTGACTATCAATGGAGAACAGGCCGCCGACCAGTATTCTTCAACCTACTCTGTTCTGGACCTCCCTCTTCAGCTCTATCCAATTTTTGTTCATTCTTTTCATGTCTGTCTCCAATTCTCGGTGTAATGTGCTCTTTGATCTTCATCTGTTCCTTTGACTTTGAGGGTTTCGAGTGAAGCCTTGTCTTGTGATGCAGTTGGGTGCCTTGCTCAATGTATGTCCAGTCCACTTCAAGCGCTTCTTCTTGATTTCCTCCGCTGGAATCTGGTTTGTTTTATACCACAGTAGGCTGTTGCTGATGGTTTCTGGCTAATGGATCCGAAGTATTTTGCGTAGACAACTGTTAATAAATATTTTTATCTCCTGGATGATGGCTTTCGTAGTTCTCCAAGTTTCTGCCCCAGACATTAAAACCGTCTTGACATTTGTTTCGAAAATTCTGACTGTTGGCTGATAGTTGTTTTGAGTTTCAGATGGTGCGCGCCGTCACATCAGCATGAGATCCACCTAGCTCGTCGATGATGCTGCCCGGATATACACCTCCATTAAGAGTCAATGCTAAAAAGATAGTCCTGATGCGCTAGTTGAAAACAAAGTTTCCTAGAGTGATTTGACTACTATCAGAATAAACAATTGAAATTTACCTGACCAATAAAATTAATAAAGTGTACTACCGTAGTACACTAGAGAGATAATGTTCCGCTGTTCAAATCGAAGTAGTTGAAGTAATTTTTTTGTCGTATATGAATGGTCGAAAGTTGAATTTCAAAGTATCAGTCCATGGTTTACTTCATTCACTTTGGTGTATTAGGAATTTTTCAAAAGTCACCACGTATAAGAGTCATTGTTTTTGACTTGATTAGTCTATCCTGTTTATTCTCATTCATTTCAGATATAAAAGGTATGACAACGTATGAATTTATTGTTTCACAACGTCAAAAATCGAATCCGTCTAATGAAAATCAAACATCCAATAATATAGCGCTAAATAAAAAGAAGACTTTATTCTATAGTATTAATTACATTGATTTATGTGAAAAAGATGTTATTGCTGAAATGTCATCACAGAATCAATCAAATGGACCAATTAATACAAATGATAAAGTGATTTTTTCTCTACAGTCCACTAGTACTTCATCTGATCAACCAATTGTAACAGGTGATTTAGCCAATAATGGGAGTAGCGTTTGTTCAGTTAGACCACAGATTATTTCCAATAATAAAATATGTTCACATGGAAAAGAGTGTATACCTTCAACTACAATGTCTGATTTTAAATCAGAAAGTATACAACAAGATAATCCGGTATATTTATCGTCTCTAGGCGAAGTGAGTGTTTACACACTAATTGTTTTGATATTTATGTAACATTGTTCACAATTTATTTGCTTTTGTTTCATATTTTATTAGTATAAAATAAACTCTGATACATTTAGTGTGATCATTTAATTAATATTCCATTAGTGTTTCGACTATTTCATGTTGATATGCAAATAAATCAGTTTTGTTTATATGCATGAAGTTATCATGTTGAAAAATTCCATTTAAAAATTATACGCTTTATTTAATGATGCCACCATACTTTGTCGCATGATTTTTTCGGTTCACCCAACAGTAGTTGCCAATTCAGAAGAACCGTAATTATTCTAGTACAAAAGGGATCTTTGTAAACTTAAACAGGTAGTAAATGACACGTCCAACTCTTTAACAATGATCGATTACAATTTAATCCAAAAAGACAACAGTGCATATTTAAATTTGATGCTCGACACTGATAAATGAAAATGGAACAGCCCTCTCTCCATAGTAACCAGTTATGATTTTGGGACGGGAAAATTAGCAAACTACTAATGGTGACAACCAACTAGAAAATAACAAACTTCACGCCAAATACGAAATGAAAAATGTTTGGTAGACTTTATCGTTGCAAAAAGGAATCAATGAATATTCTCAGGAATCTTATATATATTGCCTTTGAAATATGTATGACTTTGCTCAAACAATGCAATTATTTTGAACTTTATTAACATTGTTAGTATTTTCGGGCAGAGTTGAGGTCGCGCAAAATCCGTAGGTCAATCAGAGTTAGACATTAACACCGTTAAATGCCGGCCCAGTGGTCCGATGCTTAGGCGTTCGCGCACAATACCGAAGGCCCCTGGTTCCAATCCTGCGAGGTGCAGGAGTCGTGGATGCTCACTGCCACTGATGAGTCCCATACGAGGATGAAACAGCCGTCCAGTGCTTCCAGGTTTCTAATGGTGGTCTAACAATGATTGATTGATGATTTCAAATTTTTATTATTGTCAGATCCCTACAACATACAAAATTTTTGAGATTTTTCCACTAGGTTTCTCGAAAAAGAAATCCAGAATTCGCTGTATAAATTCCTCTTTTCGAATGATTCAATGTATATAGCCATCGTAATGTATCCATGTTTCACGTATCCAATGATTAACTTAAACTTGATATGTTATTTAATCTACGTTATTCGTTAGCTTTTTAAAAGCATCATTGAATATGATGAAACATTGAATTTTTAGTTTGAGATTCCTTAACTTCACTTATTCCTAATTCAACATACAAAATCCAAATGTTTGAATTTCCATGAGATGATATACTTATCAATTGTACGAAATTAGTTTGAAAAATTGTTTTTCATCATTGAGAATTTATCTATTTTTTTTTTAACGAAGATTAATTGATTATAAATTTGTACTTTTCCAATAGAATAAATGATTTATATTCTCAAAAATGTAATAACTATTATCTTTACCTATGATGATGAGAAAAAAATATGGGTGGGGTTTATTCAATCATCATATTAGCTATAGAATATCAATATAATTCACAATGTAGCAGTTATCCTTAACTACCTATTTTTTTGTTTAGAAAAAAAAATAAATAGAAAATATCTATTTAAATAGACGAAGCTAGTTTCCTTGTTTCTCATAGTTTTTTTGTGACTCTTTTTTCCTTCTTTTTCCTCGTTTTATTATCACATGTGAAAGTTGATTGATGCTATTTCGTTTTCTTTCTTCCATGTTTTGAATTAATTTTGTTTTAAAAATATTAACTGTGTTGATTTTTCCACTTTATGAAATAAAGAGTTTAATTCTTTTATATTTTTAGAATTCTAATAAACCTCTTGATGTGAATAAACACAATGTAACACGGTAAGTTTTTATTCAAGTAGTTTTGTAGTACTACATTATTGTACTTTAAAAGTAAAACACTTTATTATTTGAAGCGATTAATTTCTTCTATAAATTTTAACAAAGCAATCACGAGATGGAGTTACTCTCAAATATATTCATCGATTAATAAAAATTCAATGTTTCACAAAATGGATGTTGACACATTTTTTAAAACGTTATATTGCATCGATTGAGGGGACACATTTTGAAGTTTAGATAAACAAACCTTAGCTGGTTAGAATACTCAAATATCCTGTATGTGTACATAAGCAATTTGTTGTAATTCTGGGTCTGTCCAGGTTAATTGTTAAATCATTTTATGACCTAGAGTGGTGAAAGTTTCCCATTCTTTCCATGTTATATTGATTTTCCTATTTCATTTATTTAAGATTATTATGTCTACTTGAACTTTTATTAAATTGACCTCTATTAGCTTTTATAAGCGTCTTGATGTATGTGTGTAACCAAATTATTCAATATGTATATACCACATTTTTGGGGTTAACTCTGTCTTCTCGTTTCCATAACAAAATTTTGTTTTTTAATCATTTTCATAAAATTTCTGTCCAACAGACGGAATATGCCGGCTAACACCAAGAGACAATAAGAGTGCAGGCTGCAATGATTTCATCATCAGTGAATGCTAATAAAATTAATCTTTCAATAAGTCACATTAATTCGTTTAGTCCACTTGAACATGAGTTATTTATTGTTAGTATGAAAGATAAAAACATGATTGTATTTGCTACACTGTAATTGATTTTATACTCTATCACGCCGAATTTCTAACCATAGATAACGATGGTCTGGATGATCTCAAACAAAAAGTCTGCATCAACTTATATAGTTTACTCTGATTATTGGTGGCTTTATGGATTGACTCTATAATAGCTCCTAACTACTCACTCTCGAACTCTGAGCATCACGGCAGGTGATGAATGTCTCAATGTCTCTAACCACCAGTTACGATCGTCTTATGGACACCAACCAGGTAGTCTACACCTACTAACATTGCCCATTCCAGTTGTCGATGACTTCATGGATTTGTTCCATGTTTTAGTTTGGTCGCCTCCAGTTTATTTCAGGCGTATTCCTATACCAGATAACATAGCTTGTCAAGGCAGTCGGTGGTTGGGCGTACGTAGCACATGTCTTGGCCACCTCAACTGATGAAGATTCACTACTTCATCAATTGATTTTTCATCTTCACTTAGTACATTTTTCCTAATTCCAGCTTACAGTTCAACGTAATGCGTATTTCTATTTTCTTCGTGATGATTTTATCTCAGCTTTTATAACATGGAAAAAATTTTTATTACTATATAAGGTTACTTATTATTTGAAAATATTTCTTTACTTTTGCAATGCAGGTTAGATAGTGATAGTCTACAAGATTTGAGTAATTCTAACACTAGCGGTGATGAGACTCTTTGCGCAACAGTTATCACGAATAAAATTGAGTTGAATTCAGGTAATCAAAGTGATGGTGATACTTCGTCTGAACAAATCACACAATCCAATAGTACAGAATCTACAAATACACTTACAAAAGAGAGTGAGAGTTCAGTGATATCTAAAGTAAGGTTTTTCTGTACATATTTACTTCCTTCTACTCATTCATTTATTCATTGTATGTTTCTTTTAGTTTTTCGTTCAATTCAATGTTATGTGTATTTTTACCTTAATATATGACGTGTTACTCTCGAATATTTCATCAATTTTAAATTTCGGTACACTTAAGTTAGGGCCTTAACAAAATATGGTTTCCTAACCTCCTTGATCAAGATGATGATGATGTTGGTAAGCGTCACCTCTATTTTAGAGATGTATGTAAGTGTATGGAGAATATAATTCAAAGTCTTACTAATGAATTTATTGATTAGACTACGAAACGTTCATTATTACTGATTTTTTATCATGGAACAGAAAAGTTATTTTGTGTTGCTCAACGTAAATTAAAATTTTCTCTTCTCATTTATTATTATGTTGCTAAGATTGTACTTATGAAAGGTATTTTTCATAATATGTAGTTTAAGGCCGAGAATATTAACTTAGAATGTTAGTGTCAAACAAAGATAGTGTATGGTAACATTCTACTAACGGTATATTTATTATTTATTTAAATATAAACATTAGTACAAAGAGGAAAAAATCATATGTATAAACACCACAAAAACTATTGCGTTTGTGTATGGGTTGGGATACTGTTTGGTTAATTAAACTAAAGCAGGCGGTTTTCTAAGGAGGCTACTCTGCAAGCGTTCATTAGTGACTTGCTTCGTCAGAGGATTCTCGGTGTTCTATTGAGGAGCCATGACCACTGGAGTTCAGCCCTGTCAGGTGTGAGGCAGTTACTCACGAATACAATGGATGAGGTTGCGCAATATCGTGGTTTGATAAGAGTTAGATAAAAACGCGGCTGTATAGCGGCTCAGTGGTCCAGATGTTGTGTTCGTGTGCGAGACTGTAGGTCCTGAGTTCGATTCCCGCCTGCAGATGCGCACTCCTGGTGGCTCTTATGCTAGGACAAAACGGCCTTCTAATGATTCCAAGTTTCTAATGGTGGCCCAGCATTAAATGCTGCATGATTTTAATGAAACTCAACAATCTTCACAACCCTATGATGAAGTTTCCTACATGCTCTGTGTTCACAAGATATATGTTTTGCATCAGTCATTATCGGTTGGTTTTGTTTATTTTCTGTTCACCTAATCCCATTTTTTTATGAAAGTCAAATATTACACATGAGTTTTCTTAATTTTTTAAATACATCATAAATTTCTTTTTTTTTACAGGTACCTCCAGTATTAAAAAAGCCATAGGTAGTGTTATTTTCCTACATACTTTTTAAAGCTTATGTTATATACCATTTCACCCGGAGACGAACTATTATCATACTTTAAAAAAGCCCATTATTAAACAGTACTTCTAAATTTACATTGCAAATTAGTTTTTCTATCTGTTCATATAAACTTATTTCATAGTAACTGTCATTGGTGATATTTGTTTATTTATTAGTTGGGAATGATTATTATTGTTATTATTTCAATTGATTTATTTTGATTTTGTAAATTTAATTTAATTTTTGACTGAATAATCATATCTCTATCCTCTTTTTTTCTTTATTGAAATTCTCATTTCCCCAATGTGTGTTTATTTTTGTGTACAAACTATTTTGTAATTTCATCTTTGTGTGTACGCATCAGTTGTATATTCCTCACTTTGACATAATCAAGGTTAGGTATTTTTAGGAAAGTGTAAATTAAATGAAATATAATCATTGATGTTGTTGTTTTTATGGTTGCATTTTTAAACCGAATCGCTTGCCTTCTGTAATTTCTTACATTATTTCTTTCAAGTTAAATTTATCAACAATCTTACTTTTCCATTCATCATTTAGTTGTTATTGTTGTTATTATTATTATTATTTGAAGAATTCATAAAATCTGTCAATATTGTACATAAATCTACATGATGAAATATATTGTTTGTTTTTTCCAACGCAGATACTTGACTTCCTTATTAATAAATTAAATGATTATCTGTTTGTCTGTTCTTTTAAAGTGATTGTATAACGGATTTTCATTATATCGATCAATAAGAATCACAGTTGCTTTCGTATCTGCCGATGTGTACTATAAACATTAGAGAATTTCTCTTTTTAAGGAGAGTTTGCATACACATTATTCAGTGGCAATATTTTCTGCATTGAATAATTAATATTAAATTACAAAATTGAACCTACGTTAGTTGTTGGTTTTTCTAATATTTTTTGGAAATTAATTATTGATAATATAATTTTCAAGCTTGATTAATAACTTATTTATCACGTATTGAATTCTTCGAATGATTATTACAAACAAATGTTAAGAGTGAACTTTCCCATCGATTGTAGTGATAATGAGAATACTACAGACTTACTCACTTCGCACTTATTCAGATTAAATAATATGTTCTTAAACATTTTCGATTGTGGCAAATGAACTATGGACTCAATGTGTTCATCCACATATTGAATTTGTTCTCAACTTTCATCTCTCTATGATCCATCATAACTATCCGTTGTCGTTCTACGGATCGTCTGCATTCGACATTTCATTTACTCATAATTACTAGACAATTGATGATTTTAAGGATTGTACATAAAAATTCTTCTAAAATGTGAATTTAAATTACTATCAATTTATAGATTACTTTTTAAAGGATTGATCATTAAATATCAGTTTCAATACAGAAAGATACTAAATACTCGAGATCATGGTGTTGTTTTGTATTTTGAAATAAAGTGCAATAGAACATATTTCAGAATGATGAAGTATATGTTAATCCTTGAAATACATCTTTTCTCAACACCTGTGTAACCCGATGATACTTCATATATTTATGTACGTGCTAAATATAAGTTCGAATCGTGTGCCCTATTGATCTATTTTAAAGAATTTACTTTACGAATGAATGTATATCGTACATCTTGTCTTCGAATAGTTTATAAAATAACTTAGTCATTAATTTTATCTAAAGTTCCTGGAAATGAATTCTTCTTATTGAATTGTAATTACGAATGGAAACAGTTATAACAGACGTGTAGAAAGTATGATGGACATCTGTGTTAATTTGAGTTGATTTAAATTGCTTAATATAGTCGAATGTTCTTTTTATTAAATCATGTCTCATATACTAAAAATCTTAAATACCAATTCATTATACCTTATTTTTAGTATTCTGTATAAAGGTGAAACTAAAGTGTTTATGTAATGTTTGTTTTATTGGCTTTTCCCCCAGTTTCATGAATACCAGGTAAGCATAGCATATCCTATAGTGAAATTAGTTTCCTTGTACGTTCCTATTGTTTTGTTGCAACAATAGTCCCCTGAAAGCAATAACATCTTGTTGATTACATATTGAAACCTAATACACTAAGTGCTTAATAAATTAAGTATAAACCAAGATTGGTCAACTTTTTCTCACACAACCAATAGTGCAGTTACGCAAAATACACTCTCTTGTAGCTGAATGATTTTTCTCAGCAATATTAAACACCAATATATTGATTATTCTTATAAGGTTTTGTAGAGATTGTTAAGATTTTATAGTGTAAATCGTAGACTGATCTTAGACAACTACCGAAAACCAGGAGATACTATTGCGGTTTAATCTAAGTGATAAGAAATGCCGCGTTAAATATTTATAAGGAGAGTAATTAAATTGTATACAATTTTTCGTAAAACAAATTATGAAGTGGTGTAAGCCCACTGAAATCAAGATAGTAAACTTTACATCAAGTTATTCAGACTATAATAAAAAATTTTCTAAATTTCCGTCAAGAAATGTCATTAAAAGTATAATTCAAGATATTACATTATTTTCTCTATATAATGCACAACTAAGTATATTTACATGTATTTGGTAAATGAATTCGCCCAAATATCAGTTAAAATTGCATAGGATCTCATTCATTTGAATGGTCAGTAGTTTTGTATACCGAATAAAGTTGATTTGGATTAGAAAACCAGTTCCATTTTAATAATGGCAGCCTAAGTCAATCCAACATTCAGCATATTTTTATCTGTAATTAAATCATTTATAATGTTGCCCTTAGCTAATTGATGAATATTGATTTGTCTTGCCGATTGTTCAACCGATTAAAAAGCACTGTTAAAAGTAATGGTTATAGAATCATTAAGATAAAAACCATGTGGTTTGAAAATTGGTTGTAAATCGAATCGCCAGAAAATGAGGTGGAAGGAAATAATAAGCTAAAATTTCGGTGCCAATAAACGGTAAGATTGTAATGGACCAATAAGAGGTAGATTTGTGTAGTATCACAGCTCTACCTCTTTGTTGTGGGATTGGAATTTTATTAATATTAGCATTCGAATGCTGTGCAATTAGACTAGAATGAAAATGATATCACCGTAAAAAGGATACAAATCGAAAAGGAATATTTAGGTTTGGCAGAAGCATAGACTATTTATAAAATTTATACACGTGGTCTATAGTTGTACATTTGCATCTGTTGTGTGTTCTGGAGTCCAAGCCGGTCATTGGCTATCTTCTCTCGCCCGTCTTCTGGTCTTCGAAAATACTGTGATCAAGCTGTGCATCTCAATCTCCTTACATTCTTCTCTCTAGTAGCAACGCCCTAGTGATACTCTTCTGCATACTACTTAAAAGCCAATTTCCGAGTATCGTCCACCATACCGGCATGCTTGTTAGGATGAAAAAAGTTGGGAATTGTATTAAACTGATCTAATCTCTACTGAATTGGGTCTAAGCTGTCCTGATTTGAGCTTTATCAACTTGTTTCATGTGCTTTTAGGTCAATACAGTTATGAAATACTTTTGTGATTGTAGTGGAACGTTTCTACGAAGAAACTACATTATTGTACTCGTTTTGTTTAACTGTACCAAAAACACTTCTACTTCTTGCGCGCAACGTTCTCTTTGCGTTGCTGTCATTTTTCTCTATTTGCTGTTCCCGATGTAGTGCCTAATGTCTCCTTCAATAAAACCTTGGTGAATGGATTTATTTTGATATAAATGACGGGACCGTATGGAACATTTAGTGGTGATCATAGTCAGTCTGGTATCTTGACTCTCTCAATGAAATTGTTTAGCTTGACGTTTCTTCAAAAGAAGCCAATTACGGTGTGTCTATTATTCATCTATCACCATTTTTATAATGTTGCAATACTATTAATAATATCTTTAATATATATTATACTTGCAACAACGTTTCGAAATGGTAGGTAGCTATAATAATAGACTCCGAGGTGCAGGTCATCAGATAACGTCCAACGACTATCTGCGTAGATGCGAATACTGCCTCCGGTGTGAACTCGAATATAACATTGACAGGTCGCTCTACCTCGAGAGTTATTTACCTGTCCGCAAGTTTTCTTATGAGTAGATTCGGTACTCAACAACCTTACGAAGGATCTTTTCACGTGATCTCTCGTCACGAAAAAACCTTCAAGGTTGATGGACACAGTCAGCATTGATCGTCTCATACCAGCACACGTCAATGACAGTGCCCTACCTGGTAAATCGAGATTTAATGCTGGACTCGGTGTTAAATTATAATATTTACTCTTGCAGTTCATTTTTAACCCGATAGGTGTAGGTTCATACGCTCCCCACCCAGTCCAAGTCCGAAAACGATAATTCTGGGAGAGAACGGTTCTATATTTAATTAAGAAAGGGAATTCAGACAATTACCAAAACGACATTACACCTTCGGGTTTCCATTTACCACAATAGGTTACGTTGCTGGAAGAATAAGTGCTTACAGTCCGTTACTGCTAGAGTATCAAATCCAAATATGGCTGTAGCCATAGTAAATATCAGTTTTAGACAACATATGGATAATTCAGAAGGAAACATAAAAACTTCGATATAAGCACAAGATATAGAAATAATAACAAATACAAATGATAAAATCTCAAATGGGATTAAATAAAGTACCAAAATATCTAACAGAAAGAGTCAGATCGTAACACAAATATATGTACATGGAGGGATTTTCCAAAAACGAAACCTTCAAAATAGATTCTACACTCGTCCAGCTTACTAGCGGGATCACTATTTTTCTTTCTGATCCCACGCTGGATAAACCAAAGACCTCATTCTCACGTCACAGTCAGCACCACGAGTCATCTGCACTATCTACGGATGAGACTCCGGTCTCACGTCCAGATCAGCAGGACACGCCGCACTTGACTGAGTATGAGAATGCAGGCTCACGAGGCAACGGTCTCGCGTTCCGGTCGCCGCGTACGCCTACCTGTATGCTTTCTCTTACTAACCACCAATTAACCACGGGTGCGGCACAGGATTTTACCATCGTACAACATGCATGCTACACTTTTCTCCTTTTAAATTGATTTTTTTGTCCTGAGCCCATACCTCCGACCATTGCCCTGTAGGTACCGTCGACTTCAGTCAACCTTGGCGAAAGCTGGTCTGATCACCCACGCTCTTGTCAATTCACTCAGTCGATGTTGTGGTTACGAACATATCTGGTATGCGAAAGGTTTCTCACTGGTCGTTATCATCGTTTTTGGCTCCTTCGCTTAATCTGGTTCCGTCCTACGTCTGCAGCTTTATCTGGTCCGAATCCCTACGAACTCAATCTTCAGACTCTGGATACGAGCCACGCTGGTGTGGCACGCCAATCCGATAGACAAACTTGGCACGTCAACTCGAGCAGCAAGCCTGGCACGTTACTACTGATACAGATCAACATAGAAGACTATCGGTGACAACACGAGCTTTACTGGTTGCTTCCTGTTCGTCGACCATTCCGCACTACAATCAAATGATGGCCGAACAGCCCCATCCCGAACGCGGCCACTATGTATCGAAAGTGTACACCCTTACCAGTCGGGGGCTACTGTAGTGGGACGCTTCTACGAAGAAACTACCGATGTAATACCTACTGTCTCCTTCAATAAAATCTTGGTAAATGGATTTATTTTGATATAAATGACGGGACCGTAAGGAACATTTAGTGGTGATCATAGTCAAACTGGTATCTTGACTCGCTCACTAAAGTATACAGACAATAGAATAAGGGTTCATTTTGCGCATATACATCAGCCTTTGAACAGACAAAGACAAGCTAACCAACAGAATAAAGACATCACATTTGAATGTCACTAGTGGAAACAAATCTTGTATCGGAAATAAGTGAAAAATTTTAGGGATTCCACATCCTTGTGTTTGAAGTTTTACTAGCTCACTGTCCATAAACTGTGGTCAGTTTTACAATAATCATAATTGGAACGAACCTGTAAAGTTAGTGTAAGTCACTGAACTTATCGCCAGATCGGTTACCGAACGATGAAGTGTCTGTTACAACTCATGGCTTGTAATAATAGCTTGTATGGAAGCATCAAGTGGGATGAAATAGTTGAGCACTGTACAATCAACACTTAGCAACAGTCTCACCAGAATGGTCAAAATTGAATATGCGACCACCGACGACCAAAACGTATTACATTTGGGATTCGAACTAGTCACAAAACCGTACACATGTAATTTCGGCTGTAAACTGGTATGCCTCAAGTAACATTTTTATCATTATCATTGGTCATCTGTTATTACAAGCATTACATATAAGCTCTTTATAAATAAAAATATTTATTATACGACAATTTTAAACCTAGGGAAAATTAAGATACACATTCACTGTGTGAAGTAATAAAACCAGAATCAGTGCAAGGGGAAACCACTTTAAGTAGACCATCGTTCATCAGTCAATGAAACGCACTGGTCAGAACAAACACTTAATCATTCATTTTAAATCAAAGGTCCTTTCTATCTCTCCTGTCGCCAATGTTTCAACAACATGGATCAAATTCTCTATGTTTCTAAATTTGACGTTGGCTAATTGAAAAAACCATTTAATACCAAGTACAGAAAACTAAATTCAGCCTGAAGTACAATTTGCCGAAATCTCAGTGCTATTTGCCCAACTCTACAAACTGTTGAATCCGAGAATCGTCACTAAACTCGTCTTTAACTTCTATCATAACGTTTAAAAAGCTATAGTAGTCTTTAAAAAGTCTTTAACATTTTAAGATGTTTTGTGTACCGGTGAGGTAGTGAAAGTGAAGCTTAATTTAAAAACAAAAGCCTTTTCGGAGCTGTTGTCTTTTTAAGGTCGAGCGCACCATACAATGTACGACCTTGAGACACCTTGGTACACATTTGAGTCCCTGCTTGTCTTCTTTTGTAATGTAAGTATGTCTAATCGAAGTTTAGTTGTCGTTCTGACTAATTAAATTGCATCCAAAAATAATCTTTATTTAGCAGACTCCATTTTAGTGATTTTTTAATGGACATTGGATTTGCAATACTGAATTAATCGTTTCATTGGAAAAAATCTGTTGCCATATATAGCGGTAACATTGTACTGATTCACTTGATGTGTAAGCGACCAGTCGAGTATTAACTGATTGCTCTTGAGCTTAAGAATGTTTCTAAGTGTTTGCTTATTTTCTCTCTTGGTAAACAGATTCTTCATAACCCGGTAATGCGATTAAAATTTTCAATGCATTAGTGTCTTACTGCAATTCCATTTTGGATTATGAAGCTGATTTGGATTGTATTTTCAAAAACGTTGTCCAAGAAGTTGTAATTGACCAAAAATGTCATTTGCAACTCTTTGATACTCGTTCACTTCATATGCATTACTAGTACTAGTGGCTATTTATATAAATGAACGCCTTTATTATTTTTTGCTAACGATTTACTAAAGAGTTTGAACACTCCTAAAAGCTTCAAAAGACTACCTTAGTTTCTAAAGAAACTAGTCGCCAAATAATTGTCATCAGGGTAATGTCACTACCCAATAATACTGTATCATCCGTACACCTGGCTTCCGAGTTCTTTCCAGTAATAGATCTACTTCATCATGTATGTTGTACAAAGCTACTTTAAAAACGTCAGTGGGGAGGCTTTAGAAGAATAATTTTAAAAAACTCAAATACGGAATTGAGAAAATGTAGCAAAAGACTTCTGTTAGGCAGACCTCGCGCTATCTAGTTCCTGTTAATAGATGACAACTTATTTCCTGTGATTGCTGGTATCGAGACGGAAATTAAATGAATGGCAACTCCCAAAACTAGTCTGTAAACTATTAGTATATAAAATCATTAGATAATTACTAAGTAACGCGACTATCAGGTTTATATATTTCTATCATCATAAGCTTTCCATGAACGCTCAAGTTACTGTTGTACGATTTACTGTCCTTATTTCGTTGTCAGTTTGTCATTTATCCTCTGCTATCAACAGCCACTCTTTGGCTCATTTACGTATAACTGTTATTACGTATACTGTGATATGGTCAAGTTTGTGAACCACGTATGTTTGAAATATATGATTCGTATATTGGGGGCTGGTTACGGACTTCAATACTCAGCGGGTCGGGAAGCGAGAGCATTGTAGGCCATTAGAAATCTAGCTGTTGAGTAAATGTTTTTTGCCCGCAGTCATATTGCAATTGGTGCTTCTGTCATTTGACATCAATTAACGGTTAAAGACGCAACAACTGGTTATGACATTTTCTGCAACTTAAAAGTTCATTGTTTTTCTGTCGCAAGATCACGTTTTGTTAATCTATTCACATAACTGTTCCGTTTCGATCTTGACTTCTTGAATTCAGAAATAACCAATCTCTCTTCACTCCAGTCTTATTCCTGAATTTGTTTGTATCTGGTATGATTGGTAGTGTTGTGTGTCAGAGGTTGTACTATCTAACTGACAATAGTTCTCGTTCTTGAAGATTTTCAATATCTTGTTTATAAGAGCTCCCCGTTTTACTGCACGGCGGCTCGTTATTGAAGTGTCATGTATTAGCTTTCCGGTCTGTTTATTTTACACAAATCCAGTTTGAGTCATCCTAGTTTTTTGTTCAGATATATTAAACCCTATCTCAGTTTATGACTTACACGAGTAATGTACATCAGTTGACTTCATCATTGTAGATTGTTGATTTTCTTAATAGACTTTATAAGACGAAAACCTCCGTGTCCTTATGCATAAATCAGTAAAAATGACGAAGACACTCTTTTTTTGTTTTATTCTCACCGACAAAATACCTCAGGTTAGTTTCTAATTGCCGCTTTTCCCCGTCATTTCTCATAATTTCTCATACTTCTATTGTTAATGGGCTACAAATATTTTCTGTCGTTTAAGTTTGAGATATCTGTTCCGACACAATTTTTGATTTGCTTTTTAGTAATAAATTTCTAATAGTATTCTACTTGAAAGTGTTCACATTACGTCTGTCAGACTTGTATATCATGTCATCATGTATCGAAATGAAAATGAATTGCCTGTAAACTTTAAATTATTACTGATCGGAGATAGTGGAGTTGGCAAATCAAGGTTAGTGACAAAATCGTATGAATACTTTCCATTTTTATAGCTTATTAATGCGTTATACCAATGATTGCTTTGAAAGTCAGCTATCTGCAACTATCGGTAAGCTTATTTGGAAGTAATTTGATATTTTTCATTTTAGGCGTCGATTTCAAAGTTAAACTTGTTACAGTTCCTGATGGAACGAAGGTAAAACTTTCTATCTGGGTGAGTGGTCTAGTAATTTTAGGCTAAAGGTTTACTTATTAAAAACGTGTACTGATAGGTGAACTATATACACACGAGCACGTCATTCACTACCTTTTTACTGAGCAAATCTCAAGTCTGTGAACTTATGACCCCTTCTTCAACCATCAAGAAAACCAGGGTTCACACCACTAGTGGTTACATCCTAAAATAATATAGTTGAATGTAGCTCAATACTAACATGTATAAACATCAAAGATTTGGTCTATGGTTGATATAGTGAACTTGATTCAGAAAATCGTGATTTTCAGGCTTATGGAGGTTATGGTAGCACTCATGTAATGAATGTAGCTTATTGCAAATATAGCAATAACATACATTTAAGCGTAAAATCCATGACATATGGATGTATTTCATTCATGTTATTGGTTACAAGATGTACTGTGTAAGTCACTGTCGAGTTTTTTTCATTCACATTTTCATTTCGCAGCTTTTCTTATTTTAGAGACAGATGAGTTGGGAAGGGGATTTTATGGTTCATACAGGTGGGAATTATGCAAAATGTTAAGTATGGTTAAGATAAAAGCCCTTACCGACGGAGATGGAAATCCGTGAGGTAGGGTGAGGTGTGACATTTTTAGGGTCAACCTTTTCTAACCCTTCCTTCCATGTGAGAAGACAGCATCGCTGCAGATGCTGGTTGGCCGAGGAAACACCTTACTGCTGTCACACCCCTCTTCAGTCAGCAGTACGACTTCGCCCTCAGACCTTGAGTAGCTGCATTTAGTCTGATCGTTCTCCAATCGACGTGCCTAGCATTGTAGAACCTTCAGGAACATATGTTCCAGCCAATATAGCTCGGTTGGGTCATCACGATAGGCAAGGCTGACCACCACGTCAAGGTAGCAGCTACGGTCGGGGTTAAGTATGGTTATCTGACTGATGGCTTTTCTGTAGTAACCATTCAGTAGAAAATTGAATGTGTTACCACTGTTGGATTAAATTGTCTGCACAAGATTATTTACGCTATCAATAAATAGTCATATAGAAGATATCTCTGTTCATTTTAAAGCTGTGACTTGTTTTATCGTCGTGAAGAAGTTTCCTTTGAAGGTCTATTATGTGCTGACAATATACTAAAATGTGATCTGAATGTTTAAACGTTTTGCTGTTTTCTGACGAAACTTTGAAATCTCACTATTTCATAATATTAGTAAAGTTGACTTATTCGTTCTGATTGGTTGCATATAAGTGAACATTTAGCTCCGATAAACCCTCATTTATAGCGTGAATTTTTCCCCACATTGTAGACTAAATTTAAGATGTAATGACTTATTTTTACCGCACCTTTTTCAAAATCTTGTTAGGATACTGCTGGTCAGGAGCGATTTCGTACTTTGACACCAAACGTGTATCGTGGTTCACACGCTGCTGTTTTTGGTGAGTTATTTGATCAATATTGACTTTTACAAACTGATTATAGGCTGTAATATGTGATTTCATTGGTATTTACTGACCTTGATATTCAGAGTTGAAAGTTTTTGACTATAATTTGACTCATAAGGGCGGAGGTAAGTAAAATTACCATTTTTTTATAGCAAACTAAAATACTATTCCCATGTGAGTCACATATCATACGTTTGTACAACGTATGGTGCTCGAAAATATGACCCATAATTTCCAGAGAATTTAATTCAGAATTTTCTTACTCAATCTAAAAGCCCAGTCCGTTCTTAAATATATGGTGATACGTAAAATCGAATCAGATACATCACAGTGGCTGACAGCATGCTGTGAAAAGAGTGAAAGCTGGTCATATTTCTATTCCTGGACTACTCACTTCTTACTGTAGATCACTGATAGGCAAAACCGACCATCTTTACATTCTACTTAGTCTAAACATTTGTAGTAATTATGGTATAATTGTAGTTCTAGAGACCTGGTTAAACGACCTGTATGACGATAGTTTGATATCACTACATAATTTCAAAATTGGCCGTCAGGATCGTTCAAGTAACTGGAATAAGTACAGTACTAGTGTAAATGGTTTGTAACTGTAATTTAGTGTCAATCTAACTATGTACAGTGTAAGTGTCCCGATGTTTTTATAGATTCTTTAACGATAAAATGCTTCTTATAACACCTGAAAAAGTATATTTACATTTATATTACCAATATTTATGTAACGCATCCTTTTACACTATCCGTTTTATCTGGTGAGTTCACCAAATCTGTTTCTACTACCTTTAGTGATTCTCTTCCAGTCGTGCGTGGTGGTTCTAAGCCATACGGTAGCAGTTTTCTTTCCCCTTCAGATCATCAAAACCCTATCGATTTTCCTGCCTGTTCTGGTCCTCTTCTAAACTCAATTTTCATCAATGATGTCGAACAGGTTCATTTGCTTGGTTCTAACCACTTCAAAATTTGTGTTTTGTCCAGAAAAAAAATGTGGCGAGCTTGAAACTAACACACAGTGTTAATTTAACCATATAAACGATTCAGAGGAAGGCACCAAGCATTTGATAAACATGTTTCGTACGAAGAACTGGAATTTTTTCATAAGTGATTTATTGGAAAACGGTTGATGTTCTTTGCTATCTCAAGTTCCAGCTTGATATTTGTTGTCACAGAGAAGCAATTGTATTAAGATTCTATACATTTACCTGCCCACAAGTAAAATTATTAGGGTCAGAAGAAAATACTGTACAAGGATAAGGATTCTATTAAGGTTCGAACGCCTGATAAAGTAACAAGTGGGGAAATCAATCTCCTGAATTTAATGTGGGCTCAAAAACTTAAAACATGTGGAAACCTTTTAAATAGCTTACAGGTACAAAACAGCTTAGTGATAACACCTATCCAAATAGTTTCATCTTAACTATGTCGTTTATATGTCAATGGTTTGCTTTCATATTTCCTACTTCTCCAAGTTATAAGAAATTGTCTCAGTCTACTAAAACTGCTGTTTTAGCATGTCTGAAGTTGCCCAACTTTTGTAATGTTTGTCATCTGACGCCAATTCAATCCTTCTGTTTAAGAAATGTGCTGATTCTATGTTATCTACTGACGAGTATCTCTAAATAATCCTCTTCAATGAATTTTATATCAAAGGGCGAGGTTATTCCGAAACCAAAAATCTTGTCTTATATTATGAATATCAAAATTCCTCTCATAAGCAATAACTTGTTTCCTCACAGCAATGCAGAAACGACTACTAAGCACATTTCAACCTTTACTGATTTACAGTGTCAAACCAATTTGTTATCCTTGATTCATACTCTAACCACAACAATGCAATATTTCAAAGACGCATGATAAAAGAAGCTTAGAGTCTACACACGCCTTCTACTTTCAAAGATTATGCCAAACAGATATCGATTAATGCAAAGTGGACTTCAGCCGTATTGATTAGGTTATATTTACTTGAGCTTGCTATACCTCTCTAGGTATCGGCCGCCGATCAGTGATCTCTAACCAACACTATCCTCGGCTCTCCATTCCAATTGTTGCTAAGTGTCTTAATATCTGGCTCCGACTCTATCCACCTCTATCATCTTATTTCTTCCTCAAATGGTAGCTGGTTTGTTTTCTGTCACACCATATTATTACTAATGGTCCCTCATTAATGGCCTCAGAGTTTACAGTCTTGTTTAATACCGGTCTTCACTTGGAATGTATCTGTCGACTGCCGTCCATGAGTTCAGTTCAGTTCAGTAGTTCAGTTTGTCACAGGGGTTTCGTGTACTCCATAATGTCTAAGAAGATTCCACAAGGTCCCTCTATTCACACTGTCGAATGCTTTCTTATAATCAAGGATGTTTATGTATAGTGATGAGTTCCATTCGACTAACTGTTCAACAATAATCTTTGGCGTTGCGATTTGGTTGGTACTTGAGTTATCCTTACGAAAACCAGCTTTCTGATCTTGAAGTTGGGCGTCTACTAAACGTTCGTTGCGTTCAACAACATTCTGTAGAAATGTTTACGGATATCACTTTGTAGTTCTCACACTTAGAAAGGTCTTCTTTGTTTGGTGATGGTGAGGTTTTACTCTTTCCAGTATGCGGACACTTGTTATTTCGCTCAAATTATTGTAAGAAGGACGTAGAGCACCTTTGGATATACCTCTATATCTTACTTCAATGCTTCTGTTGATATTGTCTGATTCTAGTACTAAGTCACCTATGATTTGTTCGATGCCTTGCTAATTTGTATTTCTGATGGGGTATCATTTATACGGAAATCTGTGTACTACTTCGATTTCGGTTGAAGTCAGTGGCCTCAGTCTATTCAGGAGCTTTTCGAAATGTCCTACCCAACTGTCCCGCTGTTTTGTTTTCTCAGTGATTAATTTTCTTTCTTTTCCCTGACTGGTCCCTTAAGTTTACCGCATTTTCCTGCTAGCTTCTTCGTCGTATCACATGGTTGTCTAACATATCTTTCTCTTGCAGCTTTTCTGCTTCCAGTACCAATTCTTTCACATATTTTCGTTTATCAGCTACGGTTGGTAGGCGCTTAGCAGTGGATAGCATTTCTTGAAATTCGTTCCTTCTGATTTTATAGAATGCTTTGATGATCCTGGAGGCATAAATTTTGTGAACACCATCAGTGCAGCTTGCTGTTTTTGGTTGATTTTATTCTTCATAAACAGAATACAACAACAGCGGTCCTGTAGTTAATCTTTTCTGCCGAAATGTTGTGCAAAGGCTTCACTTCAAGATACTCTGCATACTTAAACAAATTGTTCTTGTTTTCAGAAGAGGCAATATCTTCGTGGTTAGCTTCCACCTTGAGACATCATAACTTCTACGTAGAGACCCTTTAACTCTCGGAGTATCGTATAACAACTTGGACTGATGTACGTACGTACGATGTTCTACGTTGTAGCTGGTTGGTTGGCTAAATGGACTAACTCTTTTATTCTGGTTGACTTCTTTTTGAAAGGTTTATCTTCATAGGACAGGAGTGCTAACTCTACTCACAATACGTAGTTATTTCAGATTGAAACCGGTATTAAACCTAGATAAGTTCCAAATGAATTTGATTAGAATGTACAGATCACTCAATTTTTTCGAAATAATTGTCAATGTTACTAACCTCATTTTTATTGGGAGTAGGTGTTTCAATTAAAACATGTTTATTGATGTGACTTTTGAAAACTATTGATGAGAATGTAATATAAATTCTTTCCTACTTTATTCTTCTTCGAATCAAATAATATAAACTTGTGTAGATTTATTTCATCTTCATCAATAACACTGTCATGTTTGTTTTTTTTTAAACTCTACCATACCGTACCATCATCTGTTTAGTGTTTGATGTATCGAATCATGAGAGTTTTGATCATCTTAGCAGTTGGATGGAAGAATTACAAACTTATGCAGACAATCCAAATATGATCAAACTTCTTGTTGGCAATAAAATTGATAATGTAAGTTTTTTCATGATGTAATCAATTAATTACAAAAACATGTAAATTTCAATTGATTTAATAGTTTGTAGTATTAGTTTTTTATATATATATATATGTTTGCTTAGTTGTCCTTTAGTAAATTGTTCATTGAATATTGTGGTGTAGTGTGTTCAGTTAATGCAAACAGAATATGACAAATAATATGATATGTTCGGATTGATTTTACTTTGAGAAAACTAAAATTTATTTGTACATGAAAAAAAAAAACTCGAAAATTAGTTTATTATTTATTGTTTGTGCGAAACTTAAATCAAATGACCAATTTAAACAAACAATTTGTAAACATATTTTGATATTTGATATGATTTCGATAAGATGTATTTTTTGTTTAAATTAATCTATAAAAATTTTTTTGTAAATAAATATTTACCAGAATGTCGCTGAAATATCTACTTTCTAGTTTTATACTTAAAGTTCTAACTTTTACACACACTAGAAGTCTGTAGCACTTAAAGATAGAACACTTCAATAATAGAATATTTTATTCACTCTATGAAATTCATTCGCTTTAAAATTCATTCATTTAGATATAAAGCCCAAAAACTGATACTCCAATGGATATTCATATTCAGGATCTTTTGATTGATTGACTGGAAGCCACCTCTATCTGTGCATATTTACGAACAACAAATTTACACTGGTTTCTTATTGTTAATAACTTCAAAAACAAAATCATAACAATAACTTCATTTTCTTAGCTAATAAGCTCCTGCTATGCTGTGATGTGTGCTTAGCTTTCCTTATATCACAAATAGTCTCAGTTTCCTGCTTCTAAAAACTACCATTTGAAACAGACTGTCTAAGGAGTGATCGAATGAGAGGAAGCTGACATAGAACTAATTGTGGTGATGTTTCGTTCTCTGAGCTGGATGTCTTGGTTGGGGAGCTTTCATTGTTATACTGAACAACATCATCAGCACAAACTTCAAATAGAAGTGAAGTATTCGAATTTCTCCACGTTTCACCCTTAGCTTATTCTGTTAACCAGTCAAGATCTAAAATAACAATGAAAGCTCCATAACCAAAACATTCAGCTCAGAGAACTAAACATCACCACAATCATCCACCTCAGCTAAAAATTTTCTTCCTCTTACCAAACACTTCAAATAACATAGCTTGAGGTCTTAATCGCAGAGCTTATACACTATATCCTGTGTCAGTATCATTTACGTAACCTATGAAATAGTGTTTTTTTCTTGAAGTTGATGTTTACCGTCTGACCGTATCTTGGATACCTAATCTTGTATATTAACACTAATACTGTTTATACCATTACTACTCTTAGATTGGCCCTAACAATTTTATCTTCTGCTAATAGGCTGTAGAAACTTCAACCAATGTACATATGTTTTAGTCTCTGTGTTGTAGATGATTGACTAACCGATGCTTGAAACGTTTATTGCTTAAGTATTTTATGAGTTTAGATTTTTTTGGATTATTTACAAAAATTATGGTATGTAATCTTATTCTGTTCTGATTTGGCCACTGCTTATTTGCTACTATAAGGTAATCCTGGAGTTTTTAAATGAACTAATGTGGTGTATGTAGAACTATAAGTTTTGAAACTATTTTCATATTTCAATAGTGAACACTAGAATGCAATGATTTCTTTGCTCCAGATTGTCTTAGAGAGCGAAATGCAAGTTCTAAATCCCTACTTCTAGCCCAATTGTAGTAATATCACATAACTAGTTTATTTACTTTCTTTAGACAACTATCTGGATACAACTATTTACATGATCCTGGGGTATTTTTTCGGTAAAGAACTATCATTGTTACTATTTTTTTCTTATTCTAGATCGATCGTGAGATTTTTCGTGAAGAGGGTCTTCGTTTTGCCCGTTTATACAATATGATGTACGCTGAAACAAGTGCAAAAACCAGTGAAGGCGTTAATCAGTTATTTTCTGATGTTGTTAATAAAATTTATCATCATCCTGAATTATGGAATCAAGGCAAAAAGCATGCATATAATTCTGCAAGTCGTGTCCACTTGAATGAATCTCAAAATAAACAGACCAGTGGTGGGTGTTGTTCTTAATATGCATAAACGCATCGGCATACACACTCCCTTACTCTCTGCCTGTTCATGACTATTCCACTCGATCATTGAAAATTTCTGATTTTATCCAAATAAATATCATATTTGGTGTACTATAACGGTTTCTTTTCATTTTTAAACCTTTCCTGACCACACTAGACAATTCATCACACTGTCTTTCTTTTAATGTGTCATGTCATGCTATATATATGTGAGGCCTGTGCTATTATTATTTATCAGCCAAAATTTTGTGATGCTTTCAAAGTTTTGTGCTGCTTTTCTTTTACTTTCTTTTCGACTAGATGAATATCTAGAATATAAGCTACTTAATTATTTTTTCATTGTTCTTGTTGTTGTTTCGAAAATCAAAATACCTAAAGACCATTTTCGTTATCTGTTTAAACCACAAGTTGTCTTTTCCAAGATTTTGCTTGTTTATTTTTCACTACATGCTTTAAAACCGATCACATTGTTTTAAAGAATTGTTTTTCGCTAAATTCAATATTATTTCAGGTGATTTGTATATATAGTTTATTAGAGTCAATATTAAATATGGACGATTCTACTGTCTAGTGTATTCAATATTATGAAATTAGTATTCATAAATCCAAGCCACATGTTGTCCTTACATAATAATGGCCTTATAAAATTACAGTTAATCAAAATAAGACTGTCTAAGGTAGTGTTAATGAACAAATTTTAAGAGAAGTTGAATCAGTAAAAGTCCTCTCACTTATCCTGAATTGTAACAAATGTAGGTTGGACTGCTAAACATGCTTTGTATGAATCGTCCATTTTTTGTCCTGATGTTAGGCAGATGAAAAATACGTATTTGCATTACATGAACTTCGTTATGCAGGTATGGATATCAAAAAAAAGCAATCAAAGTCCACCATCTAAGAGATCATGTAACTGTTATTTGATGTGTAGGTATGGTGGTCACCCAACATTTTTTTGTCATGCAACACTGGTGTGATAGCTTTGTACTTTAGTGTATATCTGATTGATGATAAATTTCTCAAACTTGGGAAGACAGCCGTAGTCAGTCGTTTGTGAATGAGATTAAATTATGTATTTCTGTTAACATCTAGAGTTTAATACGTTTTCACTGTTTGTATTTCTTGATAATATGACTAATTTTGGGTTTAGATAATTTGCATCTCAACAATATTCAAGCAGACTGATTAAGTGCTTAATTGCATGAAAAGCTGCACTTATGTAATGTAACGTTAACTAAACTTTGAATACTAGGATCTGACTATTGGTCTTGCATTTCGGGAGCTCTTCGAAAGAACTTTAGGATAATTTGACTATTAATTAAACAGTGAACCTCTTTCTATACGTAAATATTTCCCTTAATTATTACAACGAAAATAATTCTCACGAATAAAAGTGAAATCTTGCATAAATGTAAAATCTTTTCACGAATTATATATAATCAGTAAATACAATCATGTTCGTGAAAATTTCTCTTGTTTTTTTCATGACTGTGCTCATAGGAACCAACTTATTTCTCTTTTCCATATAGGCAACTAATCAACAATAAGTAGTTTTACTTTTGAAATGAGTTTATCTAGAGAGGAATTGACTCAGCAACTATGAACAAAAAGTTCATCTTAAAGAAGATATGCGTCAAATCAGAACGGCTATAATCACAGCAGTAGTAGATGTCAGTAACCTGAACAAGAAATAACAGGAAAAATCCTGCCGAAGCGATACCTGAAGACAAGTGTTAGACTCTTTAACCTAGCTGATGGATATGAAAAATCGAAAATGGAGTTGGAAAACCCTGATTACAAACCAATGGTGTATGAGCCTATTGTTGGTCACCGGCTACTTTGGTACTGCAACTTCCGAAGTTGCTTCACTGTCTTGTGTACTAAGACTGGTGGTCAGAGGCTTCAGGTGTGGCCCCCTAGGAGAACCACTTGCTTTGCCTCGGGCAGTATCATAGCCCGCACACAAATTAAACGATGAAAATAACTGGAAAGTTTATACTTACTGCAAACGTCACTACCACAAACAGTACTTTGATAACATTTGTTTTAATTTTACATTGCGTCAATGTTTTATTATTTGAGCGTTCTATATTCAACTCATTCAGCAACTCGTCTGTTGTCGAGATCTTGTTCTATCTGAATGGTCTGAAATCGCTGATTGATCAAACTTTGAATGCAAATTCTGAATCTGTCTGCTTGTAACCACGTATGCCATTCAAACTATTGCCTTTTACTTTTTACACACTAATGCAAGTAGGACAACAGACAAGTTTGTCTATGTTTTCAGAAAGTCTGAACATTGATATCTGTTGTCTATCTGAGACCAGTATTCAAGACTCTAGTGACGTACTACACATTTACTTTCCGTCTTTCGCCTCCAAATGTTTACTTGACAAAGGTTTATTCGGTAACCTTGCGACACATTTATTTGGTCTTGATGTCGTGCTAAGCACCAGAGCTGAGGCAGCGCTAATCGACTGAATCCCCATCGAAAGTCCATGATGTGGTTAGATTAGGAAATTCCGCTTACACCCTGATAGCTTGCGGTCCGGATCCAATTAAGGATGAGTTCTGTCACCAGTTAAGCGATCTCCCAAAAGCGCGTTCGACAGATACCGTAGTACTTACTAGCCAGAGACTTGAATACTCAGGTCGAACATCTAGACAAAGAAAAATCATCTGGGTGGTCAACAGGTACCTTTCGGTTGCAGGTGCGATAACGCTGACCGTCCGATGCAACTCTGCTCAGACTTCAACCTGTTTATGGCTTGCACTAACTATTGGAACAGTCATTGGGGTTTTGTTACGCATGAACGTAAACATGTAAGCATGATATGCTTGAACTATTACGAGTTTACCTTAGCCAAAAAAAAACGAAAGCCAGGATCCGGCGACACGACATGCTACTCTAATTCGAGTGTCTCAACGCCCATTGAATAAAAGAAGAAGACTTGATTTGAAGTAGAACATGTATTCTACAAGCATCCAGAAGAGAAGCAGTATCCCGGACTAGGGATCCGGGACATAAAACGTTACAGATAATGGGTATTTATACATTTAGGTTGAATAGGATACAGCATCGAAGTCTGTGACATTGACAGTTAAGACGACCGATAGGAAACAACATTGGAGTACGTGACACTGATATCTAGGACGACCATAAAATTTACCAGTATGAATTAACCAATAGGAATTGACCAATAATTCTCTTAGGATATTGGATGAATATCCTAACAGGTTTCTCCTTTGCATCTGGAGCCTCGACTTAGAATGATCACATCACGATCAGCCATCGCTGACGTGGTTGTGTACAAGGTTAGCGTTCCATTTGGAGTACTTATCTGAACTCTGATCATCCCTCTATTCGCGCTAGTCTTATATTATATTTCAATGGCCAACAAATTCATCTTCCTAAGCTACAGCTTCTGTTGCAACTAAATATCAAACTGAACTAGGTTTAGGGCTGGCTACCGAAAAGTTTAGACGAGCACTGATTGCACTTGCATAACGCCATGAAGATAGTGGGTAAATTCACTTGCAGCCGCGCGAAACGTCCCTCTTATAAGCGCTGGCTTCCCTCAGGTTTACTGAAGCTCATTAGGGCACAGTCTATCCCAGATAACCGTGAATTTGACGAAGAACGTAGAATATTACGCGATGAAAGTTTGCGTAAGGACCGAAAGGCCTGGTGGCTGGATTGTGCTAATGAGTTGGAAGCAGAAGCTTCGTCAGGTAACCGCCGGAAGCTCTTTCAACTCATCCGAACTAGTGGTAGCGAAATTGCCTATATGAATGAATCAATCTGTGAAGATAATGGGACACCAATCAACAACAACCGCTGACATCTTGGACGATGAACAGAGTTTTTTGACGAACAGTTCGGGTATTCTGCTGCCTGTCAACATTATTCAGACTGTGGTGTTCCCCTTAGCCAGTGACGATTGACCCATCCAACAAGGCGGGAGTCCGTAAGGAGCTCCCTCGTCTAGAGCGCTTTAGAGAGCATCAGGCTCATATGACTTCGTTCCGGTCCTTCTTAAAGATGATAGTGACCTGACTATGAAACTGACTGAATTATTTACAAGCGCTTAGCAATTAGAGTAATCCAACTTCGTGTAATAAGTCGGTAGTTGTCCCTATCTTGAAAAGGTTTCACGTCATTCATGTAATAACTCTCAGAGGTAGGTCTACATCTGATTGTGTTCAGATTTTCGTCTTCTATCTTCAGGCAGAATAAAAGCATCTGATACAGAACATCAGGTGAATACACTGAAGACGTTCAAAGTGATTATTAGGCAGTCGGGTTTCCTTCCTGAAATTTCCCCAAGCGGTGGCCATCGAACGTCTGAAACCGAATTTATGTGTTCAAAAAGAAACGGTATTAACCTTTTCATTTCCCTGGTAACATCACATCCATTCTATAAAATAATCCTTTATTTCAACTGTTTCTCATACTTTTATTACATCATTTTCATTTCTCTTGAATTTACAATTTCGACTGCAATTGTCAGATTTCAACTCATGTTATTCTTTGGTAATCTTACCTTGGTTGCTTTATTAGACAACCATCTAAATTTCGTTAACTCCACCTAGTTCGATATTCTGGAACTTTTTTTCTCATAATTTATATTGTCTGTAACATATTTTGTTGACCTTATTAACTTTATTGAAAACGTTGCAACATCATGACCGTTTGGTCTAATCACCTTATTTATAAGAATGTTAATTTCAGTGATAATTTTGATTTAAAAATATAGGTTTTAAGCAACTGATAAGAACCTAACGAAATAAAATAAGTTCATATTATTCTGCGCCAATCTATGTAAGTTGCATTGAAGTGGCTATAATATACTTCTTAGATATTAATTTTTCTACTTACTGAGATACTATAGACACATTATTTTTATTATTAAAAACATACACAATGCCTAATTTATTTCAAATTATCAAGTCAAACTTTGCTAATGATACCTATGACTTTGAAACATTACTCATATGTTGTACAACAACTGAGTGAGCGTTCCCGAGCTTACATATATTATGTTTAGTAAAGAATTAAAAAGCCACTGATACAGTTACGAACTTCTACCGAATAAGGTGGTTAGAGCGTGTGTTACAAACCCCCAATAATCGCTTAGCTCAAATCAACGACGGTAGGGATCAGAAGATAACTAAGAATGACCAAACCAAATCAAATTGTTAATCTCATTCTACTGTAGTTGTGTGGTACAACACCTCAGGAGGGTGACAAAAACTTATTCCTGATTCTGTTAGTTGACACAAGCAGTTATGTAGGTATCGTACAGGGCGCATGATCGAATAGTCAGTCATGGAAGCCTTTCTCTTTTCTCTGATTATTAGTCATTTTACAGATGTTACCATTTTGTGACGAACGGTTGTCATTCAATATTGAATAGGTCTATAATCCGAGTTACGATCCCTCCTTATATTCTCACGATGTGCTATAAATCAGTGAAAATACTTAAGTAATTTTCGTTAATTTGGTATTATTAAAAAGTTTGAAAAATAATTCCAATAGAATACAAATGATCAATATGTGAAAATTAACACTTTTCTTAAAAAGCATAACAGAAACATTCAACCACAATTTAAACATACACACAAAGTACTGAAAAGTGTAGATGTTACATAGATTAATTTTCAAAAAAAAAAAAACATTTTGGTATGATGAATTTGTCTGTTGTTCATGTACATTTTTTTCCTAATCACAAAATTTTGTAGAAATGCTCACTCACTATAAATAAAATGTTTGTCATAGCAAAAAAAATAGAAATAGAAATAGAAATATTAACATTGATCCAACTAAAGTAGGATGATGCTGATGATGTTGATGATGTAAAGGAGTAGAAAAAAAAATGCAAGCAGTTAAGGTGATTATGACAATACAATATAAGCAAAATTTTTTTAGAAAAAAAAAAAAGATCACAAGTTAATAATACTTCATTCTCTGATTGTACAATAGTTTTATATACAATGATTTCATTTTAAAATAGTAGTATCTGGTCAGTACAACTTTGTTGTTGCTATTGTCAACAATAGGCTGATGTCAGTAGGCTTCGTGTTATTGTAATAATGGAGAAAATGATGACGATTATAATACTATGTGTTTGTTGATCATCATACAAAGTTTTGCCTCTCATTGACAGAGTATCCTAGTTGTCAGTTATGTGATAAAGAAAAACAAAATTTACAATGATTTATTTTTGTGTTTAAAATGTGATTAGTTGCATACATAAATAACAATTCATGTCAATATGCAATAATTCTTTGATTCGTTCACTTAATTTGTTACATACCAGGGTGTCTTAGGTAGTGAGTGGTTTTTCAGTGTGTTTTTTAGTTCAACTGTATTATTCAAATAATACAAGGCATGAGGCTCATATAATTAGAGCAAGAGGTTTTCGGTGACCGTCTAATTTGAAGATAGTTTTTTTTCATAAGTGGATTTCTATTAGAAAGCCACAGAGCACTGGAAAGTTCTAAATCACCGCTAAACAATAATTTGTTGGTTTATAAATTTTCTTATTTCTCATCTAATGTCAGTGATTATGCAGTTTTGATTCATATCTTGTAACTAAATACATTTCTATATCTACTTGTAGTCTCACAAAATATGAGGATTAAAAAAAAACAAAATGACATTATCAAATAATGATATGTATAATTAAGCTAAACAAATTATCAATATATAATTTATCTGATTCAAACTTTAACTTGGACTCTAAACGCTATAAAACATGGAATTTATTTCATTCAAACTAGTCTTCATCAAAACACTTCTGTTAGTAATTTCTGAACAAAGTCTGTAATTGTGAGCAGTTTATTGCAAGAACATGTGACATATATATAATGTAAAATGCAAGTCTTTCATATAATGTCTCATAACAGAATAATCATCAAATCAGCCAAAAATATAGGAGATTAGAAGAAATAAACCTTGTTATAGTCAATAAAAGAATCCTCTATATGTTGTAATGTAAAACATAAACATTAAATTTTTCAAAGGTAATTATTTTTTATTACAGATAAACACTATTTGAAGAAAAACAATGGATAACAAGGAGCATTAAACACTTGTTTCATTTCTCATATGTAATAGACTTCTGGTCCAACATTTTCAGATCTTTAGTCTTTCACATTGTCAGATGTCATTGCAGTCCCCTTCTATAGAATTCTTAGCTAAAGCGAAACAGTTTTCCAGTGTCATTTGATTTTGCCGTAAATAATATTTGTCGATCAAGAAAGTTACTGTCATATTTAATGATTAATAGAAAATTTACGTGGAAGTATTCTTAATTAGAAAACTATTATGAACTGATTTGAGAAATGTTTCATTCACAGAATCAATGACATTAGCTTTTTTCTCTCAACATAATCAATCATTTTCATTGACAGTCACATGATAGTCTCAAATTAATTTAAAATCAATGTAAATGCAACACGAATTGCGAATTTTCGATTACAGTTAACTGATGAAAATCAATCAATACTCAATTAGAGATTTGTCAAATCAACTGGGAGTCAGTTTTTAGTGTGACAGCTAGCAGTCTTTATATCCAGCTGTGCAAATTGATCAAGGGATATTCAAATCTGCCAATACACTGAAAGTTTATTTTATCGGACTGTTCTTTTGGTAGAGTAAGGTTGATAGATTGATAAAACATACATTGAAAATAGGTTAACCTTCAAGTACTACTTTTTGTATTATTTTATTAGCAGAGTGCTCAATTATGTTGATTGTCCAATGCACTTTTTATTCTAACTTGTTAAAAATGTACGTTAACCATAAAATGTACTTAAATGTTTTTATTTAAGGCTTCTAAAGTATAGTGATGTTAAATATTGAAAAAAAATAGGCTATAAATCCAGTAAAACTTTCTTAACTCATTCATTGTTTTTCTAATTGTAATCAATGCCATCTACATTTGTTGTTGTTACGATAAAGAATTATAGTTTATCAACTTGCAGTAAAATACAAACGATAATTTTAGAATTATCTGATCATAATACAAATAATTCTGGTTGAAAATAATCTGCAGAGGTGAACGCCACTAATACGTCTTCTCCGAAGTCAAAATCACGTTATTCACTATTGGAGTCATAGTTAGGAATGATGAACTATCCAATCAATGATTTTGAATGTTTAGCATTGAATATCTGAGACAGTCATACATTTTATTGATTACTATTGATTGATCGATCGATAGTTCACGTGACATTAAGTGGCACTCTAAGAAACTGCAACATGACGTCGTCTTGCACGGATCAAACATGAAGAAAAAGTTTATCGACCATGCCAACATGTCATAATACTTGAGTTTTACTTTCCATCAATATCTATTACTGAAGTGTTTCAAAGTAAGACAAAACAGCTGTCTATCCCTTAGTTCTTGATAACCAATTGTTCCCTAGTTCATGCCATATCACTTAACAAATATTAGCTTTTAATTGAACAAATCATACAAACCGCCTTATTAATTAAAAGTGAATTATTAATTTGAATATAATAATGTAGAATTTAAAGAGAAAGTATATATTCTATGTCCGCATATCTGTGATTCGAAGAAATCAAAGCGAAATAAAATAGCATATTTATTCGATCAGTATTTAATTAAGATAAAGTTAATCTCACAACTTACTTTCATTCTCAATTCTAATCTGTACACCATTTGATTTTAGATTATTATTATTATTGTGATTATTGTGATTACTATGCCAATGATTAGTTAGAATAGAATTATCTGTCCGTCTGAAAGGTGTAACATCTTCTCGATCACTTTCAGATGAACTTGACTGAGATAGATCTGTTGTTAAACAGAGAAGAACAATTATCCGAGACAATAAAATCAAAAATCAAATTATCTATCCTAAAATTAAAAGTCAATTTTTAGGTTGAAGTTAAAATATGTGTGATTAGTAAAAATAATAACCCCCATCACATTTATAATAGATAGATAAGAAAAACTGTTCCTAAATGATTGTTAGCATTATATATGCAGTAATTAATTAGTATACACTTTATTTTGGATGTATGAACTTTAGCTTAGAGATACATTTTCTAAGTGAGACTGGATGACATTAATGATAACTAGTAAGTAAGTTATTTGAATCTGACTATGCATTAATGTTATCAACTTCTTGTTCTATTCACATATAAAAGTAGATGACGATTAGACCTAACAAGGACAGTCAATACTTTCCTGAACAATCGTACGATAGAAACTTGACACCCTATTGGTGTTAGTTCAAAGGAGTCGTCGATCGCTTTTCTGATTTCACTATTTCACTTTGATTTGTTTCCATAATTTGAATTACAGATCTGTTCACTGGGTTAATTGTTAGTGTAACTGATTACTCTATATCAATCAGGATTGACCAGAGATCAAAAATGCAAACCAAGTGAATTATTGAAATATTATTTTTATCAAATAAATTGACCAGAATAAATAAATAACATGTTTATCTTTAATTTCTTCATTTAAAAATGCTGCGATTTTTAGTTCAACTAAAATCTAAACAGTATGACAGTAAGGTGATGAAAGATTTCGATTCTATTTTAACAGCTACATTTGATTCATAAAATGAAGACTGTAACAACACTGAAAAGAAAATATTTACTTATGATCCTTGCGAATATTTTAATAATCAATAGTGACCCTGTTTATTCAGCATTCTCTTTTTACAATAATCTACATGCACAAAATTGATGCCTAACATAGAAAATTCTATGATTCCTATAAACTGGCTTGTCTAAAGGTATTGTGAATTGATTCAAAAGTTTGTTTGAAGATTTAACATTTCTAACAACTAACATATACCAGATGAATAACAATAAAGCAATTGATTTTTTTTCTTTGTCCGTGAAATAAAACCTAGAAACGGAAAACAAATTACTTACTGGAATTCTTGTTGTTTAGATGATGATTGACAATATTTTTTGAATTGTTAGTTTGTAATTGAGAAACTGAATTTGAGTGATAATTCTTATATGGTTGTTTAATTGTAAATGCATTTGAAGTACTAAGAGGGAAACGGAAATAGAAGAAAACAGATAGACATGTGGCCCTATCATAATCCAGGTTAAGAAATATCAGCAGTTATAGAATGTTGGAGTGAAATGAAAGTTAGTAAATTATCAAGAGATTGAGGTAAAAAAAAGTATTTTACACATACCTTAAAAATGTATTTTGATCCATGAAATACCGCTTCTCCTTACTTACGTCTGCTACTCTCACCGAAAATAAATCTCCATCCAACTCTCTCCTCCTTTTTCCAGTTGCTACAATGGGCTGATTAGTCTAACTCTTCTCCTTTCACGTTGAAGGTCCCGATTTATGAATTGTTTTGTGTTGCTGGAGAGTGTGTCCTACTTAATTCCTGTGTCTTTTCCCTAATTTCTTCATCAACGGCAGGCTATTCGCTCTCTGTCCCAGTAGGCTATTGCTACTGATATCTGACTAATGACAATGGATTATCTTGCGTTAAAAAACTGTTTATATATGCGCCTATAGCCAATTAAAGTGCAAAAAATTTACTTTTTATAGTACTAGTCAATCGCGGAAATTTTTGTCCATACATGATGTTTGAAATGACAATCTTTTTCGTTGTACAAAACTTAGTTCTGGTTAGAATTTGTGCATTATAAATCTGGTATATAGTCAGTCAAACATGAATTCTAGGCAAATTTTATGTATTAGAAACACGATCGTCAATTGCACAGAACAGTAGACAAATAATCAAACAAAGATAATAAATATACTAGTAGAATTTGATGAGATGATAGATATTGAAAGCCGCAATAAAATAAAGAATCTATGAACATTTATAATTTTTAAAATACCGATGACAGCAATGAAAATATGATTTGAATGAAGCTTTATTCAAATCTCTAAAGTGTGTACCATCTACACAAAAATGTAATAGTGACAGTTTTTCCTCGCGATAATTTTTAACAGCGTTTAATAATTAGTGGACGATGTTGAGATATTTTTCTCTTGGAATAAATGTTTACTTATTCAAAAGATTATATATTCAGTTGATCTGTTTCTTCAACGAAATGCTGTTAATTATATTCAGGCAAAAACTTAATTGGCATTTTCGAGTAGGCAATATTTGAAATAACTTTACAATGGTAAATGAAAATGATATCGACAAGTATTACCACTGAACTGATCTTGTTTCATTTAATTGAAATGTTTCGAAAATAATGTTGACCGGACTAAATTGTTTTGAAATGAAATGATAACAAGTGTTAACTTTATAGACTGCAAAATAACACTGAAAATTAACAATATTCAGTTTGATAGTAATGATTATCTTGATAAATCATCATTGAAGAATCAGGAAAACAGTGAACAGACTTTTCATATCCCATTTCGTTTACTCCCAAATACACAAAATATTATATATTTGATTATAGTTTAATATCATTTTGAATATCTCTAGATTGGGTGTACAAAACTAAAATCAAATCAGATTATTATATTCAGCTAAATTTTAGTCTTGTTTTAAGAGAGACTAAGGAAGGTACACCAATCTTAGTATTGATTTCAACTTTAAAAAAAAAGTGGTTAACAAATAAGGTTGACTTTAACCACAGTCAATCGAAATCGATCGATTAAGGACATACAACACGTGGCATAATTATTAATTACATTTAAGACGTCACAGTAACAATTCTTTATTTTTGACAACAAGTATATCTATTTAATCAATGATGATACTTTAAAAATTTCATGACACAAACCATAGAATAATTCATGTCATCAAAATGAGGAACGGTACGATAGGTTGGTAGATCCTAAAATAACCTGAGTTAAATTCATTAAGATTTTCTAATAACAGATATTTATGTCATTATCAAACTGCTTTTCCATTTCCTCACTATGATGGGCAAACTGAAAGTATAACAAGAATCTCAAAACAGTGAGTAAATGGGCAATTTTCATTGATCAATAGAAATGTGACGCAAAGTTAATGCATGAAATAACAATTCTGCATATATTACGGTTTATTCTTCCAACCAAGGTAACAAAGGGCATGTAGCAATTACTATTTTATGCTTATTGATCATTTTTAACTCCAAACATACATAATTATTCAGTGTGAATTTAAAAATGATAAATGCCTTGCGTGTGAAATGTTTCTTTACAACTTAGAATTGTTATTAATAATAATAATAATATACGAAAAATATTTATTGATTATTTTTAAATAAAAGAATTAACATACCAAATCTCCGAATTAACAGAATCAGAATTAAAATTAGGATTAGTTTTAATTCCTGTCAATGATCCAGTACACGTATCAAATTTGAAGCCAAAAAAAAACAAAACAAAAATCAATAAAAAGCAAGTATAAATCAAATCATTGGACAAAATATTAGATAAACAGATTCCCCATTCTACTTATGAGAATTAAAAATAAAATTACAATATAAGAAATGAAAATCAACGTGGTCAAAACTTTGAATCACCCATTTACATTATGAAACCTAGGAGTGATTGCATAAAAAACAATTGTGATAGCACTGAACAAAGAAATTGAACCGATTATATTCAGAAGTAAAATGATAACTAAAGCAAAATATCATTAGAACATTAGTTAATTAATTATTTTAACTCATTTGAAATTTTTAATCAATCATTGTTAGACCACCATTAGAAACCTGGAAGCACTGGACGGCAGTTTCGTCCTGGTATGGGACTCATCAGCAGTGCGCATCATTACTTTGAATGAAAGTAAAATTTATTATCCTATTCTTAATTTAAATCAAACTTTGATCAATAAATGCATTATTTATGAGCTGTCATAAATTTGCCTTATCATACAACAACAATGTGTGGTGCTCATTGTGATAGGTTTTGTTGATTAACAAGATAGATGAAGTAATTTTCGGTAACATGGGACAAACTGTAATTACATCGATAAAATTGAAACTGTGGGAGAGAACAAACCAGCGTCACAAGACAAACCCTCACTTGGAACCCTCAAGACAAAAGGAAAATAGGAAGGCCAAGGAACACATTACGCCGAGAAATAGAGAAAGATATAAGAGGAATGAACAAAAATTGGACAGAACTGGAAAGGGAAGCCCTGGACAGAGTAGGCTGGAGAACACTGGTCGGTGGCGTATGCTCCATTGGTGGTAGAAGGCGTAAGTAAAAAGTAAGTAGCATGTGTATGAAATAACAATTAAATTATTATTATTATTATTGTTCATTAGAAATACTTTCTAAATACGCCTAAATACAATGGAATGAGAAATATGGTGGAAAATAATTAATTTGTTGCTTAAACATATAAATTTATGTTTACATTTTCTGGTTTATTTGAAATATGCCTATCCGATAGAAATGGTATTCATTGGAAGAGGATTTACGTGTATTGGTCAGTCAGAATACATTTTGTTCGTCTTTCCCGATATTAACTCATCTTGTCGTATAAGACAATAAGAGTTGCCTGGATTACAAGAGAAAAGAGAGCTTTTGTACCGACGTGTCAAAGTGTAATTACCAGTTAAGTCCAATAGTTTACGACGTGACTTGTGGTCATACCTAATTTAGTCAATAAGTGATAAACTATCATGATATTTATTACTGATGAATAAATATGATTCTGTATTCATACTTAGTTCAGCATAGTAAAAAACTATATTTGAAATTTCATTTTAAAAGCTAAAATCTGTTTACCTTGTACATAGATATGTATGTATATTACATTTATTATCATTAAACAGTTTTACATGTAACATTTTATGATCAGAATTAGGGCAACAGAATTTTATTCCTTACCTAATTCATTAGGAGATTTTCCTACTGTTAAAGAATTCATTTCAAAACATTCTGATATTGCTGGATTGTCAGATTTAATAGATTTTGATTGACGTGAAATAGTATTCCTGGGATTTTGTTGTGTTTTATGTAGAAACATTGATTCTTCATGACTTTTCTGTTTTTGAAAGTTTAAATCTGATTCTATGCTGTCATGGTTTGAATCTATAAACAATAAACATTTTTTTAAGGAGGAAAATAAGCAGAAACAAAAAAAGAAAAGAATAGCGAAATTTATTCATTTTAAAAGTTATACACTTAATGAAGCTGATCCTATTATATTAAACGAGATATGCTTTAACTAAGTTATATATAATCATCTATTACTTTGAATGATCAAGACCTTTTTCAATAATAAACTGATGGCTACTATTATTGTTTTTACACTATTTCATCGACATTTTTAATTTTATTATTTGCATCGAGCTGAGTATATACCGTGAATCAAATATTTGAATCCCCTAAAAAAGATATCGATACAGAATTTATTTTTCAACCTTAATTCATTGGTCATCTTTTAAAGTAAACCGTGCAACATATAAAATATATACAGTTGATTTGAGATATTTGACTGGTTATAGCGTATTGATTACCAATTAAAACAGAGAAACTGTACATTATGTTGCCTTGAAATAACATTTTACGCATCAAAAGCAGGCTAAAGATTAAGCAAATATTTCAGTAAATATCAATACTATCTAACTAGTTAAGTTTATTCAATGTATAATTATTTTTGTAAAAAAAATAAGAAGATACATGAAAAATTCATTCAGAAATAAAAATTATTCAATACGATTTGGAATATATACTTACTTTGATATGAAATTTTGGCGAAAAAATAGCGCTTATCACTATGACGTGAATTCACAAGATAATCAATATACAACAATTGATATTCATAGATTATATTTATGAAAGAAGTATGGAAGACAATTAAACCAACTTCCGGTTAATAATTTACTATTACAGTGTAATAGAAATTCTAATTTCTGGTTATGTAAATAATTTACCATGAATACCAACTTTAGACAATAATTATATATATATATATATATATATATATATAATCTTTCATATTACAATTATTAGTAAAGCTATTCTTATTATAAGAGAATATTTTCAATCTGTTATAAAAAATCAGTATTGTTTTACAAAATAAATAATACAATATAAGTCATTGATAAAATAAAATTATCAGTAACATTCTAATGTTTAATTTATGTATTACTAAAATACTTTAATTATTCCACTCAATCACATAAACATCATAAAATTTTCGTGGACTAGTGAAAATGCACAATTACATTCTTCATATGAACAATTTTTGTCGAGTTCAAAAATACTCAATAAAAACTAAGACTATTTATTATCAATCAATATAATCAACTTCTGAAATCGATCAAAGCAATTTCTAATCATATATAGTAGTTGTATATAAGAATAATGAACGACTTGATAAAATTCATTGTTGACTAGTGAAAAGACCAATGAAGTGTTTTTGTAGATTCCAAAGTTAAATTTTATCCTATTTACATAATAGTAACTTGTCTAAGAGTTCAATGAATCAGTGGAAATCTCAATGAATATAAATTAATAATCTAAAATAATGCCGTTAGTTTTGAAAGTTATATCAAAATTCCTAACAACCGATCATCAATTAAATATCTAAATGTTTAAAATGAACCTGAACTTATAAAAATATATGTATTAGGATATTCTAGAAAGACAGTAGAAAAATAAATCTTACACTGGTTATTTAAATCATCATTCTTTTTTTACACTTCAACGATTTTCCGTAACTTAATGAAAGCATTAGACCTCTATAAAAACTGTGAGCGTTAAGGTAGCTTACTAAACTATTTTAGGACATCTTACTGAAACTAGGTACTTGTAATGACTTTTAAGTGCGACGTTTAAAAGTCGATCAATCATTTATTTATTTCAGATTTCATTTGTTGAAATAGGATTGATCATGAAGTTTATCATTAATGTTTATCATATACTAAGTACTTCAAAACAGTGATGTCTGAAAATGAAATACAAGGTTTTTCTAAGATGCGATCTAGATTTATTATTAATTTGTTGACTAACATCAAAAAAGCTCCATAAGGAAAAACAGCGATTAGCATTTTTTTATTATTAAACTTTTATTACTCATTAGTAGTGTAAGTGTAATACACTTTAGTAGTATGTCTGTTGACGCTTATCTATAGATCATTCAAATTCAAATGAAAAAAACTTCTGCTGTTAGTCGATGACTTCTAAATGAAAAAAATTATATTATTAATTTTACTTGGAATTAAAAGGTCTCTGATTAAAACTAGTACAAAAGTAGATTTATGGTATTTAATTTAATCTCTTCCCTATAACACATATTGATAAAAATAACTGATTAGATTTATTTGAATTTTCAGTAAACTACGTAGGGTAATGAGAATTCGCACATATTCTAGGTCAGTTTATAATGTTATAATCATGACATAGACGATATAGTACAATTATTTTTTAAAATATTTCTTGTCTAAATATCAGTGACATAACATAAAAATAGCATTAGTTCATTATAGGTGCTAAGCAGTCAAGATGAAGCTTAAAATTATTATTTCCAGAGATAATATCAATAGGCAATAAAAGCAAATAAAATTTAATTACCCATAATTAGTTTTTCTTCAGATGATTCAGGTAGTTGAAAAGTAACAACTCTATATTTAGATGGTTTAAGAATTCCATTAAAATTGACAGTTGAACCTTCTGACGTAAAATTTCGTTTTTCATGAATATTATTATCATTATTATTAACATTATCTAAAAGAAATTCACAACTCTCAGGATAATTTGTCTGGCTTTTCTGTTGAAGATACAAAGAATCATCTTCATGTTCGTTATTAACTTGTGAACTTAAAAGACATGATTTTTGTTTAGAAGAAACATTATCCACAACTGTTGTGTGCATCATATCAGATAGACTAGGATGAGACAGTGACCGGGTTAATTTGGATGTACAAACAATAACTTTGTCTCCAGTAGAACAAGCAGCAATCGATTGAATAGATCTAGGTGAACAACTGGATTCAGATAAATTAGGTGAAGCTGTTGATGAAGAAGTCATTGGTGAGAATATAGTTTTTAAACATTCACCTTCTTCTTGACTTGTATAATCATCATCAAGTTCATCAAGAGATTTTCGAGGTGCACAAATAAGTCCCAAAGCAAATATTAATATCAAAGGAATTAGTCCTAAAGCTGATAGAATAAAAATTTGTAGAAAAAAAGTGTTTACAAAAATATAAGTATCGTACATTCTCCAATTTAATACGATGAAATGTTAATGACTTAAAATCATGTGTACAAAGAAACATTGTGATAAAATTTTCACTATCAATTATCTACGTGCCTTCTTTGCAATATGTTGTCTTTTTTCAAACATTTTAAGTGTTATTTGAATCTAGGCATAAAAATGAAGTAAATCTGCCACCAGTTGGAACTGATGCATGAAATGCTAATTTCGATTCCGATTTATTAAAAATTTTATCAGTCTATCATCAATATAATCATCAGATTGAAAACATTGTCATGCATCTTTAGAAGTTCGCTAATTTATGCCAAACAAAGTCAAATATTACGAAGTCCTTATTAATTTCAATATGCTTTTTTTGTGCGTACATGTTGAAACAATCAAACAGAGAGAAAAATGACATTTCAATTATAAACAACTGATCTTAAACTAAACTACATCAAAGCGGAAAGAAATCAACATCTGACATTATCTGAAATTCATTAGTTTATGTATGATTCCTGATTTCGGCAAATATTATAAGACAGTTTTAAACGGAGTAATTTACATAAAATAATCTTCAGGAAATTTGCTTACCATTGGATCGTAAGTAGATTAAAAGGTGATAATAAAAAACAGGTAAACTAAAAATAGCACAAGTTTGATCTAAACTGGGTCGGATTATCCCGTTGTTGATATTTAGTCAGTCTTGGTTGGTATATGTGCATTCTGCGTGAATTACCTCAATATAGTCGTTATGACACAATAGATGGTATGTTACTGACAGTGGAATCCAGGATAGACGTTTCGTCCTATTTTCAACACGCTAGCGGATCGAATGGGACGTAAATAGAGGATGGACTGCGCATCGTGGTACTAATGCCATAAACATTTCATTGCTTTCATGAACATTACATATCGCTTGTCAAGAATTTAAATTATCGCAACTAAGCGATATTTAGTGCCAAAAAGGACAAGATGATGTACAAATGGCAGTGTTATTTAGTATGGATGAAAGTGATCAGTTTCAGAATGCAAACAATAATTAGGGGTTAATTCAATTTCACTAGTGTTATTATTTAGTGGAATACTAATAAAATGTTATGTTTTGAAATTCTCTTGAAGCAAGTTTTACGTTACCTTAGAGAATTATTGAAAAAAGGAATAGTAAATCAAAATAAAAATATGGGTGCAGCAACAAATGACCTCATTTTAATACTGAGTTTATTATTGAAAAGAAAGAACACATTTCTAATGTTGCGATTGCATTATTTAGCTCTTTACTTAGCTGTTTAAACAGCTTCATTTGTCTCATATGTTAACACATACTATGTGTTGGGGATGTTAGATCCCCAGAACTCGCTTGATAAATATATCTTTATTTTGGATTTATTTCATGGACCAATCAGTTGACCTTAAGATCACATTTCCCGACAGGAAAATCCTTGGTTGTGATTGGTTACTGTGTCATTTTAGTGTGCTATTTTTGTGACTGTCCCTAGGACGTCTCTATAGAGTATAAATAAACTCAATTTGAGTGCTTGGATTCATTATGTGCTGGTTGGGTGTTTATAGAATACAATTTCTACACTATATCAAGACTTCTTGCTGATACCCCTTGGTCAGGGGATCACAGTGGCCTACCTGGACGCTAGTTCATTGTTTTGTTATCGTTATTTGACTAAGGTGAACACGTAATAATTAAGCATACCAAGAGGCGAGCGTAACATTATGATTTCAAGAGTACAACTTATTCAGAATGCTTTTAATTCAGGTTCAATTTTTCAATCAGGTATTTAAACATTTCTCTAATCGTATGCAAACGACAGACGTTAAAAGATACAGTGAAAATTCTTGATATTTATTTCTTTTGTCTATGAAATACAAGACTCTGATAAACTTTATGAGATAATGTTGTGTTTATGTTTCGAATCCAAATCAATAAATTATGCTGATGTCAGAAAAAAGTAAGATTCATTCCAACAAAACATTTTTTAGATGCAGAAAAGGTAATTTGAATTAGGCTTGAGGAAAAATAGCTTGGAAGTGTTCATTATTATTAGAAGGTAAATATTGAATTTTTTATCTGTCAAGTTAGCTTATCTGAAGATAATTTTTAAAAGATTAAAACAAGTTAGATGCATATTTAAAATCTATCATTTTGTTCCTAATAAGAGGGATGTATTTGTTCTTACCCATTAAAATAAAGTTGAGTATTCTCAGGTATCGTAAGTAGTATCTTAATATATAGTCACCCAACCGGTATCCAATTATTACAGTTCAAATCGATGCAAATTACAACAATAACGTCACCAGTCTCTTTTAGTGAAGTCAGACGTAGAATAAAGAAATAGGCTATTAATATGACATGAATGTGACAGTTCATCTTTAACTGTACACAACAGCATTTCATTGTAAACCTTCATTGAACAAATCCATTTTTAGCTCATCCTTACTACAGTAGTCCAAAGATGGTAAATTTTTGTCCTTACATTAATATTTGCTGTTTGCCCCAACATTCGTTTTTATATAAAAAAAAATCTGAGTTAAAACTGTTTAATAACAGATTATATCCCAGATTTACAGACTTGGAATATTTTAACTATACTTCGGGAACAATCAAGTATATCACCAACCTCCTTTTACTCACCCCCTCCCCCGAAAAAAACTCATTGTTTAAATACAGCCAAAAATGGTTGTTATCTGGTACATAATTCAGTGATATTTCATAAATATTTCTTCGTAAACTTTGCAGACAGAAATAAGAAAATTAGAAAAAAGGGGCATATATTTCAGAAACAGTTTTTATGATAAATCACAAACTTTGTAAACATTAGATTATTATAAGTTGTAGAAGAAAACAATCCTTTTCTTGTTGGTCTACTTATTTTCTATTTTCCCTATGGGTAAATACTTCCCTCTTTTTTCTTATTATTGATGATTATATTGATATAGATTATGTAGAATGTTGAGATGGTGGAGAAAATTAGTAGCTCAGTTGAATGATTATGGTAGTGATTTGTTCTCTGAGCTGGGTGTCTAGGTTGTGGAGCTTTAATTGTTCTTCTAAACAACAATCATCACATCCTTCAGATAGAAGTGAACTATTTAAATTTCTCCACGTTTGACCTGTAGCTTATTCTGCTAACGTCGATCTTGATTGGTTGTTGTTGACCTTAAACCTGTCGTTGTTTGCACCTTTGTTTTGATTGTATCCCCCTTTTGATCTGTTTCTTGTTCGTATGTCACCTATGATTTTCCTGATTGGTTGATAAATTAGGTCAATGTTGATGTGTTTGTTGATTGCTGATTAACCTGAGTGCCAAACTTCTAAAAATTCCCCAATGTTCTTTGTCCCCCCTTACCCAGTATTTCCACATTGTTCCAATCGAATGTATGTTCATAATTGTCGGTGAGTATTGATATAAGCGAATTGCCGTGGCGTTTGACTGCTAAGTGGTGTTCGCGCAAACGAAGCTGAAGAGGCCGTGCACTTTGTCCTATGTAGTGTTTTTCACAGTCTGATATTTAGTTTTTCTTCCTTTGTCATTTTGTCCTTTGGTCTACACAGGATTGTTTAAAGCAATTCTGTTGGTTTGTGTGCTACACATATTACAAATGGTTTCAGTAGTATTGATGTAAGTTCCGATGTCTTTATTATGTATGACAGGATGATCCGTTCATTGGTTCCTGCACATAATTTCGCTTCTGTTGACGATTTCAGTTGATGTTTTTTGAAAAAGTTGGGTGGATAGCCGTTCTTTGTTGATCAGTCAGTAAGTTTTAACACAGATATAAGAACGAATTTCAGCATAGTTTACAACGCTATAAGCAAATTAGTAAAGAATTCCATCTTTGGATGTTTAATTGGTAATAACTATACGGCTAATTAACAGGAAACTTATGGCAGTATAGGTTGTCTCATAACATAACATTTTACCGTAGTTAATTGATGATCTTGTGGATTGTCTGTTTGTCATTATAAATATTAGTGATTATAAATAAACTATTACATTTGTCACTTGAGATATGATTAGAGTTCATTTTAAGTGATACTGTGGTTTAGTTCAAATTCTTCCATGTGCCTTCATGATGAATACTAGTGAATTTGAAATCAAGTTTGCGAAATCTTTACAATAACTATTAGAAAACATTTTAAATGAACCAAATTATATCATCATCTTATCATACTTTTTGACTAAACTAGATTTCCTAAATTTAGATTATCATTATAGATGTTGATTTCTGCTTAATTGAATTACAAATTCATTTCGGCACCACGTTAAGAAGGAGAAACCATGAAGAAATCTTCTTTTATTTTTTTTTTTGGAAGGAAAAATCTATCAAAGAATTTGGATAATTAAAAGATTTACTCACCTGTCCATGGTAGATACACTGACCAACTGTTCAAAGGACGTCTTGGATGAACTGAAAAAGAAATCAAAAAATCAAGATATAAATAAGGGAAGAAAAATAGAAAAGTTAATTATTTTGTGTAAATATTGAACATATGGGAACAATTCAGTCAACATAATCGATTACTACTATAAAAACATTATGATAGGTTTTAAAGTATGAGAGTGATAAAGTAAACTGATATACTTGGTCTGTTCATCTTTATGATTTGTGATATTTTCCCAAGTTTCGATACAAAAATATTTTAAATTAAAAACAGGATTTAAAGAATCAAATGAATTCACCACATATTAAGGTTTCACATAAACTGCAAACGTTCTCAAGTTATTACTAGTATAATGCTATGAACAAAATTTTCAGTATTTCTAATAAATGAAAATAATTTTGAAATTATTCTATAGTTCACTTTAAACAGTAGAAAGTTTGGTTTAGTAATAAGAGTATCTCAGATTAAAATGCATAAAATTGAATAATATCTACTTTATATTCTCATTAAAACTTAAAAAACTATGTGCTGTAGTTGAGAAACAAGTGATTGTGTGTTAAGCGCATTTTTGCAAAATATTATGTTGTCTTGATCATAGTTTTTCAGAGTGTAATATAGTGCACAAATACTGTGTCAGCACTACACTTAGTCACAAAATGTACTGTTTATTTTATGTGGAAAAGTTTATCTGTTATATTTTATGAGTTATACGTTAACAATTTATCTTAAAAAAAAAATAATCGTTTCGATTATTTACAATAGATGGATTGTGGTTAACAGTAGCATTCGAAAAGTGAATTTCAACCAGTCTGGAACTTGTCAGCTGAATGTAGCTGTATTCCAGGGTTGATGTTCAAATTAGTACTTGATTAGATTATTTTGAAGCGTGCAAAAGGCATATCATGAGTATTTATTTTTTCAGTATTTATTAAATGTAAATAAGTTTTATAGAGTACAATAAGAAGTCCTATAGTTGTTAAAAGGATTTTATCGAAAGAATTATCTTTCAAAGTTATAACTTTATATAAGGAGCTAAATAAGTTGTGTATCATATTAAAAGTATTACCCTGCTTATTTCTAAATTCTTCTTGCTACACATATCAACCACTTTATTTGATGTTAAAGGACACATTCACAGTTATTTTTTTAATCAGACACATTCTTCAACAGTTTTACACTCTGCTTCAATAAACTATGCAAATAATGCAAACTATGCATTAAAAGTATATTTTCTTTCTTATATAATTATCAGTAATAACAAAAAAAATAAATAAATCAAATTTAAATCTCTGAAGAAATCACACATTTGAAATTCATTCATTGATAACAAACAAATGGTATTTTTGATAAATCACATCAATTATTTCTTCAACATTGGTGGGGTATAGGGAAGAAAGAAAATCTCGAAGATTTATTTTCATCTACACTGTCAACTATTATTTACTTATTTATTTTATATGCAAACTTTATATATATTGTGTAATATGGAATTTTATTCTCCTGCTTTTTTTCTCTCTTCTCACACTATCATTTCATCTTAGTTGGTATTTTCTGTTATGTTTAGTTGCATAGTTGATTTGTTTTTGTCGAAAGTTCCATTATTTTCTTGTATAATTGACTGTAGACCTTTATTTTCATTGTCTATCAAATATTCCGAATAGCATTTTATTTATATGGACAGCTCATTATTATTATTATTATTATTCTGTTGTAATTTTTTCTACATTCTTTATTTGTAGATAAACAATGATTAGTTGCTGGATTAGTGTTATTATAATAGTCCTATTTATTCATGTTACTTATTATTATGATTAAATGTGATACTGTCATTCAATATACAATAATCATTAATATAAATAGTTTCTTCATAAAGTAACCTCTGGTTATTAATGGATGCTATTATTTCCCCTGAATCAAACAAGAGTTTTTTCTATGTGAAGTTACATTTGGTTTGAAGTTTTACTATAGTTAATGACAGTTATTTCAAACGTTGTTTCAATCAGAATCACTTCATATTATGACCAGGGAAATCTATGTATAACTGGGCAAGTTTTTGGGTTGAAAACAAGTTTTATATATTTTTCTACAATAAATCCTACAGATTATTTCATAAACAGATTTTCGTTAAGAGCCACATATAATATAATTCAGTAATCAATTCACATGTATTGATAGTTGATGTTTTACGAAGATTGGACAACCAACCTAATGAGTATTTCCACTAAGTATGAGAATTAGTAAGTATCATATGTATGAAATCAGAATAAATTTATAAGTGGAAAGATAAAACTTCCTTAAACTGAGCATTTTATATCAATTAAGGTTTCATTATCAATAATGTTACAATAATAAGGATTAAAATAACTATTAAGACAAATCTATCTACATTCTTTCATATGTATTTCATTAGATAACATTTTAGAAAAAAATTATTTAGCAGTCTACAACAGTTGGTTTTAATTTAAATAAACTTTTAACAGAAAAAATTAATTATTCTCTAGTTCACATCTGCATATTACCATGAAAAAGAAAATTTTTGTAAATTATAAAAAAAAACAAGAATTATAAATCTATCTACCATATGTATAATTACGAATAGGTGGACAACCGATTTCATCAGTTCCTCCATCGAAGCAACCATCTGCTTGATCACAACGCATTTGACCATAAACACAAACAGCAGTTTCATTTCCACACCAAAATCCTGAGCCTACTTCACATCGACGCATTTCTAAGAGTAGATGGGATATTTTAGAAATAAGTTGATGATTTCGGAAAAAATTGTATCAAAAGTTAAATTTTAATCAAGTTACTTCTTTCCTACTAATAAATTTATCATGCTAAGTAAATAGGTTCATAAAAGTAAAAATTTTTTTAAAACGTAGAAGAAATGAAATGATAATTTTCGTTTTATTCACTAATTTATGAAAAGCCAATTATGTAAGTCAGTCAGTCAGATGCAACGTAGAACTTTGTACATAAGTACATCAGTTCATGTTGCCATACCACATCAGCACAGAGGAGTAATCGTCAATTCAAATCCAATAGTAGAAGAGGTAGTAACGGTATTAGGAGTAATCGGAGAGGTTAGGATTAGAAGATACTATTCAAGAAGTATGATTCAGTGAGAAAAGTTTAGAGAGTCGAAACTAGAGGTGTTGAAGAATCCAGAAGATTAGGATTTGAGAGAATACAGAGAATAAATGCACCGGCGTTATTGCGAACGATTTTGAGCCATGTCAGTTGGTAACTAACTATAATAGATGACAGTCACTTGTTTGAGAATGGCATTCTCATAAAAACGATGAGTTGTTAGCATGCTTTCTAAGCACGTAAGAAATCAAAAATCAGTCAGCTAATAATCAAAATCACAGAGGATATAAATAATATATATAGTGAAATGAAATTTAAATGTAGTTTTGTGATACTACGGCGCCAGCCGTTAGAGCTTTTAGGATACTGCAAACCTATGCTTCACATTTGTTAGTACTCATCGACGGAGAATACCTTAAGGGGACTGATGTTCCCTGCGGCATCCGAGGCCAAACCATAAAGCATCATATTTTGATACGTTACCACTGAGTAATTAAGACTGCAGATTAACTCTTCTAGGACTGATGTAATAAGATTGATTTATGATTGTATAGTAACTCATGTTATGTCAATTCCCTCAAGACCACTTTTACGACTTATGTTGAGGAACTTTTGATTTGTTAGCTGATATGTTCAGTATGTTAAATTTCTAAGAAACTTATTTACACACTCGTAAGTAACATGAGTGTAGTTCTTCAAAAATATTTACGTTGACAGGTCTACTAAGTAATCATTTACACTTTTTGCATCAATTAATAGCCATTTCAGAAAAGCAACAACTCTCTGACGAATATGTAAATCTTAAAATCCAAAGCATCAATAACAATATATTTTTACAGAAATATTAATCCCGAATTTTTATCAAGTTAGGTATTTTATTATTTCACAAAATTTATTCAGTTGATAAATTTTTCTTGTTTCTACCATCATTTAACAATTACCATGCTTATTTGACAGAGATAATTTGCTATACACGTTTCTTTATAAGTTTCCAGTAGCCACTAAAAGGATGAAGTTAATTATTTTAGGATGAAGTCACAAAATGACCCTTAACTTCTAAATTTGTATCTCAGTAACTAATTCGAAAGTGAACATTGCTTGATATCACGATCAATAAAAATATTTAGATAATTCGTTAAAGAAGCAGTATGATCGAAAAAGTAAAGAATATAAGGTTTCCACAGTGAAGTAACAAGATCAAAAAATATAAATCACCAAAATCAAAATTTTTTGTTCCGTCGATTCAATCTTGAATTGTAATATTCAACATTTTGCACTTGTACTTCTTGAGCAATTAATTATGAATTAGACTAGTTCAAATATATATTTAAGAAAATAAGCGGCAAAAACAGGCGCTCATCAACCTAATCATCGGTTATTTCTGTCCTTGGTTTGTTGGTATTTCAAAGTGCTGATGGCCTCGTGACTGACGAAATCTCAGCACGGAAACAAAAGGTTCGACTAGCTTCCGCCAACTTGCATCATATATGGCGTAGACGAGATATCCGTTTGCTAACCAAGGGACAGGAGTGCTGCGCAGCAGTTCGCTCCATCCTACTTTATGGCTGTGAAACATGGCCAGTCGGAATAGAAGATATTCGTAGTTCACTGGTATCCGATCATAGGTGTCTCCGAAGTAATGCTGTCGTTAGGAAACGGGTGCTAGGTAAGGATGGCAGGTCAATAGATAAAGTATTGAAACTTCATCAGTTGAGGTGGTTAGGACATGAGTTGCGCATGCCTAACCATCGACTGCCCCATCGAGATATGCTTTGCTCTGTAGGAGTAGGTTGGAAGAAAGTTAGGAGTGGCCAGATAAAACAGGGCAGAAATCCATGAAGTCACTGACAAGTGGACTTAGTCGTGTTGGTAGGAGTCGACTACCTGCTTAGGGTAACCGATGGTTAGAGACCCTGAATGACAAGGCTCAAAACCGTTTACAATGGCGCAGGTGCATTCATTTACTGTGTTCTCTCAAATCCTAACCTTCTGAATTCCTCATCACCTTTATTTTCTTCTCTTTAAGTTTATTTCACTTCTTGAGTAATGTACTCGAACCCTGAGATTTTCGATTACTGTTAAAAGTTCTATTATCTCTGTTTCTATGGGATTTGAAGTGACAATTGCATCTATGTGCTAATGTGGTACGGTAACTTGAAATGATGTTCGTATGTACAAAGTTCTATGTTGTTGTTGACTGACTGGTCACATATTGACGTTTTAGACCAGCCGAAATACACAAACGTCAACCGTTCATAATTTGCCATCACCTCTTGTCGATCTACCAATAGCTTCCTTACATGAATAATATTCATAACAAATAAATTTAAGAAACAAATTCAGGAGTAAAAGTAATAAGAACCATTAAAAGTCCCATATATATTAGATTTATTACTTACTCTCAACAAGACTGAAAGTTCCCTCGAAACGCATATATGCTGACATTTGGACATCTAGTTCAGATTTTACTTCCTCAACGGAACCGGATTCCGTATGCCAAACCAATGAAACAATACGATGCATTGAATCAATAATTTGTGGAAATTCAGATGTACAGGTTAAATTTAACTCCTTTGATAAAACAATTAATCAAGAGAAAAAAATAAAAATTTCATGCGGTTGATTCAGTCATTTACGATTACAGTTTCAATTGATTTAAATGAATAAATTTACAAAATAAATTGGAAAGTTAGCTGAAATGAAATACAAGAATGATTTTAAATTCATCGATGATTAGTCACTATTTTATACTTTTTGAAACGTTCGTTTGCCAGACTAAAGTTGATCATCCTAACAAATTAAGTTGTCCTTAAGAGAATACTGAGAACCTGTTACTTATTTTTCTAATCTAAATCAAACTTTTCAATTAAATGTAAAAGCTTTATCAACGACTGTGATTATCATTAATCATCTCTAGGCTTTTTCGTGACTGATTTCAGATTTCTACTGACCATTTTCATTACTACTAAAGTAACTTACAGCTGAATTGTTCTCCTGATTACAAAATATATTAAGTATCTCCTATTTTAGTTATAGATCCTCATTTGACCTAAATACTGAAATTAAATATATTATATAATTTGCTACAGTCAACCTAATTCAAAATCTTGAAGTTTTTCAGTCAAATTATTCCAACCATTTTCCCATTTCTACCTAATTGAGAAATCATGTGTGTTTTGTGTATAAAAACTGACTGGTATTCATGTATGGGGAGATGAAGAAACGCATTATACATTCTTGAGGCAGTCTAGGTGAACCAATTGCATGACAGATACATAATTACTTTTATTGCAACTTTAAGAAGTTTTGCTACTCAAATTTTGAATTATGAAAGCTGTAAGGTGCATAAAAATTCAAGAAGCTTTAATTGAAACACTAAGTTTTTACGATAATGGAAGTGAGGTGAGGTAGGTCAGTTGGATACATGGGAAACCTGTACCAAAAACGAAGTTCGCACTGTAATACTACAAAAATGAACTGATGGTTTACCACTTACTTCCAGCTACTTCGGCTTATAATAAATACTGGTCAGAAACAGACGCTAGATATCTACTGACCTATTCATTTTTCGGAACTATATTTCATTCGACATCAATATCTATAATTGCTAGTTAGTTATTGTTGGGATATTCATCCAATATCCTAAGATAATTTTTTTTAAGTGTAATTTTATTGGTCACTTCCTATCGGTCATCCTAACTGTCTATGTCACAGACTTCAATGTTGTTCCCTATCCGACCTAACTGTATAAATACGCATTGTCTGTAACGTTTTATGACCCGGACCTGGATCCCTAGTTCGGGGATCCTGATTCTCTTCTGGAACCGGACCACGTACTTTCTGGATGCTTGTAGAATACATGTTCTACTTCATATCAAGTCTTCTTCTCTTACTCTATGGGGTTTGGGACACTTCGATCAGAGTAGCTTGTCAAGTCGCCAGCTCCTTGCTCACGTTTACTAAGGTAAACTCGTAATAGTTCAAGCCCATCAAATCGACATGTTTACGTGTATTCGTAACAGTTATTCAGCCAAAACAACATGAAATATGACACAGATTTAAAACTGCTCTAAATTACTAAGTCACATTTACACATCAAATTTATTTTCAAAAAATCACTATCAAACTACTCCGGAAATGTGGTCGGAAATATAATGAACATCAAAGGAAAGTTCAAAATAATACATAAGACGAATTTTTTCCGACTTACACTAACAATAAATAAACAATTAACAAAATATCTACCGAACAAATGCAAGTGAAAATTTAAACAGAAATAAATTCAAAAGTGTTTGCTTATTAAGGTACTTTATTAAAAAGATGCTTCAAAAATTGTTCCTTGGATGAGTAATTAATCCATTACACTCAGATATTGGCGTTAATAACAGTCCATCAAAGGATACATTTCAAACAATAACTGTTGCTGAATATTACCATCGATCTATATGATGGTATATTTTCGAGTATGTTTTGGGGTGAATTTTAATAAGTTATGAAGAAATTTACTCGTATTAAACATTGGGGATTATAAAAGTACTTAACATTTCCATGTAGTAAAGTGCTTGGTTGAGTTTGTTCAAACGTCCCAAATATTTGATGTTTCCTTAAATTCTAAAACAGTCCTACTGTTTATTTGCTAAAAGCAATCTGAAAAGTAAGCTTTATTTCTAGCTATACGACTTGGATTACCTTTTAACAGATGTCTTGGATACACAGTATTGTCAAATTTCATAAAGTTATTGCAATTCATAGACGGCAACTTTTAAATTTGGATACAAATAGGGAATATTTTGTTTTTCTCTCAATAGTAACTGAAAACTAGAATTTGCGATCATATAAAGCATCATTACAAATGTTATTCATCCAGCTCTACCACTTAAAGGTTATCCATATACTGATCACCTAAAGCTTTTCTCATATATTAAATTTTAATCTCACGGTCGGTTACCTGTTTAAGCGCACATATCCAAAGCGATTCATTTTATACTACTTGAAGTTTCCCGATCAATAGCCAGAACAGAAAAATCACCATGGCCTGCAAGAAAACACCATTCATTCGTCTGCAGTATCAAGTCAGGTCATACGCACTCTAGTATTTACTATCCAAATGTAAGCTGTGATAAATGTCTAATTCTTCATGTTAATTCATTATAACAGGTAACAAGTTAAAGCACAATTACCAAAACTTTATCCTGAGTATATAATGAGTTCGTAAGCAAGTTTGTAGTCAGTAAAACTTAACTTCGGTTCCATTTCGATATAAAAACATTGATTATGGCTGTGTTCTGTGAGTAATCGTTTTTGGTATACTTTGCCTAATTTCTCCAACGGCTTATTTGACGTCTGACTTTTCAAAACATAAGTTGGTGATGAATTTATTATTTATCTTTTCAAACGGTATTAGAATGAAAACAGACATAAATTTTATTTTGTACGTCTATCTGTTTGATACAAATTACTTGAGTACGATGGGATTCCGTGAAATTTCGAATTTTAACTGCTATAATAAAAGTTAACTAGTAGTCAGCATATTACTAGACAGCTACTCTACTCATGTAAATTCACCTAGTTTAGAGTAAGACTTAAGAACTATTTTTGTATAGCCTATTCCTCATATTTACATGTGTTTACACTTTGAGTTTGACTGCTAAATGGAACTAAAGTAGTTCAGAAAAATGTGCTATCAGTCTTCTACTGACTGATTCGTCCGTGTAAATTTTTGATAAACTACACCTCTGAATTCAACATAGCTAAGCAATATAAATCTGTTTATTCTGAGGAATTTTTTAACCGTTTACAACTTATAAATAGTGCTAAAGGCTCCTTGATACTGATGTGTATACGTTTTGTCGTATCAATGAAAATTACTGAATAGATAATATCTGTAGAAAAACTTTAACGGTTGAATATGTTTATGTCGAATAATGATGTATAGATTCTACAGAGAAAATATCTAAAACATACGGAGAAAAGTTTTAAAAAGGGAAGTGAGTTTTTATCTCGTTTTATAATTATATGTTGGAATATAAGTGATTTAGCTGATATATATATATATATACATATATATATAAATGCCAAGACAGTTCTACTGAATTGAGTGGAAACTTGGAGAACTACGAAGGTGGAAGTGGATAGGACACACACTGCGAAAAGCACCCAACTGCGTCACAAGACAAGCCCCCACGTGGAACTCTCAAGGTAAGAGGCAAAGAGGAAGGCCGAAGAACTCATTACACCGAGAAATAAAGAAAGACATGATAAGAATGAACAAAAACTGAAAGGAACTGGAAAAGGAAGCCCAGGACAGAGTTGGTTGGAGAAAACTGGTGGGCGGCCTATGCTCCATTTGGCGTAACAGGAGTGAGTAAGTAAGTAATACATATACAATTACTCATGAGCTAATACAAGTTATATGTAAGTATTAAGACCCAAAGATAAAGGTAACAATGTAAAAGATCTGTTGAAAATATACACCAGGTGAGTTTCATAAAAATTTCCACAACCAGTAGATAATTGACAGCACAAATAAAACTTGGTTTCGTGATCAATACTAACGGAATGTTATTTATCACTAACTCATACAACTCAGATTTTCAGGATGGTGGAGAAAATTCATAGCTCAACCAAAAGTACTCTTCGCAATCAAAACTTCCTGATGTAAAAGTTAATTGATAACCTTTAAAAGTACTAACTATACCTTAAATACTAAAGCTCGATTGAAATCTGTTTTGAATGTACAGTAGATGTCTATTTTCGAATACTTTCGGATAGTTATAAAAATAGAAATAAATATTGGAAACACCATAAAATAGCTTTGCAAGATAAAAAATGTCCCTTTATAAAAGTATGTTTTTCACCATACATCACTATTAGGTCATATCCAGAACACATCCAGACCCAAAAATATTTTATACGAACAAATATAATGAAACGCTCAGTTCAGTACTTACATATGGAAGTAGAGTAGGTTGTGTGATCTCTTCCGGTATGAACCCAACAGTTAAGAAATCATTGCAAGAAGTAAAATTAATAGAAACTCTTAGTCTATGAAACCAGTATGACGTATGTCCTTCAGGATAAGAATAGTGGAGAAGTCTTCCATTTGGATATACTTTTATCTAGTTTTTATAAATAAAAAGTGGATTGTAAATTAATCATAAAAAATATATTTATTATGAACAAATAGTAGTGAATCAAGTATCTAAAAATGGTATCTAAATATTGCCCGAACATAGAAGAAACATGGTTTCTACTAGTCAATCAATCGGTACGCCCTCGATGTTAACTTGGCAAATGTAAAGAAACGCAACTCCTCAGTACTGTCTTTGTAATCCCTTTTTTCTAGAAAACGAATATTTCACTCCTTAAGACAGACTAAAACACCATCAAACCAACTTTGTTACTTCAAATAACCTAAGTATGGAGACTTGAAAATGTGCTGAAATGAATTAAAGCTTATCCAGTGTAGAAATAACTATAACTTAAAGAGCGAAACGTATTTATTAATAGATAAATGACGAGATACATTCGTCAACCAAAACGGTTCAGGCAGTAACATTATTAGTGGTAAGCGTTGAAGATAAGATGAAAGAGAATATTAGCAAAGGAATAAAAGGAGGAAAATCAAAACAATTAATATCATATCAATCACAAATACGGGCATTAATATAATAAATCCCGAAAGAATTAAACAAAGAAGTTTGATACAAAGAAAATAATTGTGTTTGTATCCAGGATTTAAAGGAAGTAAGATAAATGCAGTTGTCCTGTCGTTATTGGTTTCAAACTATGCAATATAGGGCCATTAGTTGCCAGTTGTGGTTAGTGTGTTCGTTGGAGCTAAAATGACTATAATAACAGAGTTTTTGAGTCACTAGTTAGTAACTGCAAGAAATTATGACGTGTCTCAATTTGGTCGATCTCGGTCTTCTTGCGACTGGATTCACCAAAGTGAATTATTATAAGTGGTATCTAGTCATGTATTTACACTTAGAAATGCTTCGGGAAGAATTAGTAAGCTACTTCACTCAGGCAAAAACTCTTCATAATCTGAAAGAGACACAAATAAGTACTATATTTCTGAAAATACCAAACCACTAATATTAGGAGTACAAATCATTTCATCTTGAAAATAAAATTTACGACACTCTTCATTTGCAGCTTCAGCAGGCAAAATTATGATGTAAGCAGTCACCTTCGTAAATTCTATGTCGGGTTTTTTTTATTTCTTAACATCCACCAGAAAGATTATATTTTCATCAGTGTACATTTTATTAAGCAGTTGTCTAAACATTCATAAAATGCACACAATCAGAAGCGTCAGTCCGAACAAGAATGATTCGGCATTAAATGCACTAATATTTAGCAGTCTTCCCATCGCGTTACTTCACTAATGTTTAAAAAAATTACATGTATATCGAAGAATGAAATACTTAATCTAGCATTTATTTAAAGTTAAGTTTGAACCACATTTATTATTACCGACCTTACAAGCATATAGTAAATTGTTCCATGAGGAATTATATGATCCGGTGACAAAGCTCATCTGCCTGGAAAGCGAAAACCGTCTGAAACCAGATTGACCTTTGCAGTAATCAGAATTGTCTGATAATATTACATCTACAATACCGTTAGCATTAGTTTTAAAACGTACATTCTTCATAACTTCCGAATACCACAGAACAAAAATGTAAACTTGTTAAAGCCAGTGGCAATAAACGCATGTCAGAAAACTCATGAACTTCACATATAACACAAGAAAAAATCGTTTTTTCATCAGGTTTGAAATGCTGCCAAAATTCTATGTATGAACTTTATGAGTGTTTAGTCCGAAAAACAAACCTTACCAAAGACAATATTCAATATCTACAATGAGTTTTGAATAAGAAAATATAAATCGTTTGATTTTATCGTGCTCTATTCTCTGTAAGGTGCTTTGGTTGAATTAGCGTGGAGTGCCATGTATGTGGCACGTCTTAAGAATATCGACTCCCATTCGCCTGCAACTCACTAGGCATAATCCTATGTGCTCAATTCTGTCCTTGTAACTTTAAATTTTCAGAACTATCACAGATTTTGTTGCACGTCTATGCACACGATCCAAGGGATTTATGTAACTTTTAGGGGGATGCGGTGAGAAGACGTTGAAAATATTGTTCGAGGTAAAGTGTACGAGACAAGAGGTAAACAAGATAAATAGAATGATGAAATTGATTAGTAAGCTGAGGAGCATAGCAACAATAACATTCACTGGGTTCTGTAAAATAAATCAACAATTACAGTTACAAATATTTTTATTGCGTATATGAGGACGTGTTTACTACGTGTCAGCCTGAATTTAATTATTAAATCAGACCCATAAAATATGTATCATTATACAATGATAAAAATTTTCAAACAGCCTTATCGATATTCAGTAGTCATTCAGGAATCCGATAAAAAGATTGACATATTGAAGTAATTGAATATGTGTACGTCTAGTTTGCAAAAAGCGAAGGAGTAACTATATGAGACAACTTCATGGGTTTTATTCAAGAAACGACGGAGAGACAGCCAATTAAGAACGCTTTAGTAACTGAATCAGAAAATTGAAATTTCTGTCCTTCAACACAAAACAAACTGACGAATGGCCTCCATAACTACTACTTACCAGTCTGTACATTCGTTATCGTTAACACAGAGTGGATACAGTCAAGTTGCCTGATCTGTCGTTTACCTTTCTGATGAGGCTAGACTAAAATTCATCAGTTTAGTTGCAAATCAGATATTGGATTTCACTAAAGAAGGTTGACTATGATTTATCCAAAGGTGAGTATGTGGGAAGAAAGGTTGAAAATATAATTATCAGTAAGGTGAGGTGTTGTCTACCTTTGCTTACCGTCGACGACAAAGCTAAATGGAACTAGATTATTTAATAGCGTATTGAACTAGGGATTATGACTTTTCGGAAACGCGGTTTCTATGGGCTTTAGAAAATTTTGATCTTACGGCCAAAAGTCCTAGAAAGCAATTGTTCCAACAATACCTTACGCTTTGATAGTCTACCTTGACAACTGAATTCGGGGATCACGTGAATAGTTTGGTAATCGCATCCATGAATCTGTCTGAGACTGTATTGAGTTATGCGACACAACATAGGATATGTATGTAAAGCTAGTGTCAAAGTCATAGCGCATTATACTTGAAATACGTAGTGTTGGCTGATGAATCATCTCTCGCCAACATACTTCACATTTTTGACACACACCTCTCTGAGCCAAGCAGTGAAAGAAGTCGATTATTTAAGTGGTGCAACATTTCTTAAGCACACCAGGTACAGACAGAAAGATCTGGAAATGGAAGCAGAGTTTATGAGTTCGGAACACTACTATATTTCGAATTTAAACTTTCACTATTTAAATGTAATAGAATGTCACTTCTTACATTAAATACCGCCCAGATTTCTAACAACTCGATTGAATGCATTCATTCTGAATGCGGGAAGTGAAATTCCCATCACCCTTAAGTAGTTCCGAAGAGATTAAAGTGGTAGGCAGCAAAAGAAATATGTAGGTAGCCATTCCTCTATCTATTATTGTTACGCAACTAGTGGAATCCACCTGTTTTACTGTAAAAATTTTGAATCTGTTTGACTAGTTTATTTACAGTGAATCTCTGAAAGTCAATCGGTTGTCATAAAATCTAAAAACGTAGGTCGAAAGAATATTTTTGAAAGTCAGTGAAAATGCTAATCGGAATTCGACGCACTTTCATGTTTGTTTGGCGAGACAGTACCAATGTCTTGCGTCAAATCAAGTTCGAATCGGTTTTTTCAACACGAAACGAGCCGAGGTGAAATTACAGTTATTTCATACATAAATTGTTCTCATCTTCGAATTCATGCAGAATCTGATTGAAAATTCAATGAAAATTCACCAACTTTATTTTGAAAATGATGTCTTAATTATGTGAGTGAAACGAAAACTAAATTGACTTCCTCAAAGCATTTGTTGGAATAAAATTTGCATATAGCTGGTCAAACTAATTTTCTAATGTGAATTCATTATTTGTCCGAATCATTTCCGAATTCATCAGAAAACTCAAACGTTCATCAAATCAAATTAAGTGCTACTTTAGTTCATTGACGTTAGTAAACCATGAACTTGTGTGGCTATAAAGATGCGGGTTACTGTCTACAGGAGAAGCTCCTGTTACGACAATTTGTCGTTTAAAACATGGTTTGTCTGGAACTCGAGTATTGCATACAAGCTGCCAGCCCCCGCAAAGAATAACACAGTGAAGAGTTACAAGAGGCTCAATGAATAGCGATTTAGTTGATTCATGGAATCTCAAATCTGCAGTATAACGAGAGACTGGATAAACTTAACCTATTTCCATGATCATATAGAAAGACTAGGGCTTGTAGTTGACCTGTTATTACTTTATTCCCTAGAGTGATCAAAATGATGAGTACAAACGAGGTTATTTACCAGCTCATCTTCCATAATTTCTCCTCGACACCGATCGCGGCTAACTAAGCACACTTAGTTGTAAACAGGTAGATATCACATAATAATATTGAATAAAGAGTTAGTTGGCTTGCTTTTTAACATCAATATCATCGATTAGTTACATTCCACTAGTTCATAAGTAGTCATAAGCGTGTAAATATCTTCCATGTGCCTTCATAAATGGATTGAGGTAGCTACACTCAACATCTTCTGAATGATATTTGAACCCTTTTTTACCTACTTTGAAAAATACTTGTTGATCGATATATATTTCCAGTTATTTATAGGTTGTTTTTAAATTCTCACTTCGTACTCTTACAATTTTAAACACTGTATTGATGTCTGACCCACAGCTCATAGGATGCAACTGCTTGTTATGCCTGTAAATTGGCACAATATAAATACAGTGTTGTCATATAGAATCTGAAACATGTATCCTTTGGTGAAATATATTATTTAAATTAGAAATCAGTTGGAAAGAATTAAGCTTCACAAAGTGGAAGCAGAGAAAGTTTCCGACCGGAGAAATCTGATGATGATTTTAACGCAACCATAGCATTTTTTAGTAGTGGACCTTTGTGGCTGCAGATGAAACAGTCACTTAAACTTATCGAGATTGTTAACTTATGCATCATACTACTCAGTCATGTTTCAAAGCCTATGTTGGCTTTGTTATTCTTTTGAGATAATCTATCATAAATTAGTTCATGTTCGTACGATATGACCAAATGGTTGGCAGTTTGTGAAAACTGAATGATGGATAAAAACTAATAATCGAAATATTTAAAGTTGGTTTTCAAACACTTGACGCTGTCTTGTTACGTTTTCGAATATAATGAACAGCCCTTGCACTTCTCAATTTGGCGTTCCCTCCAATAATTGAACAGATTTCATCTTGTTACTACCCGTTTTTGTATATTCTTCAGATCTAATTCACTCCACTGAGAGCAGCTAATACAAGCCTTACCTTCTGATAAAATATACCTATTTATCTTCAAAATATGGGAACTTTTTTGATTATACGTAACCATTTATATTGGTGCTAGCCCTTCCTTTCCTTATTTTAGGATTAACGCGAGAAATTTCATAAGTCAAATATGAAGGCATACATCCTAGAATAATCCCTTATCAGTAGAGAATTCGCTAACGACCATTTATTCATCTAGGAGTCTATGCAGATATCATATATTTTTGAAGTTGATTCCATTCTAATGTAGCAAGGTAATTTTGCAGTTTTCAAAATCCACTTATAGAAGACTCTTTAAGGGGATATATCTAAACTAGCGGTGTACATGAAACTGATCGTTTTCATACCAACCCTCCGACTTGACGTCCTTCAGGGTGACCGAGCAACGACTGTCGTATGAATGGTACCAGATGTGACATGAGTGGGTAATGAACTTCAGCACTCCTAACCAGGATCATCCATCAGACAATGTATATTTCATTCACATTGAATGTTATAGGGTAGGCTCTAGACTCAGGGTCTACAAGGCAGAAAACAAGGAACGACAAAAACACAGCAGTAAAACATTAGACTACGTACATTCATGAGACAGGTTAGGATGAACATCAGTAAACGCAGCCTCACATCAGCGTACGAATCACTGTGAAAGATATATTCATGGCATATTTCACCATGATGGTCTTACGTTCTACGCCATATGGAGGTGTTATGCACACCTTAGTCCTAAATTCGAAGTGGTTCAGGAACTATGAAGAGCATGAAATGTAAACAAATGTTGATGCAGTACAAATTACACATATTTCCACCCTGGTAACAAAAGTGATAAATAGCTCAGTTTCCTTTTTCGTAATTTCCTTCATGGTTAATCTAGACATATTTTTTACGAGGTCTGTTGCTGTTCGTTCTTATTTCCTAACTCACCCCTTTCCGATTTACTGACAGAGTAAAAACTTACAGGACGTTTCAGGCGCAATATACTTAAAGACTACCTCACGCGATGCCGTTTCCTTCGACTCGAACCACTTTGGAAAGGGAGGCTTGAGTCAAATCTAACTCTTTACTTCAAACTGTCGTACAAACCCACATACCACTCTTGTAATGTAGTCCTCATCCAAGGCCAATGTACATACAGCCTTGATGAAAACATATCTACGGTACAACTTGTGAAGTATGAAACACAAATCAAGAAGACATCTTCCTCATTAAGTACGCACTAATAAGGGACATCCTCTCTTCAAAAATACACATGGCAGATGGACTTCTTAATTAGCCCCTTACCTGCACTGTTATCTCACTCGCACCCTGCTCCTAAATTATCAGCCTTCGAATGTAGTGTTGCTTTT